CACCAGCCCTTTTGTGTTTCAAGATAGGGTCTTGTGAACTTTTTGCCCTTGCTGGCTTCAAACCCCGATCCTCCTGATCTCTGTCTCCTGAGTAGCTAGAATTACAGGCATGAGCCACCAGCACCCAGCATTTTTTTTGAAAAGTTATTTTCCATCTGTTATTGGTTGAGTCCAATAACAGAATCCAAGGATATGGAGGATCAGCTGTGCAGCATTGAGACCTGGTGACACAAAGTACACATGCTAATGTCAGTCTCCTTCCCTCTTACAAAGCCTCGGCAAATGCCATCACAGGGCTGGGAATCATAATGACTTCCCAAATTCCCTACCTCCAAATGCCATTGACACATGAGGTTTAGAATGAGTGCATTAGTGCTTTGGGGACACAGTCAAGCCATAAGCAGCTGGCCTAGTGGGACAGTTACCTGGGGTGAGCAGAAGTTGCCAGCCCAATGTCAAGTGTGATGGGTGGTGCCACTGTAAGGGACACTCAATGTCACATCCACAGGTTTGGGCAAAAAGGAGGAGCACATTATTCAGACCTCACCTTGCCCTAGTTATTTATTTGTATTTATTTCTTATTTTTTGGTGATACTCGGGTATAAACTCAGGCCCTTGTACTCTCTAGACAGGCACTCGACCAGTTGAACCATGCCTCCAGTCCTTTTTTGCTTCAGTTGTTTTTCAGATAAGGTCTGGCATTTTCTGCCTGGGGCCAGCCTGGGACCTCAAACCTCCTACCTACAACTTCCCACATAGGTGGGATCATAGGGGAGCACCACCATGCTCAACTTGCTAATTGATGGAGATGAGGTCTAACATTTCCTCCCCCTGGCCTGGCCTCAAAGTGTGATCTCCCCAAATAGCTGGGGTTGCAGAAGTGAGCCATGCTGCCCCACGCTACGGTAATCTTTACATCACACTTATCAAAGGACTCTTAAGAGTTGGAGAACCTCAGCCCCAGATAAGAATTTGATACTTTCTTGCCATTCAGTCCTTTTTTGCTCTTACTGGTTTTGCTTTTGCTGTGTTCTGCTTATCCCTGACCTCAGGTTTATAGCTTCCTTGGGGAAGTTATAGCTCAGACTCAGTTCTGGGTCTAATGTTCACATATACCACCTCCCCTCAGCACGTAAACTGCATATATTCATAGCCATATTTCACACGGCCATGAAGGTTCTGTCATTTTTCCATTTGAAGCCAGAGTGTCATTGTAACTAGGTTTTGTGAACTTCATGTAGCTTTTCTACCAAAGCATGTGTGTGTAAACAATACTACCTACTATTTTATTTTCTTATGTAAAATGTTTGGGGTGGTTGGTGTCCCTGTTTGGACAACTCACTTACCATCCTTGCATATTTAATGAAGCTGCTCTTGTCATCAGAAACACCCCTGTGCAGCTCTTTCTAATCCTTGCCCAGAGGAAAGCAGATAGTGTTCTTTGGATGAAATAGTAACTTGCTGTTTCAGGGAGACAAACATTGTCTCACACATTTGGGAAGATCTGAAGTCTCAGGAATCGAGCAGGAGGCAGAGCTGGAACCACCGGCTGACTTTGCCGGGCCCTCTGGGGTCTCTTCTGGCCTTCACCCACCTCTGTGCCTCACACGCCCCTTGGCTTTCTTATTCTTCTGATATAGTCGTTCAGTGGCTTCCTTCCAACTGTTTCAAGGACATCTGACTTGGAAGCCCTCAAAGCTGAGTCACTGTTGGCTTGAAACATCATGTGTGAGAACCAGGGCCAAACTCACTTGTCTCCCCCATAAATCTACCGTTATTCATCCACCCCACATATTAACTGAAAACTCCAGGTTCGTTTGGGCTAGAGAGATTGGTATTCAACAAATGAGGACAGGTGTTTTCATTACTATTCTAGGCATTCCCTGGTGCCTGGTATACAGCAGGTGCTCAGTAAATATTTGTGCATAGATAAGTGAATCTTCAAGATGTACTTTTTTTCTCTGATGTAGTCAGAATATTTTTATTCTAAGTAATTGTACTCTTTATCCTATAATCACAGTATGCAATGAACACAGAACATAGCTCTGAATTTGTGAAATATTTTGTAGTGATGTTTTAATGATATAATAAAGCTGTGAAACCAAACAAGCATACAGGTGTTGCTCTTGACTTGTCAGTAATGGAGATGCAAAGACCCTCGTTTTATCAATCTAACCAAGCAAGCTTTCCAAACTGAGGAGCCAAGTGGGGTACTTGGGGTGCTGGCACAGCACCTCTGAGATTGGTTTCCTGTTGTAATTATCACTTGTTTCCCCCTTTGGAATTGTGGGGCTCAGAGATGATGGGATATGGGGTGTGATTGTTTTAAGAGGCATACATCTGCTTCTGAGTATCTTGATGAAATGCTACTCAGAGTAGCTTAATCAGTGTATAGCAGCAGGCAGGAAGGGACTGTCAGAGGGGCTGGACTGGCAGGTTAGGGAGGGTCTGTTTCTGCGGTGTTGTGCTGGGCAGATGGGATGAGGAGGGGGCCACTGGGAGCTCAATGCACTGCAGCTCTGCCAGAGCAAAGCCAAAGCCAAGAGCCTCCTTGGGGACGGGCAGGTTATCTTACACAGCAGGGGTGTGACAGGGCTCTTAGTGTCTCTGCCACTTTACCTGCCGTGGGATGTTAGCCTTGGCTGCCAGCTCTGGAGTGCTCTGAACAAATGCAGTGGGCCCAAGAACTCACTTCATAGCTGCAGGAGTTGTAGGCTTGGAGAAGACGTATCCAGTTGGGCTATGGAGGTTTGAAATTAAGTCAAGCTGTCTGGGTGTGATGCTTGAGCACCTCTGTGCGTTCACAGACGTATAGAGGTGTGTCTGGCTGAGTACTGTGAGGAACAAGCAGGTAGAGGATCTGAATGTCCCACAAAGGAAGACCCATGTGTGCTTTGAATTGAGCGCTAACTGGAGTGAAGTTCTCAGTCTTCAGCTGGCTTCAGATGGAGGAGGCCTGGGTTCTGCAAAACTTTAGGTTGTTGATGGACAGGCATAGGGCCAGCAGTGAGGCCAGTGCAGTCATCCTGTGGTTTGTACCACTGGCCCCCAGATGAAAACAGCCACCAGCAGAAACCACAGGTAGTATTTACTCGAGTTACTCGCCTTCTGGCATCTGCCGGTAGGAACCTAGAGGCAGGATCCTCCAGGCGTGCTGTATTTACCTGTGTATGCGAAATTGGAACATTGTTACTTTTTCACTTTCCTGAGGGAGAATTGTTTTAGTTTTGTTCATGGAAATAATATCAGGATTCTTCAAAAACTGCCTTCCTCTTGCTTTTGTGGTTTAGTAAAGTAAAATTGGTTCAGCATTAAGTTGATATTGAAAATTTCCCTGTAGTATGGGTATTTGCTATCTACTTCTGGAAGAGTGAGAATGCAGTTTTCCCTGGGACACAACTGCTTCATGCTTGTGTCTCCTTCCTTTCCATAGAGAGGTTAAAGTGGTCCTAGAGCAAACAGAGGAGCTACTGCCTTATGCCCTAGTTTGCTCCTCAGTAAAATGAAACCACAGCACCTGCCTCTGTGACTGAAGACCCTGGGTTGTGGGAGACATCCTGCCAAGGTCAGCGTGCCTTTTGTTTTCTGTTCTGTGCAGTGATCAGCTTTGTAACTGTTTTGGGGAATTACAGCCATGATGGCAAGGATCTGAAAGCTCCTTCTCCAGGTTGCTCCTTTTCATGATTCAAATGACTGCGTTGTTTTTTTTTTTTTTTTGAAAGCAGCATGTCACAGCTCAGCTCTAAAGACCTTAGTTCATTTTCTGAAGATGATGATGGCTAGCACACTGATCTAGGACGTAGCATATTCTGAGCATGGATGTGTACTAACTCGTGTGATTCTCACAACTCCCAGGCAAGTACAGTTGCTCTCCCCATTCAAGAGCTGAGGAAACTGAGGCACCAACATAGGATAACTGCAGTTATCCTATGGCAGAGCCAGGGTTTAGCAGCTGCGCACTGCCAGGTCCCGGCCCACGTCCCCAACTTCATCCTCTCCCCTTCTTGTGGCCCAGCTTTGCACCCTGCTCCTTGTGTATGGTGCCTTGGAGCCTGGGCATGAGCTCTTACCTCACCTCCTGGGTGTGTCTTGTCGTCCTCTTCATTCTGGTCAAACTCAAGTGTTACCTTTTCTGACTTGTTTAAAGTCTCCTCTCCATCCACTGTTCATTGTCCCATTTTCCTGCTTGCTTCACTTTTCACAATCTGACTGTGCTCCAGCAGGAAGAGGCCTCTGTCCTGTTCACTGTTAACCACCTGGCCCAGCACCATGAAAATGTTGAAAGAATGTAAGCGCTCAGTGTTTTTGGTAATGGTGTTGGCTCTTCTTATTTACATATGAGGTTACCCAACTCTAATGTGTGAGTTCACAAATGGGTGTGGATATGCATGAACATGCAGGTACACGTGTTCTGGTCTGAGCTCAGTGGTATAGAATCATACTTTTCCTCTGGAGTTAGTCTTAGCTCCAATAGTGATATCCTGTCATCATTTTTCGTTTTTTCTTAGAGGTGTAGCATCTGTTTTAATTCGCCTATGACTGGGACGCGTATTAAAAGAAATGTGTAGCTTTTTCTTTTTGTTTGTTTGGGTTTTTTTTTAAATATCACCTCCTTTCCCACAGCAATCACCTTCTTCCATGAGCTGCATTCATTTCGTGTGTTTGTTCCCAGGGCCCTCTACTAGATTTCGTCAAGGTTTCTGTTGGGAAATTTGACAGAGATAGAGTGAGTGGCAGGAACCCAAAAGCAGGATCTTTGACAAAAAAGGAATTTTCTGTTCCTTTAACTGGGGACTTGGGGTTGTGGTAGAGGCATAGCTTGTGTAAAGGAACAGCCTCCCTGCCTCCCCGTGCTGGGGAAACCTGGCCTGGATGCAGGCCCGGATTTGGTGAAGTCACTGACAGCCTTTTGGACTCCAGTCCCACAAGCTGGCAGAGGCCACAGGTCAAGTGCTTTTCTTCCGGAACGCAACCTCACTCCTCCTCTTGCTCTGCCCTAGATAACCAGTTCAGGATGTCCATACTGGAGCGGCTGGAGCAGATGGAAAGGAGGATGGCTGAGATGACCGGCTCCCAGCAGCACAAACAGACAAGTGGAGGAGGCAGCAGCGGAGGCAGCAGTGGGAATGGGAATGGAGGGAGTCAGGCTCAGGTACGTTTGTCAGTGTTTGACTCCTGTTTGAGTAGTATTTGAGGCAGCTGATCACATTTCCCTGCTGTTGTGATTCCTGGATTTGAGAGGGGAAAAAAGGCCCGGGGTATACTTAACATTACCTGTGCTTTATCCTAAGTCTTACAGTCTGCAATCTGAAAACATGCAGGGCTTCTCTTGTTAACTCCCTAATTTTTAAATCACTTTTTTTTATCTCAGAATTCACTAGTCTTACCTGGCAGTGGGAGGGAGGCAGCCAGTTAAAACAGGCCAATGAATCCTCTACTGGGGCTCAGAATTAAATGTGTCTTTCTACTTCATATTTTCTGTCTTGTTCCTGTCTTAAGGATAAGTACAAGACATAACGGAATTCAGTAATTCATAAGCCTTTTGTAGCCTCAAGATAAATACCAACAGGGCCCAGGCAGCTGTGTATGGAATTATTATTTGGTGTAGAACAACTTTGTGCATTAGAGCGTTTTCATAAATTGCATGAAGGATGTACTGCCCAGCACAGGGGGTTGGCAAGTATTATTCTGGACCTATTGGTCTTGAAGCTTTTGTGTGCATTTCCTTTAGGGGCTTCATTTTGATACAGTCTCCTTGGTAGAACGTTCTCGAGACCCTAGGGAGGAGGTTCAGGCCATGGTCATATTTCTCACCTCTACTACTCCTTGCCTGGAAACCTCAGACCATCTTTCTCTTCCAGATGATGGTTTCCTTTGCAAAATTCTCTCTTTTTGGTAAACTTTTTTTTTTATCAAGTGTTAGCAATATTTTAAATAATAGTAACAGATGAAAACAAAGTATAGTTGGTATTCCATACACGAAAAATCTAACTTCCTCAAATTTTCTTCTAATTTCTCCCTTGTTTTCAGAAATTGATGGAGGAGACTTGGCACACAGTTAATTATTGTTAGGCTAAGACAGCTGCTTTCTCACCTGACACTATGACATTTTCATTGTTTAAAGCACCTCAGGACTGAAGTAAGAGACTCCTATAAAGTCCTTTCCTTTTCACCCACAAAAGCTGCAGAAAGGGAATGGTGCATAAAATCTCAAAGCTCAACCACTCAGCAACTGGCTTTTGTAATCTGATCTCATACTAACTGCTATTGAATATGCTCATCAATTGAAATTGGCTCCATTTAAATGTTCGTGTCTGCCATATATGATAGAGATGGAGCTGTTTTTGTTTAATGCAGAAAAATTCCCCTTTTTGTTCACTAACTGGTGATGTCCATATCCTCATGAATGCGTCTCTCTCGTACGGCTCTGCCTGGCCTTCTGAGTCAAGGTCAGTCTGCTGCATGTTGGGGTCATTCTATCGTGCCTCTCTAAGTTGTTTTTACAGCTCTTACAAGGATGACATTGCATCCATCATCTGCCTTTTTATTTTTGGAGGCATTTTTTCCAGATTTAAAAACAAAAAGCAATGAAGAGCAGTGGTATTTCTGTACTAATTGGGTTATGTGGAATTTGTTGCCAGAAAAAAATATTTTTTAAGTAACATCAGAGATGTGAATTAGTCTATAAGTGCCATTCATTTGGGAGAATGTTAAATATAAAACTGCTAACACAGATACTCAAGCTGTTGAGGTTACAAACTTTGATTTTATTTTTCTTACTTCACTGATTTCTTACTTCACTGAAAGAAAGCCATGTGGTTAAAATTAGTGAATCTCCTGTGTGTCCTTATTGTTATTAATAACCCTTAAATTTCAAGACTTCTCATGCTTTCCCCAGGATCATTTTTACTTTGTGAAAAGTAAAAATTGTTATTGCATACTTTTAAGTGTTTCTTTAGGGGAAAAAAAAAACAAACCACATCTAAGTGATCTTTCTTTCAGAAGAAGCAAAGGAGCCAAATATCTATATGCCCCAGGTAAAAACAATAGTTTATTGCCTATAATGTTTACTTCAAATATAGGCTAGCCGTTTTAGTTTTTATTTTTATTTATTTATTTTTTTGCAGTGCTGGAGCTTGAACTCAAGGCTTTCACCTTGAGCCACTCCACCAGCCCTTTTTTGTGATGGGCTTTTCCAGATAGGGTCTCACAAGCTGTTTGCCCAGCCTTGGCTTTGAACCATGATCCTCCTGATCTCTGCCTCCTGAGTAGCTTGGATTACAGGTGTGAGCCACTTGTGCCCAACACCTTTTTATTTTCTTAACAGTCTACACTTTCCCCAAGATTTGTCAGCGTGACATTCATAGTCATTGTCAGCTGTAATAAGACTCTTCTTAGAGTTACGAGACAACCTTATACCAAGACTTCAGAGAAGTGCTGCTGAGCTAAAATAACCTATTCTGCTCTATTTCATGACATTTCTTTGTTTTCAGTTTTCCTTTTTGAGTTGCTAATCTTTTTTTTTTTTTTTGGTGGCACTGGGATTTGAATTCAAGGCTTCACACTTTTAAGCAGGGATTCTTTCCACTTGAGCCACTGCACCATACCCAAAAGTAACATTTTTTTTTTTTTTTTGACAGTACTGAGGTTTGAACTCGGCCTCACGCTTACAAGGGAGGTGCTCTGACCACTTGAGCCACTCTGCCAGCCCTGAGTTGCTAATCTTAAAGCATTTGTTTCCCCTGTATCCAAATGCTGGCCTGGTAGAGGGCCTGTGGTTCTTGGATTGTAACGTGTACCTTCTCATGACAGTGTGCTTCTGGGGCTGGGGCCCTGGGAAGCTGCTTTGAGAGCCGCGTGGTCGTTGTCTGTGAGAAGATGATGGGCCGAGCCTGCTGGGCCAAGTCCAAGCATTTGATCCACTCAAAGACTTTCCGTGGGATGACCCTGTTACACCTGGCTGCTGCCCAGGGCTATGCCACGCTGATCCAGACCCTCATCAAATGGCGGTAAGGCCGGGTGCAAATAGCTGGTCCTCTTCACTCATTGACATACAACTTCCTGAGCACTTCCGCTAGTGGAGAGAAGTCTACCACCCAGTAGTCTTTGGAGCCTGTGAGCAAAGGGCTTTCTCCCTGGGCAGTTTCCAGGGAATCTTTGTGAGATTGTGCCCAAGAGCTACTAAGTGGGATACTAACTAAATGGTGGACTTTTTATTTCCTTTGGGCTCCTGCCAGAATAGTCTAAACTGCCCTCAAAATCCAGAGCTCTTTTTTTCTTCCCGTCAGGGAGGTTAAATGCCTAGTTTGGTTTCATTTGTGAGTTTCCTTTTAACATGGGAGAATTGTGCAGTAACCTCTGGTGCTATCCCTTGCAGCACAAAGCATGCAGATAGCATTGATTTGGAACTAGAAGTTGACCCCTTGAATGTGGACCACTTCTCCTGTACACCTCTGGTAAGGAATGGATTCATTGATTCTTCTGACCATTTTTCCAGCCTGAGACTGTAACTTAAAAGACAAGTTATAAATTGTTTTATTATAGTGAATTTAATTCCTTTACTGAACTGGGAACTCTGTAATGAAATATCAGACATGCCCACAATTATCCGTCATTGACATTGGGATTTATCAGTTGCTTTGTAATGTTCAACAGTCCCACTGAGATTGCCAGCAAGGACCCAGTGTGTCAGTTGGCAGCAGTGGCAAAAGTGAAACTGGCTTCTTCACCCTCTCACTGGGAACCTTGCTCTGTCTCCCTGTGTTCTAGATGTGGGCATGTGCCCTCGGGCACTTGGAAGCTGCTGTTGTGCTGTACAAGTGGGACCGCCGGGCCCTCTCCATTCCAGACTCTCTAGGAAGGCTGCCTTTGGGAATTGCCAGGTCAAGGGGCCATGTGAAGTTAGCAGAGTGTCTGGAGCACCTTCAGAGAGATGAACAGGCCCAGCTGGGACAGAACCCCAGGATCCACTGTCCCCCAAATGAAGAACCAAGTACAGATAGCTGGATGGCCCAGTGGCACAGTGAGGCAATGAGCTCCCCAGAAATACCCAAAGGAGCCACTGTCATTGCAAGTACAAATCCAGGTAAAAATTCAAAATTGTTACATCTCAGAATTTGACAGCTCCCCAGTTTGCTTTATGCAACTGCCCTCAGAAAAGTTCCTAGGATATTCACATATGTTTTAAGATCTTGAAGTTTTAAAATGTTTCTGATTTTCCTTTGAAAATGCCTGGTGCCCCTCCCAATGTGGAAAGTAGCAGAAGTGTTCATGCAAGAAATACACATTTTGGAGGAGGATTATTATCTAAGTACAATATATGCTGCTGGGGAACACTTAAGCACCAGGGACATGCCTTGAGTTCCGGCTTTGCACTTTGAAAGTGTTGACTCTTTAGGATTCCCACTTTTGCTGTCTGTCCTGACTGTCCTTTCTACTGTACTTTTCAGAGCTGAGAAGACCTCGGTCTGAACCCTCTAATTACTACAGCAGTGAGAGCCACAAAGATTATCCAGCTCCCAAAAAGCATAAATTGAACCCTGAGTACTTCCAGGCAAGGCAGGAGAAGCTGCTTTCCACTGCACTGAGTCTGGAACAGCCAAATATCAGGAAGCAGAGCCCTAGTTCTAAGCAGTCTGCCCCCAAGACAATGAGCCCCAGTGAAGGAGTGAGGGACTGCAGCCGGGAAACCTCCCCTCCCACTCCAGAGACTGCAGCACTCCAAGCCTCTGGATCTCAGCCGGTAGTAAAGTGGAATTCCAAAGATCTTTACATTGGTATGTCTACAGTACAGGTGACTGGAAATCCGAAGGGGACCAGTGTAGGAAAGGAGGCAGCACCTTCACAGGTGCGTCTGCGGGAACCAATGAGTGTCCTGATGATGGCTAACAGAGAGGTGGTGAATACAGAGATGGGGGCCTACCGGGATAGTGCAGAGACTGAAGAGTGCTCACAGCCCATGGATGACATTCAGGTAAGCCCTGAGCAGGTAAGCCTGCAGAGGCCGGACCTTAGAATTGCTGCTGTCTTTACAGTTAACTTGCAGAGGTCATGGAGTTTTCTCCCAGGTGAAGGATTAGAAGTCTGATCTTATCCATGAGAATGCTGGAGTATCTTCTTTCCTTAGACTGCATTTTCCTTCAGTGAATCAGGTGCTGTGAATAGGGCTTGAATGCCAGGGCCCAGGTCTAGCAAGCCCTTTCCTCTTGGCACCAGCGCTTCAGAACTTCTCGTGACCCTACAGTTAGTCTCCTGCTTCTTCCTTGCATACAGGATGACAGCTTCACTGTTTTAAGAACTGGTTATAATAGAGTCAAAGCCCTAAAAATAGCTAGCAAAGAGGCCTATGGATAGAATTTGGATTACCTAAGTGACTTTGCCTGGCTCAGCCATCACCTAGTCATTGCAAAGGGCATATATGCCACAAGGCTCTTGTGGCATGCAGTGAAGTAGCTCTAAAGCTGACAACTGGACTGCCTTTATAATAAATGTAGAAAATACAGAGTCTTTTCAGGGCATTAAACTTGTTCCAGATTGAGAGAACATGTACTGAAGTAAAATTGACATGAGGCTATATTAAACAAATTTTGTCAATTAATATATGTAGGGGAGGGTCAAAGGGTAACCTCTGAGCATGTGATGGACTTCCTCTCTTTCCAACTTCCCATTGATAATAACCCAAAACAAATGCAAAAGGAAGAAACATCACCAGAAATTCCGTAGGACACCTATGCCCATAGAAGTGACACAGTGAGATAGAGGGAACAGAGGAGATCCTACAATCTGACCAGCTGTCCTAGGAGAAGCCCAACTGCTGACCCACCCTGTTCACCACAGCGGGTATTCCCATGTGCTTACCCATGTGCTCCCATTTTGGTGGACAGGAGGCCCTACTGCTGTCTAGCAAACACTGCAGTCATGGGATGCCTCCCAAAATAAATCAGTAAGGTGGGGTGTTTGTTCATTTTTTTGTGGTACTGAGGATTGAATGCAGGGCCTTGCATATCCTAGGTGAGCACTGTACTACTAAGTGTAGTCCTTAGCCCTTTTTTAAAGTTTTATTTTGAGATAGAGCCTTGCTAAGTTGCCTAGGCTGGGCTCAAATTCACGATCCTCCTGCCTCAGCCTCCCAAGTGACTGGGATTACAGATGTGAGCCATCACACCCTGCCTAAATCAAATAATGCTTTAGACAAAGGGCTGCCAGATTTCTTCTGTGAAGGGCCAAATAATATTTTTAGGCTTTGTGGGCCATGTAGCCTTTGTCATAATTATTTACTCTTCCCTAATAGCACAGAAGTAATCTTAGATAATACTGAATGAATGTGCATGGCTGTGTTCCAATAAAATTTTATTTACACAAACAGGTAGCTGGCTGATTTAGCCTGGTATAGTTTGCCAAGTCTTGTACACAATTCCTGATGGAACCCATGCCGTATGTCAATACTGAGCAATCTAGAACTGTATTTATAAACATAAATATACAATGATGAAGCAGGTTGTGTTGAAAGTCAGCAGCTTGAGAGAGGAACTGAATTGAGCATCCAGAACGTGCTGTCCAACACTGATGGAGGTGTACAGTATTTGCATTACCATGTGCCGAGCACTTGAGATGAGGGTATTGCAACCCAGGAGCTAAATTTCTAGTTCTACCTAAGTTAAATTCATTTAAGTTTAAATAGTTTTTGGATAGCACAGCTATAGCAGTTGGGCCCTTACTGACAAGAATTAATGCAGGAAATAGAAAATAACCTGAAAAAACCAACTTCAAATTTTCACTAAATCTAGACAAAATACTATTTTGCTAAGTGAAAAGCACATATCTGGGAAAAAAGCAGTCTAAAGAAGTATTTTGCCAAATGAAAAATAACAATTAAAAATGATGAAATAATTTAAGAAATGGCAAGGCATTTCATGGAGGAATGAACAATCGAAGCAATCTAATGGACCTGTATCTATAGTTACTGAGAGTGTGGCTGCCTGTATTACACAGTAGTCAGAAGAAAAATGTTTAGACAATCTAGAGCTGACTCCATATTAATTTAAGAAAATGAGGAAGGCAGGGAAATAAAGACAAAGTGTATTAAAACAGCTCTCTTTCTCAGGGAAGGTCATAGATTTTGTTCCACTCATGATATGGACTTATAAACAGAGGCTGAATTGTGCTTGTTAGAAATGGCAGGTTAGCTAAGAGCACCTGTGTAGCAAATGTGAGGTCTTGAGTTCAAACCCCGGTACCGCCAAAAAAAAAGAAAAGACTAAATTGTTAAGCTGGGCGCTGGTGGCTCACACCTGTGATCCTAGCTACTCAGAAGACAGAGATCAGGAGGATCACGGTTCAAAGCCAGCCCAGGCAAATAGTACATCAGACCCTATCTCGAAAAACCCTTCACAAAAAAAGGGGCTCGTGGAGTGGCTCAAGGAATAGGCCCTGAGTTCAAACTCCAGTATTTCAAAAAAATGTTGGGTTCATGGGTAGTGCAAAAACATACTGCAGAATATCTAAGTTATTAAGAGAAATGAAGAGAATTTGGCCATTTAAAAAAGTTCAGGGATGTGACATTGGAAAAACCAACAATGAAAATTAGCAGAAAACATTCTAAAGAAATTTCCAAATGTGATCCATTCACACTTTGGTAAGTGATAATTCTATTAAAGGTCAGATTCTCACACTTGGTTAAAAAGAAAGCAAAATATATGCTGCTTGTAAGAGCCATAACTGAAATGAAAAGAAGTAGAAAGAGTGAAAATGAGATGATGAATCAAACTAACAGACAAATAGGTCTAAAAAGAAGAGAGGGGCTGGGGATGTGGCTTGTGATGGAGCACATGCTTACAGGATGCACGAGGGCCTGGGCTTAGATCCCCAGCAGGAAGGAAGAAAAGAATAAAAAGTATAATTCTAGGCAAATTGTGTGTGTGTGCATGTGTAAAATTTTCAAGAATATCTGACAATTATGTTCCCAGCCATATAAGCTCTAAATGTTGAAGCAAACACTAGAAAATTCGAAGAATTTTGGAGCCATAGTCGTAGTGACACAAACACACCTATTTCAGAATTTGTCAAATCAAATAGATAAAAACTTTGGATAGTACAATTACAGAGCTTGATTGAATATAGATGACATACTTAATATGTGATATAACTGTGTCACTAATACAAATAGCAAATGTATGTGTATATAAACACACACACACACACACACACAAATTGCTCTTTTCATCTGTCCAAGTCCCATTCATGTACTAGGACACAAAGAGGGCTCAAATAAAAACCCAGCCACACATCCAAAAAATTGATCACAATCCAAAAAATTAAGAAATGAATTACATGATTTTTCAAGCCCAGTTGTTGAGAATTTTGTTTTAAAGTCATTTAAATTTCATTGTCTTTCCAGCCATCACAATAAAAATTCAGCTACTTGGTGTCTCAGAATCCATTATTTTATTGTCATATTAAGGTGTAACATCAAAGTATGTTTTCAAAATGGAGGGTTTGAGGGGGTGACTATAGAGTGATAACCTTCAGGCTTCAGGAGTTCTGCTTTGCTTTTAATAAAAATTTGAATAAGCCAGGTTCAGTGGTGTGCACTTACTTGGGAAACTGAGGCCAGAGGATTACTTGGGCCCAGGAGTTCAAGACCAGCCTGGTCAACATAGTGAGACCCCATCTCAAAAAAACTTCCATGGAAAAGGAATCTTAAAGACAGGACTTAACTGTTTGCACCCAAACCAAGAGGGCTGTCAGAGTAAGGGAAGCTGCACTATTTCCCTTGTATTCCTATTACATAAAGTAATTTTTACTCTCTACTGAAAATTGAAACAGCTTTATGGAGGTATAATTTTCATACTGTGAAACTTGCCTGTTTTAAGTGTTTGGTTTCATGAACTTCAGCAAATATATACATCTGTGCAACCATCACCACGGTCTTAGAACACTTCCATCACCCCCAAGAGTTCTCTGTGCTTATGGGCAGTCAGTCTCTGCTCCACCCAGCCCTAGGCAATCCCTGATCTGATTGCATCTCCAGAGTTTTGCTTTTTCTGGAAATTTCATCTAAATGGAGTCATACAATGATACTCTTTTATGTCTGGCTTCTTTCACTAACCTCAGTGTCTGTGAGGTGAATTCATGTTGTAAGATAAGCATTTTGTCACCTTTGTAGAGCTTTCAGAACAAGTTCACTTAACCTAAATTGCTATATTTTGATTACCTTTTTCAAGAGGTGTGCAAAGAAATTTTTTAAAATGAGGCCATATCGCTGATCTTTATTATTATTACTTTTTAAGTGTCTTAGCCAATGCCATGGGCTCACATCGGTAATCTTAGCTACTTGGGAAGTAGAGATTGGGAGGATCCCAGTTCAAGGCCAGCCCGGACAAAACATTCTTGTGACCCCATCTCATACGCCTGTCATTTCAGCTATGCAGGAAGTGTAAAAAAGAAGGATCATGGTGCAGGCTGGCCCAAGCATAAAAGTGAAACCCTATTTGAAAAATAACATAAAGAGGCATGGAGGCATGGTTCAGTTACAGAGCACTGGACTAGCAAGAGCAAGGCCACAAAGTGTCTTCATCCAGACCAGCTTTGAAGACTGTAAATTATGGGGGAGAAGGGAGGTGGCACAGAGTATACACATTTAAGTAAATGTAAAAAACATAAAAGGGGAAAAAAAAAGACTAAATTATATCTGTTAGGAATATATTTTGTGCACAGATGCCAGTGATCTCACTACATCCTTTTAATTAAACCATGTTACAAGAAGTCCAGAGGTCCAGGTGCTCAGTGATGCCATCAGGGACCAGGAATTTTGGGTTTTGTTTTTTGTTTTCGTAGGTCTCTGTCTTTTGTGGCTTTCTACTTCATGCTTGCTGCTTTGTGTTTATAGCTGTTGAAGCTTATCTGTAGTCAAGGCAGGACAAAGGAAGGGGATGAGCCAGGTGCATGGATGTCTTTTCATCAGGACAGCACAGGCTTTGCCCAGCACCTCTCTCTGCATGATCTTACTGTCTATAAGTGGGCCATGCCTGCCCTCAAGTGCAGGGGAAGTACAAGAAGAGAATTGTCCTGATGGGTTTAGAGCAGTCATGGACTATCTCCGGTCCAGCACATTGCTGCTTTCCATAAGACTAGGGTTCCCCAGGCAAGGCAAAGGGAATGATTGGATATTGGTTGGGAAGTTAACCAGTGTCACCACATTAGGATTTCAACCTACTTTGGAACCCGCAGGTACGGGATTATTAACTGGTTGATCCAGTTAAGAGTAAACAATAGGCACAGACAAAAGTTCTTTAAGACATGACCAAAGATTTGTAGCCAAACTATGGTTTGGAGATAATCAGGGCTCAGGGATTTAGCATTTTTAGGCATTGTGTAATAACCTTACGATGCAATTTGAGTGCATTGGAGTGAAGTGTAAACCTGCCCATTTGCCCTTTTGTGTGTTTGTTTTTTTTTCAAGGTAGGGGTGGAGGTAGACCCCGCTAACTTTGAAAGGTTCCTTTCTGTGAGTGTTGTGTGAACTTGTGATTCCAGGTGAACATGATGACCTTAGCAGAACACATTATTGAGGCCACCCCTGACCGAATCAAGCAGGAGAACTTTGTGCCCATGGAGTCGGCATTGGCAAGGACAGACCCCGCCACTGTTAGCAGCACAATGAGCTGGCTGGCCAGTTACCTAGCTGATGCTGATCATCTGCCAAGCGCTGCCCAGATCAGGTCAGGAACTTCCTGGGGATCACTGCCCGGGACAAACGCCCCTAACCTTAGCTGGAGGCAGGAGGAAGGGTGCTGGATAAATGCTGTGATGGAAGACTCCCGAGAAGTGTAAGGACTCAGTCCACCGCCACCTCCAAGGCCCAGCTCTGACCTCACCTCTTTATTATCTTCTCCCCAGATCAGAGATATGAGATAATGCATCCTAAGGTGCCCCTACTTTAGTTGAGGTCTCACAGGGGTAAGGCAGTATTCTCAGTGAGTTTAGCATAGCACTACACTCAAAAGGCACAGGACAACCAAAGTGCGGAGTGTGCGTAGCAACTCACCTGACAGAAAGACATCTTTTTTTGTTGTTGTGTTTTGGTGATACTGGGGTTTGAACTCAGAGCCTCATACTTGCTAGACAGACACTCTACCAATTGAGCCACTCCACCAGCCCTTGAAGGCATCTTCTTAATTGCCCACAGTGGCTTCAGGTAGATGCCATCTTGTCTTGAAAATTGATGGGTAACGGACTGTGCAAAAACAGTCATTAACCAGCTCTCCCTTTTCTCCTTTTGTTTCAGAAGTGCATATAAGGAGCCTCTAACCCCTTCTTCTAATACCAGCCTGAGCCCTGTAGGCTCACCAGTCAGTGAAATAGCATTTGAAAAACCTAACCTTCCCTCCGCGGCAGATTGGTCAGAATTCCTGAGTGCGTCTACAAGCGAGAAGGTAGAGAATGAGTTTGCTCAGCTAACTCTGTCTGATCATGAGCAGAGAGAGCTCTATGAAGCTGCCAGGCTTGTCCAGACAGCTTTCCGGAAATACAAGGTAAAATAAAAGAATGTTGATGTTGTGATGTTCTAAGATTGGGGAGAAGAGACCAGAACATAATTATTCTGGCTGAAACACATCCTGTTTCTTTTTACTCCAGGTTCATAGTACGTTATTAATCGTGTCACATTACATTGTTAATAATTTTTAGGAGGTTTAACAAAATAAAAACTTAACCAGTAGTGGGATGGTTATCCACCTATTGTTGATAATGATAGTAGACTTTATTTTACCACAAATTGACACCTTTGCCCTAAGGAATTTATGACCTAAAATGGGGGTTTTCAACTGGAAGCCTAGGGATTAAGTTTAGGCAGCCCCTGAACTCCTGGGAATCACGTGGTGGGACTCTGTGTTCATTTTGTTGGGAAGATAAGCCACAGCCTTTCACAGATTCTTAGAGGAATCTTTTGACACATACCTTTACCCTCTGCCTCACTAGGTCCCCCATCTCCACACCCCACAGAGGTGTCGCAAGCCATTAATCATTGATCCAAAAGCAGAATAGTTGGGATTATTTTAGGAAGGGCTGTTGATCTGGTAAGACAAATAGGCCAATACCTAATTTGTTAAGTATTTTTTTAAATGATTATTTCAGGCCTCCTAATATGCTAATATTGTTTGATGTAAAAAGCAAAAATAGAGGTTTATTCTGTAAATGCAGTTTTCCTGATTTATGTTTATAATTATCACCATTTTGGCAAACCTAGGGTCGCAGTTCTGAGAAAGTTGCATTTACACGAGTGATGGTTCTGTCTTAAGTTTTAAGGATGTTGACAGTTCTTATTTTAGATCATTACTGATTTTTATCCCCCTCACTGTTTTTAACCTTAAGGGCCGACCCTTGCGGGAACAGCAAGAAGTGGCTGCTGCTGTCATTCAGCGTTGTTACAGAAAATACAAGCAGGTAAGCTTCAATTCTGTGTCACAAAAGGAAAATGTATCTGGCCCAAAGGCCCCTAGTGGGCTGAGGGCCCTGGTGTACAGTTTGGCTAAAGAGCACTATATCCAGTTCCTAACCACAAAGACATGATTTGAATAGCCTTGATTAAGAACCAGAGTAAAAGAAAACAAAGATGTCTGCCATTAAGCTTTAAGTTAACAGGTGCAAGCAGGATCTCTCATGTCCCCTTCATGCAGGATTACATTTCCAAACAGCCCATGGGGTTGCATATGCCATCAGACAGGAAAGGGACCTGGTGTTAGTGGTGCACATCTATGCACCAGATCTTTCAGGTGCATTGTATTGTTTACTCCTCACAATTTTTCATAGTGAACAGTTTATTTCTGTTTTATAGATGAAGAAGCTGTGGCTCAGAGAAATAAATATTAGACTTCCTAATTATATAGGTGGTTATCAAATATTAAAAATTGCCTCACTGAGTTTTGACTGGTTTTCATGTTAAAATTCCCTTCTGTTTCCAGGCATGCTGGTTCACACTGCAATAGTCCCAGTACATGGAGGGTTGGGTAGAGGATCATGAGTTCAAAGCTAGCCTGGTACACACAGAGAGACCCTGTCTTGGAAAAAAAATCAGTTCTGTCAAATCTAGAAGAGATTCTGATACTTGTTATTAGGTTGTGCTTTTGATAGATTTTACATTTTAATTTAAGGAGTCAGAGATGTTAAGATGTAGTATAGTTGCATAGAAATTTGGGTTTACATGCTCTGTTCTGATGTACGGCTTCGATTTCTGATATGGGTTGCTATTTTCTTGAGTTTCTCTAACATTAAACCCTATTAATGGGGTGGGGACGGAACGTCTCTAGCTTGCAGAGCCAGTTGAGTTCATGATCCCAGAAAATGAAGGTTTATTGTGCAAACGCTGACACCACATCCCTTCTAGCTCTGCAGCAGGAAATTGGGCCAGCTTCTGTTTGGTGAGCAGGCTTCTTGTTAGCACAAGACAGACACAGAATCGAGGTTTCCAGTTTGTGGTCCAACAAGTATTTATTCCAAAAAATACATACCAAGAAAGTGTTGTCTACAGCCAGAAGGTGGAAGGCATTGTTTCTGGAAATACTGACAACTCTAAGGTTGATATTTTGGAACATTGCTGGCATTGACATAGCCAGGTTGCTTTCTTCTTTCTTACTTTCTTCTTTTTGGTTGGGAGTTTTATTGGTTCTGGTTCTTAATTTCATTATATTCAGCAATCTAACCTTAATCTTGTATTTTCTGTTTTTCCCCAAGCTGACATGGATAGCCTTGAAGGTAATGATATATACCAAGTCCTCTCACAAATCATTCCACCAGAGTCACAAACTTCACACCCATTACCACCTATAAGGAGGGGTCATTGAGATGGCACAAATACTGCCTTTGTCAGGCTACCTCAGCACAGTGCATCTGCTCTCTGGGGACCTTGTGGTTATTCAGTTGGATGGGTTTTGGATTAATAATAGTTGAACATTTTCCTAGCTAGTGTAAGTCCACCCAAGCCAATGACTGTAAGCCTAGTGTCCACTAAATAAATATCCTTTTTCCATGACACTTCATGATGGCCCAGCAAGTTTGAATGTGCAAAGTGCAGGCCAAGATGATGAAAGCCACAAAAGCTCTGTAAGATACAGTTCTTGTCTTGAAAGACTTTTGGACAGTTGGAAATGAATGTAAAACAGGTTAGGTGAGAGGGAGGAAGATAGTTGCAGAAGATTAAACATTGTGAGAAGTCAGTTTCCTTCCTTCATTCCTACCCCATATGCTGAGGGGTGTGGTTAGTTATATGCAGGGATGTTTGAGGAATATTTTTTCCTAACTGATAAGTTGTCTTCCTCTAACAAATGGCTTCATGTGACTTGTACCCAGAGTCATATTCTATTTCTTTAGAAAATTGGACATAGTATTTTTTAAACCAGAGTGAGCTGTGTTTTTAATGTTTAAGAATCTGTGCCCTGTGCCTTCCACCCTCTTTAGTAGCTCTGCAGCAGGCTGGATGGGGGGACTGATGGTATTGCATCTGAGAAGTCCCCAGCTCTCTGACAACCTTCCAGGGTTCATTGCTTGGCCACTGTGTTGGTCTGATGAGTGCTAATCTTTTACAGGGTAAAATGGCTTAAAGGTGTCAGCGTTTCATGATAAGCCTTGTATTTGGGAACTTGCAACTCTGTCAGAAATTTGTCATACAGAATGACAGTTAGAAGTCAGATGCTGACTGCTAGGTAGATCTGTGTATGGTGGGAATTGGGAGGCATAAAAAGCCTAAAAATGTTTCCAAATTGGATAGTTAATTCTAATCTTAAACATTTAAAATCTTACTTTCCAGATATGTTTTAGACTCATAAATGTCTAAGTATTGCTATTAAAAATCTTTTTCAAGAAGGACAAAATATTTTGACATTTTGGGGAAAGCCCCTTGCAGAGCAACCCTTAAAGTAGCATTTCACATTTTGGAAAGGTTAGGTGAAGAGATTCTTCCTTTCCCTCTTTTGTGGTTAAACCCCAAGCAAAAAACAGGCTGAGGGAGGAAGGAGCCTCTTTTCTTCCTTTCCCCAGGCTCAAGGGACACCTGGACTTGTATGGCTCCTGTTGTCACCGTCCTGCTCATTCTTGTTTCCCTGCAGTATGCACTTTATAAAAAGATGACGCAGGCAGCCATCCTTATCCAGAGCAAGTTCCGAAGTTACTCTGAACAGAAGAGGTTCCAGCAGAGCCGGCGCGCAGCCGTGCTGATCCAGAAGTACTACAGGAGCTACAAGAAGTGTGGCAAGAGGCGCCAGGCCCGCCGGACCGCTGTCATTGTGCAGCAGAAGCTCAGGTAGGCTGGGACTCTGGCTTGCTCCTAAGGCCGGGCCTGGGCAGCTCCTTCCAGAAGTTCTTAGGTGCTGGGACTTTGTATACTAGCACCTGTGCTGCTGGTCACTTCTGACCCACTGAGCTCCTTCACTGTACCCTCTGCCCCTTAGTTTGATGTCACCAGTCAACCTCAACTTCTGTCAGAATTTGGCAAGACTAAAAAGTTCATACTTCAAGATGTGTTATTCTGTATTAAAGTCCAAATTGTAGAGCTACTGCCTAGAAGACCTTGGAAGAGTAATTAGGGTTGAGCTGTTCCTTTCTAAAGAATGTAAGTAAAATTTCTAGCACAGTAAAATACATTGACTTTAAAAACTAGAAAATAACCCAAAGAGGGGGTGGATGCAATGACATATGCCTGTAATCCTAGCTACTTGGGAGGTGGAGAGCTGAAGGATCTTGGTTCAAGTCCAGCCCTAGCAAAATCTTTGCAAGACTCCATCTCAGCAAATAAGCTCAGTGTGGTTATTCATGTCTGCAAATTCCAGCTAAGCGCAGGATCTTGGTCTGAGGCCAGTCCAAGCAAAAACACAAGAACCTGTACAAAAATAACTAAAGCAAAGAAGGCTGGGGGTGTGGCTCGAGTAATAGAGTGTGTGCTTAGCAAGTATGAGGTCATGAGCTCAAACCCCAGTAGCACAAAAAAATAAAATCAACTTCTAAATAACAGTCTAACTAATGACAGAATGCCTTTTTCAACAAAATGGCTAATGGCTAGTGAAGAGTCATAAAAGAGCCAGGCACGGTGGTACACACCCGTAATCCAGCACTTAGGAGACTGAGGCAGGAGGATCATGAATTCAAGGTCAGCCTGGGACATAAAAACAAAGTTTAAAAAGAGTAGTAACAGCACAATTACAGGGCATCTTGTTTTCAGTCTTTCCTTGTCACCCCAAAGCTCAAGGACAGGGCGTGAACCCCTTCTCCCCAGTGTGGTCAGACTCAGCACCATGAGGACTGCTGGGAGGACTGCCTGTGCTGCTCATTTGCTACACGAAACATTTAATTAGAAGTCTCCTATCACCACCAGCCAGTTCTCAATTTTTGCATAGCGGGCCTTACAGAACTCTTGTGACGATAATACTACGACTTTTTCAGGAGCAGTTTGCTAACCAAAAAGCAGGATCAAGCTGCTCGAAAGATAATGAGGTTCCTCCGTCGCTGCCGTCACAGGTGCGTTAACCCTCATCTATTCATTTCTTTCATGGGAAGGAATGAAACAGTCTAACCTTCTTAACCTTGCCCTGACTCCTCTGGCCGGCACCCCAAAGTCTCACAGGATGGCAGCTCCTTCACTAGAGACAAGTTGCTACTGCTGGAAATCACTTTAGACTGTTGTGGGCGTCAGCGTTTTGTTTTGCTTTGGGCATGAGTCTGCTGCAGGTGGACTAGCTTTTAATCGGGGTTCTTGTTGACCTATTGCTTACAAGCCACTCTGCGTTGTGGTCTTCACTCTGCATAATTGCTATACTGACAGACATCAAAACCGAAGTTTCTATTTTCAAGGGAGGAGAAAAAAGTTTTAAGTGCCTTCCTTGGTTTTCTGATGTAGAATTTCCATTAAGTGGCTGGTGCCCTCTGCTGGATGTGAAAAGCTAACAATTTCATTAAATTACCCAGAAGAAATGACTGGAATGAAGTGTGTAGGGAAAGACCGACAACTGAGATTACAACTGCATTTTCAACTAGAAGGAACTGGGCTCCCGAGCACAGTCGTTCCCAGGGACATAGCACCTTTTCATGGAGCTAAGCCTGAAGAGTCTCTGTTTCTTCAAACCTGAGCTTTCTTCACTTAGATTGGGGGGAAGGGGTGGTGAAAAATCTTTTGTTTTTTCTACTTAGATTAATATTCCAATCTGGAATCTGTAATGGTGGCATCAGAGCTGTGCTTAGATGGCCAGTGCTGTGTATTTCCCCGTACAGTTGAGAGTAGCAAACTTGAAGCAGGCTCTTCCCTGACTTTTCTCTCCTCCTGCCTCATTACACCAAAAGCCTAGTATTGACACTCAGTTTGATTCCTCAGGGGTTTCACTTTACTATAGTTTTTCTTACTCGTAAAACCATCTGCTTGCTAAGTTTGAAAAGCCTTTGCCTTTGAGACTTAGTAGGGTTTAACTTGTTTCTTGTACTTTTACTTAAATCAGCAAAAGGATGCATTTGTATGAGAAGAAAGCATGCACAGCCTTTACATTCACAGAATAAAAACTTTAAAAAGAGCATTTGTTAGGATTACCTCCGTGTGTCCTAGCTGGACGTGCTGGGAAGAGCACAGGTACACTCCCTACATCTCCTGTCGCACGTCAGGATTGGAATCTGTTTCCCCATAGGGCTAACAAATGAGAAGCAAAGTGAATCCTCTGAAATAGGAAGTCCTGTTAGAAGTGACTGTCAAACTATGGGGTATGACTAACAATGAAGTTGATTCTGTAAGCCTTAGAAAAATTAGTCTCTTTTCTTTATTATTCAGTCATACTGAGTAATAATTAATTATTATTTAATTAGCATTAGGGTACTTAGGACCAGTAGAATAGCCGAGTTTCACCATTTGGTAAAAATACCAAAGACTGCCCTTTGTCTTTTCCTTACACCCTCATGTGTTACAGTTCCATTTTCCCTTTTCCTCTTCTCCTGATGAATAAAAGACCCAAGAAGATTCCGTCCAGCACAGAAACCAGTAGACTGACTACATGGAGCAGAATCACATGGGCACTTCTTTCATGAGACTGGGTCATACGTTCCAGAGTGATTTTATTTTCAAGAAAATTAGCCTTCACATTACTCTTGTTTTGGCCACTTCAAACAAACCAGAACATTCACAAGTTAAATCGTACTGTACTTTTCCCCTCGTTCTTTCTAGTCCTGTCTCAGATTTTGAGTATATGTATAGGAAATGCCATATGAGCAAAATTACATAAGGTACTACTCATATCTCCCTTTTAACTTTTTGCCAAAACTGTGCCCTGTGTTTATAGTTTATGAATTGAGAGAGTAAGATATTTAAACAAAACATGAGTTCATAAAAGGCTGCCTCCCAAAGTAAGCTGGACAAGGGCCCCTCCCACTGTTATTTTTAGTTTTCTTCTTTGCAAGCTAGTAGAAAATATTTCCTGGAGACTTTTACCTACCTTAGGTTTATGTTTTAACTAGCCATACTCTCAGAGGAAGACTGACAGGAAAGCTTATGATGAGAATGTCGGCTTATGGGCTCTGAATGTCTACTCATGGTTTGGAATGAAGTAAAGACCTTTATTGGCTTTTTCTTGACCTTAAAGTTCAAATGCTAGAAAAATCTCCAGGCGAATTTTGATAACCTTTATATAATGACTATGTAAGACCAGTGTTCACTTCTCATTCCCATATGTATAATTAATATTTTCAATTGAGGAGCTTAAAGAAATCCCATATTGCTATCCTGAGGTTTGTTTTAAACGTGTGTGTTTCCTAGGATGGTTGCAATCCTCCTTCCATTCGTGTTTATTTAATACCTCTTTAAGAGACACTGTCACACTTACTGTCTCTTGGAAACATTGAAGTCTGTATTGAATAGGAAAGCACATGATACCCTCCCAGCAAGGTAGGTAGGGAGCGGCCTCTGGAATCGGCAGGAGTCCCATTCCTAAGTCATACGGCCCCAGTGGGTTTTGAGACTTAGAAATAAATTGGATAATTTTGTTCCTGCTCATTTCACATTCCCCATCATCACTCTCCTTTTCTTCCTTCCTCCAGAAGAAATTACTTTATACTCTTTTTGGTTGAAATAAAGCTATTTATAAGATTTCTGTTGTGACCCTCACATGCTAATAGCTCTTTGGTGTTGTTTTACTGTCTAAAGCCCCCTGGTGGACCATAGGCTGTACAAAAGGGTGAGTGTAGCTGCCTGCTAGCCAGTTTATCTTCCATTTTCAATATTTTGCTTTTTGCTTGCTTGCATGGGGCTGCAGCCTAGGTATGCCAGTAGGTTTCACATCCATTTTGAATGAAATAAAACAAAAACTAACCCTAATTACTAACACTGCTATTTTATACCACAGGAGGGCAGTCACATACAGTAGGTGTACAGGTGCATGAGGGAGGGACCTCCTGAGGCTACTGCAGGGCATGCTTAGACTCCGTGAGAGAAGTCTTCCACTCAGACAGATGACTGGTGGTGCAAGTTTAAGTCTAACTAAGGCTGCACTACAAGAAAATGTTAAGCAAGTGGGGTTTTATGATTAAAATAATTCGCCACATCAAATTTTCTCAACCACTGTATTAAAATTTCTAAAGCAAAAAAGCTCAATAGATAGTAGTAGGCTTTTCTCGTGTTTAGAACTGCTATTTCCCTGCTACCTTGCCCCTATCATTTCATTTTCTGAATCTCTTTCCTGTGCTCTAAGGCAAGTCAGAATATAAAGCTGCCCTTCCAGAGCCAGTCTCTACGACATTGGTTATAAAATCGTGAGCAAAGCAGACATCCAGCTTGTAATGGTCATAGCAAATAAAGAAAATGTAAAGTGTTTTGAATCTATACATTCTGTATTATAGTTGGAAGTGGCTATTCCAAAAAAAATTGGTATTTTAAAGAAATTATCTTAACTCAGTGTTCAGTGACACTCCCAGTGTTCCTGAGACTAGAATCCAGTGCTGGTTTATGAGCATGCACAAGAGGCACAAGAAAGAAACTAGATGCAGGTGTGATATGCCTGAAGTTAAAGGCAAAAGTCTTAGTGTCAGAAAACTTTTTTAAAATCTAGGGAGATGTTCACCAGCATTGGGCTTGAATTGAGATGAATTCGATAGATTTTTTCTCACATGGCATCTTACAAGAAGATGAACTGTCAGGTGTAACGTGGGAGCTGTCTGTCAACTGCACTCAGTGCACTGCATCTTAACCTTATGCCAATACTTCAGTCATTTTGAGATTTTTGAGAAGATTTTTTTTTTTTTAAATCATGGTCCTAATGTTTCTGGAGATGCTGTTTCCCATCTAGTTAGATTTCTATTGGTGCTAATATTCATTCATTGTATTTTAAGCCAGGGTCAGCAGACTTTTTCTTAAAAAGCCGAGAGTAAACACGTTAGACTCTGTCTTTCCAGCATCACAGCTCTTCCCCCACATCTGGGATCAGCCACAGACAGACTGCATGAAAGCACGGTCGTGGGTATTTTCTGATAAAACTATTGCCCCACAGGCTGTAGTTTGCCAACTTGATGGTAGGAGAATTGTCATTATGATATAAGTTCTTCTGAACAATGATCTTACCTGTATAAAAAGACTTGCCTATCTCAAACCATGAATAGTTGTTGAAAGAGAAACTTGTTTTGGAAAAAAATTAAAAAGCAACTGCACCTTCTTTAGTGTTAGACAACTGTTTGCCATTGAAATTTTTCTGGTCCCATGCATTACAGGTGGCTTACAGATGTCTGTGCTTGGAATATAAGAGGAAATTCTCTCTCTCTCTCTCTCTCTCTCTCAAATCTCTATCTCTCCCCCTTCCTACCTTCCCCTTCCTCTTCTTTCTTTTCCCTTTCACCCACTGCATACATAGATAATACTTTTTCTGTTTAAAAAAAAAGTGCTAGAGAAGAGATGCATGCCGTGATGCTCAGTTTAACTGAAAGTTGTAACATCTTGCATGTTAAATGCAGTTAGTAGAGCCTGCTGCAAAGAACCAACATTTTCGTAGAATTCGTTGCTTCTGCACTTTTGAAGCTCGTTAGTTTCTGGGATGTTAATGGTCATTTTAAGAGTATATTTTCTAAAGGTGTTTTTCAGTGCCAATCAGAATCCCTTCACTTTTTTAAGTGCCTGCTGCATTCTGTTGTGAACTCCTAAAACTCCTCATGCATGGGAAGTTGGAATTTCATAACATCCCTCATGCCTTGTGCAGTCTTTAGGGAGTTTGAGAGAGAGGAGCTGGGAGCTTTCAGGTTTTTTTCTAACATGGTAATATTAATCCACTAGCACCAATTGCAGAATAGCCTGTGTAGAGCTTTGTGTAATTAATTACCTATAAGATCTCCTCTCCCTCTCTCTTCCTCAGAGAAGTCACAGTGGCACTCCCTCTAACAGTCCCCAAGTTGAAATTCTTGGGGACTGAACATTCTCTGAGGAGGATTTATATTCCTAGAACTTACATCAAAGAAGATATGTTATTTATTTTTAAACTATATCAATTTAAGGCTTACACAATGAAAAAAATACTTGAAAATTTAAATAATGACATTTTGTGGTACAGTGTAGCACATTATTCTTGACCCAAATTTGTAGGTTAATGAGCGGAAGAGTCGCTACACAGGTAGACGCTTGTCATTCATCAGAATCAAGGCACAATGATCCAAGAGCAACACTCCTGGCTTGAAATGTTTATCTCTGCTTGTGGAAGGCTCAGAGAAAGCACCAAATATGCTTGTCTGAGTCCTGTCTGTTTTTATTCAGCCTTTCCTTCAGGTCTAGCCTCTAGTTTATACAATAACTGAAAAATCCTAACACTATCAAAGATTTTTTTTTTGTCTTGGATATAATGGTATCTGTTTAGGGGAGAACTTTCATTATACACAGAGATATTTAAACTGTTTTAAGTTTGTTTTGGATAATTTAGGTGATAAACTAACTTTAGCAAATTACTGAATGATTTTTAAGGTTTAAGAAACCTTTACAAGGTTTGCTGCAAATACTACTTTGCATCTGGGTTTTTCGTATACCTAAGAGGGTGTTACTCAGTTTTATAACAGAAAAACCAAGATATTTCATATGTAGAGGAAATGTCAGAATAATTGAATTACATAATGGACTTAGCCTCAAGGCAGTGAAACTTCATTGGCCTAACAAACAAACAAGAAGCACTGCCTCTTTTTCTGGATGGAAAATGGTTTTCCACTTCTGTCTTAAAGGCATTCTTTTCCATGGAGAGTGGAAGCTGTTCTCATAGATGAGGGACACCATTCTGTCTATTTTCTAGACAGATTCCCCCTTCCTGCAGGAGCATTTCTACAAGACTGGAGGCTTTATAAACCTGACAGTCACAGAAAATTGTTACCATAAGCAGTAGAAATTCTGCTGTTTTAATAATAACCTGTTTCTTAGAAATTGCTGGCCTAGTTGCTCATGATCAATAAATGTGGTTACAGCTGTTCTGCTGAAGTGAAAGAACCTTCCCTGGAGAAAGAAGAAATAATACATAAGGATCACAAATTTTTAAGCAATAGATTTTTTGTGTATTTAGGAACTGGGTTTCCAGGCATTTTGGTAAGTAGTAGTTTCAGCAGAGCAGCTTCACTTGTACTCGTGGGAGCAGCCCTGTGAAATATCTCCAGTGGGTCACTGCAAGTTCTAGAATTATGCTTCAGTCTTTTGCTTTACTGTATACACTTTTACCCAGGGGGCAGTCTGTTGACAATGCCCAGAAGTATACCATTTGATAAAAGTAAACAGCGGTATAGGGTCAGCAAGTGTGATATTACATGTCTTTAGTTATCTGACAGGAGGCCTGCTTTCCAAGTGGCCCGCTGTGTTGACTGAGGAGTGAGAAGTAAGTGTGGGATGTGTCATCAGGGTGTGCTTTAAATCTCCAAAGTAATTTGTCTCACTTGCCTCTTTTAGGAAATGAATATTTTTGGAACACAGTGGTGTGGGTTAAATTGCAGACAACATGCTCTCTGCCGTTCTTATTGGGCCTCTCTGTCTTTTTCATTTTGCAATCCAAATGAGATTTCTGGAAAATGGCAAGATCTCTCTTTTCCTAAAGTCCCCACAAGCTCTTGCAGCTATCAGAGCAACAGGTAACTAACCAGAAAGCTGCATTGGACTGCCCTGTATATTTTTGACGTCCAGCATTGCGAGAATATACCTGCTGAAATTCACTGACTCATGCAGCATTTCTGTGGCTGAGTGTTACTGAGTAGATGTAATGGAGCAGCTTTGCCTTATGCTTTTCCCATGGAGCTATTGTTCGCTACAAGTTTCTGAAGCAGGCCTATTTCATTCATTCATGAATTGTCATTGGACGTCTGATGGAGAGAAACCCTGTGGGCTTCTTCTGGCTTTCAGGGCTGTTGCTTACTACATCTCTTTACTATATTATAATGTAACCTTTTTTTTTTTAATTGAGACTGCCATAGTATCCCAAATTTGTGATTATTTTCAGCATAGTATGCTTGGGGAAATTCTGGGGTTGTCTTTAATGTTCATAGTCGGTTGGTCTCAGGACCACCTAGTTACATGAGCAGCCCTCTCTAGGTCACTGCGAGGAGGTTAGGAAAGGCTTGTTGAGTGTCTTGTGTTAGAGCTATGTAGATAACTGACCACAGGAAATGAGTTTTCAAGTGTGAGTCTAATTTCAAAAATTCAGATTAATGTGTGCCAACTTATGTACTGAAAAGTGTGTTCACAGCACAACACAAGCAGTCTCAGTGAGACTGCGTCAGTTACTTGACTTTGGTTCGCGTCTATAAAAATGAATTTTTTTCCTTCTCTGAATTTTCAGTTTGTGCCATGTGAACACAAAAGATGTAATAGTAATAGATTGATAGAAAAAATATCTCATAAGCCTTTCCAAGAATGGCAGTCAGGAATGATTGATTGTTATTGTGTAGAAGAAACCCATACTCATGGCAGCAAAATTTGGAAGTATATGTAAGCATGGAGACTGTCACAGAGATAACCTGTTAAACTTTCCTTATGTACCCTTCTTGTTGGTAAAGATTTATTTAATGTAAGTGCTTTAGTGATTCATGTTCTTAACACACTGATTAGAAATATCCATTTCTTGGAATTTGTTACATTCTAATATATCAGGTGCTGTTCCAAATCACTACAGTGAAATAATCACTTTCTGTTTCTTTGGAAGTAGAATAACTTTCAGACATTTTATCCAACTGATGTTTGATTTAAAACACAAATTAGGCAACCCACCTTGTCCTGCTTATTCACCTTAAGTAACTTAAAGTTCCATTTATGTCAGTAGGACACATGGCAAAAGTCTCAGAAGTAAGTTACATCCACATGGTCTGCAAATCACAAATGGGTGAACAAATCGAGAAGTATTCCATGACTCTTAGGCACATTCTTTATGCCTGTTTTAGGATTCTGAATTTAATTATGATAATGTTTCTGCCCCATGACATTGTAATTAATCAACATAGAGTTGATTAATAAAATCTTTTCTATAAAAGATTTTTTATAGTCTTTTGGGAAAACCTGTAAAACAAAAATTAAAAACAAGTCTGTTATCCTGAGAAGCACTCTTAGACACAGTGGAGTGAAGTGGTAAAACTCTAGACTTTGAAGTCAGACAGATATAGGTTCAAATCCCTGCTCTGCCATTTATTAACTATCTGATAGGGGCAGGTTGCTCAATTCCTTGAGTCTTAGGTTCTCCATTTGCAATTTGAAGATAATGGCAGTACTAAGAGAACTGTGAGAGGTGACAAATATTAAGTAACCTTTTTCCTTTTCTTCTAATTCTTCCTTTCACAACTTTCTGTTTAGAAAAGTAATAAACAGGGCTAGGATGTGGCTCAAGTGGTAGAGCAGCTGCCTAACAAGCTTGAAGCTCTGAGTTCAAAACCCCACTACTGCCAAAACAAAGCAAAAACCCAAACAACAAAACCAGTCTGTGCCATTTAAGTCAATTTGATGTCATTTATAATGCCATAACTTCAGGATGAAACTAAAACTAAGTTCTCTTCCTTTATCTCAAGAGTTCTGAAAGCCTAGAAAATGCATCTGAGTATTGGAATGTTCTCTCTCTCTCTCTCTTTTTTTTTTTTTCTTTTTGGCCATACTGGGGTTTGAACTCAGGTCCTCATGCTTGCCAGGCAGACGCTTTACTGTTTGAGCCACTCCGACAGCTCCTCATTCTTCTTAGGTAGACATTCTCTGTGTACAGACACACATCTCTCCTTAACTTAGTGGTCTGTGAGGACATCATTAATTTTATAGCAGAGTGTTTATGCAATAACTTTAAACCCCATGAAAATGTAGATGACTTTTTAATTAGTTCTGAAAGAAACTGGGAAAAAAACCTGCAAAAAACAAATGTGGCCATTTTAACTAGAAGAAAAATATTTTAAGTTATACCTACCCTGACCAGCTGATTACAGATTCTTTGGTATAAAACTTCACAAAACATTTCTGTTTTATAGTTTACTCCCTTCTTATTCCATCTTAATGATGAGCTTAATATTCGTAGAGCATTCCTGTCGTTCTAGAAAAATTGTGAGTGGACATCATTGTGTTGAAGCCATCAGATTTTGAGTTCAGACTTCTTTAAATCCGGAAATCTCTGCAGTGATGGAGCAAAAGAGCTCTGTGCTAGGGCAGAAGTGGAGTGTGGTGTTTCAGTGGCACCTTCCCCGTGACTCGGCTCATAGCTCCGCACAAGTACAGACACTGCATGTCCAGAGGAAAGGCAGCATCTGTGCATGCTTTGCATTTTCCCAGCCAAAGGGATGTTAGTATAGATACTGCATGTTTAAAAATTGAACACAAACTATAGCATGTTTCAATTTTTAAAAAGCCATTTATCAAGTATGCATGTCCAAAATCAGGGGTGTACAATTCCATATTATATAGTATGACCCAAATTAACCTTAAGTTTAATAAGCAATGATATCTTAATTATAAATTTAAATCTAAATAATATGTGGATCTAGTTATGGATATAGCAATGAATATTAAATGTGCCTGTTAAGAAGGATTCAGCAGTTTGGGAAATACACTGTCACTGTCGTTTGTAAATATCACTTAAGACTAAATGGGGCTTGGTCTGTGTAGTAGGTCAGACGAATAAGCAAGTTTTCAAACATAACAATTTTTATTATAAGTGATGATAAAATGATAAAGCTTTTCTTCAGAAAGAGAACATCTCTCTGAAGATATATCAGATTTGCAGAATACCCAGAAATGACTCTGCTTGGAGGTGGTAAATATAAAAGTTTTCTTTTAAGAAGTTTTCTTAAATCACATTAGAGTATATGTGTTTTTCCATTCCCTTCCAACCTATGTAACACATAGTTTTTTTGTTTTGTTTTGTTTTGTTTTTTTGTAGGACTGGGGTTTAAACTTGCAAAGCAGGAACTTTACTGCTTGAGCCACATCTCCAGTCCATTTTGCTCTGGCTGTTTTGGAGATAGGGTCTCATGAACTATTTGTCTGGGCTGGCCTCCAACTGCAATCCTCCCGATCTGAGCCTCCCAAATAGCTAGGTGCAAGCCACTGGTGCTTGGCCAACAATAACTTACTAGTTTTTTCCAGAATGTTTTCTTCCTCTCTGGGTTTTATTGAGTTTATTTAGAAAGTAAACTAGCACTCATGTTAAAATAAAATTTTAATTTACTGGTATAACCTAAGATAATAGGAGAGAACTTACATAAGAGAATCAGACCTTTGCACAGGCCCATTACAAATCAGACATTCCCTCATTGTGCCATTGAGGTGGAGTAGAGGTGTCATGAGAAACTGCTACTCTGTTGGGCTGAAATCGTCTTGTTTTTGGGAAACAAATGTTATACAGTATATAGTATACAAACTGACTTACACAGCATGCACCGACTTGCATTTGATCATTCTGCTATAAATGCAAGTTTGAAATTTTTCAGCATAGAGAGACATTTGAATGGCTTATAAGTGCTTCCCTGGCACCCCACCTAGGTCAAGTGCCACATTAAAACAAAGAGGCAAAAGTGAGAAGTGGTGGCTTACGATTCTAATACCAACACTTGGGAACTTGAAGACATACAGCAGCATCCCTTAGCTGAGACAGGGTGATCATGAGTTTGAGGCCAGCCTGGGCTATGGAGCAAGACCCTGACTCAAAAAAATTTTTTAAGAGACAAAATTTTTACATTAAAATAATAGATTGAAACAATTTGCTAATGTGAGCTTTCCAAGACTCAGTCTATAACAGTTTAACATGTTGTTTACTGCAGTATGTCTGATAAGTAGAACAAAGTCCCTTTGTTCAGAGCTCTCTGGGAGCTCTGAGAAGGATCCTGAACGTCCTTTAAAGTTATGATGTAGAATGGAAGGAGAGTAAGAATTACGGAAATCAGACTGCATAATACCTGAGGGAAAAAGTAGAGCTATGTAGGTGTGTGATCAGGTTCAAGATAGCTAACAATCTTGAGTCTGTGAGCAAAGCAATAGTTGAATCTCTAGGCGTATCCAAGCTAAATGAACGTGTGTGCAGTTCCCCTAGTTTCATCATCTGAAACTACAACATTAATGGTAGTCCATCAGGCAAAAGAGAAATTCTTTGAGGTTAATTTTTCCTGTGATCAGTATGTTATTGTTACACTTGCTTTAATGCAACAGACTGATTTTGCTCTGTGCTTGGAGCATTTGTCATTTTTTAAATCACTTTAAGTTAAGGCCATATTTTCCTCTTTGAATATTCTTCCAAAAATGTCCCAGGAGTGTCCTTGGTCATCAGTCCTCAAAAGGGGTTATGTCTTGGCTTCCCACTACAGAGGGAAAGGCAATAGTCCCTCTTCCATGGGTCACAGCTTCACTACATAGTTACACCTGGCGTTCTGATTTGTTTCTCTTCCAGAGTGAAAGAATTGAAAAAGGCCAAGGAACTTGAAGACATACAGCAGCATCCCTTAGCAATGTGACATTGCTTTTCAGACTATTTTCATTTCTGTTTTTAGCAGAGACATGCAACAACACACAAGCGCACACGCACACACACAGACACACACACAGACAGACACACACACACACACACAATCCCTCTGCAGTTTTGGGGAGATCAGCTGCAGGATTTTAACAGGAATGTTTTGGTCATTGCATTTGCACTTTCATGGACAACTTTTAATTTGATCAGCAAGACATCTTGGAACTCAATCTTCTGTTGGATCATAGGAAAACAAGACACCAGAAGGCATTGGAAGAGGCTTTCTCTTCTTAGGAAGAAGCGGTTTTCCTTCTCATATAGGGCTGTATTCAAACATCGTGTGGAACTGTACAAATATTTATACCAAAAATATAGAGAAGAAAAGGTGGGGATACACTAGCTGTGCCTGCACCTGCCAGTTATTTCCAAGAAGCTGAATCTTTGGGATTGATTCTCAGTGGAGGGCTTAGATCATACAAATCTTTATTGGGTCTGTGTGTTTTCATTTCCTTCACTGGTTTTTGTTGTTGTTGTTGTTATTGTTTGTTTGTTTTAACCTCTACAGCACACTTAATGCAACTTTTGAAATCTGCAGGTTTTTAATGTCTTGTGGAAATTTGCAGAGGGGCGGGTGTGTGGTAAACGGGTAATGCATGGGAACTGATGAGAAAACAGCTTAACAGAGTTTAAATTTATTTTCTTGTCCTCACCTCCAAGAACCTGCGAGAAGAGTGATCATCTTGTCCCTTATCTCATGTTCAGCACTTTAATTTTTTGCCTTACTTTCATGTGCAATGAGAATTAAGAGTTGGTAAAGCATGTAGCCTTTTTTAGTAACCTTGGAAACTAGTAATTCCAAGGAGTCATAAACCTTGCCTGGACATTTGCCACCTAAACGACCAGTGTGGTGCTGCATTCTGGCCAGTAAATTCCATGTTTTTGGCTCTCTCTCATCCAAACAGAGCGGTTTCTGTGTATATAGAGAAGGTAGAAATGAAAAGTGAGAAAATATTTGAAATGGATTATATTAATTGCTAAATATTTTATTCACAAAGGTCAATAACATGGCAAGATGAAATTATTTGTATAGTTTTGTCTGAACGAGCGAGAAAAATGTGGATGTATTGTTTGTATATATTGTATATATTAAAACAGAGATATGTGCATGAAATCAAGAAAAAAGAAATGAACAAAAGCAAAGCATTAGTGGCTATGGTCTGTAAAATGAAACAAAAATCTTTATTTCACTATAAGAGTACTTTATTTTAAATGTTCTTTAGAAGAACATTTTGCTAAAGCATGTCTAAACTGCAAAAAAAAAAAGAGCTACTGTATTTAGACTTAGGAAAAAAGGCAGAGTAACATTACTTAAAAAAGGATATGTTTACATTTAATTTTGGCTACCAGGAGTTTATTTTATTTAAAATTTTTTTGCCAACGGTGCCAAGTAATGTGAATGCTAATACTGCTTAAGAAAATTATGTTACTTTTGCAAAACAGATAATCATAAGATGAATCTGTATATGACTCAACACCATCCACTCACTCCAACAACGAACACTTAGAATGATCCAAACCTGACAAAAGAAGTAGTGTGAAAAGTAGGAAATTGTTGTATTTTCATATCTCCTGCTGGAAATCAGAAAATGTAATAAATATTGCACAAAAATATCTAAAAGTGAAAAGGACACAGACTGGTCTTGTAGAGATGTCATGGTATATTTCTATTTCCACATAATGAGGAGCCAAAGAAATCTGATGCTTTTAAAAATTAAACTAGTAATGTCAAATTGAAAGAATAAAGTTTGCATTTGCTGATGCCAGTTTAAAATCCCCAGGTTACATTTGAGCATCAGTTGGTGTAAAAACGAGATGTTTTTACCTGGTTCTGGCTGCCAACTGTGAGTTAAAACTCAAGGCTTGTTGTGAAGCCTAAAAATATTCACAAATAAGCTTTTAAACTGGTGTCTTTAGAAGGAAGGTAGGAACAGAAAGATTGTGGTAAAAACTGGGGTCAGTGCTCTTGGTGCCTTTTCTATAATTGTACTTGTTTTTTAATTACTTCCTTTCACTGCCAACCTCAAATTACTGTACAGTATATGTCTTTCTGCTTGTGATCAGCTTTGACAACAATGACAGCCCCATAAATAGTAGCCACCTGTACATTTGTAAACTGACCTGACCCAGTTTTGTTTTTACATGTGTGGGTTATGTTGCAGTCCCCCAGATACCTATTATTTTACACAATTTGACCTGTAGGAGAACACTGAGTAATTTATAAACATACAAGTACATTCACAACAGGGAAAAGAATGTGAAAAGCCAGCTCTTTCAGATATCCTATATTAATACTGGATTTGAATACATATATTAATTTATTATGGCTCAACTAACTGATCTTTTGACCTGAGTAATGACCTCAGTGGATTTGCTTCAACCCTCACATTTATTTTTTTAAATGTTCCACATGCTACATTATTAGCTAAATAAGTTAGAAAATTCTGAAAGATAGACTTACATAGAATAAGGAGGTTCTTATGGAGGAGATAGAAAGTAGGTTCAAAACCTACCAGTACAACTGTGAAGCCTAGATGAGTTAAAAATGCACTTCCACTGAAACAAAGCATTTCTGACTGCTTTTTCTTGGTTGTGAATCCTAATTTCGAATATAAGAAGATAGGTAATCGCAGCTTTCTTGGATAATCTGAATTCCCAAGTGCCAGGAGTAGGATTTCATTATAAAATTAATAGCTAATCTTATTCTGTCTCCTGAAGATTTAATTGCTATTCTTGTTACCCATTCGAAATCAGCTGTACTGTGTGAACGAAATAAAGACAATAACACAAACCCCTCTCTGGCTGCACGGTCGCTTATGGCAGTTCCACACAGTAGCTGGCGCCCGACGGGGGGTCCCTGAGACTTGCATGTAAAACTAGTCTAGATGTCTTCTTTTTGTAAGTTTTATTTTTGTATTTGTGCATGTAGAGCATCACTGAATCAATGGATCTGTTGAAGAACTCAGCTGCTGGAAACCATGCAAAATGTTTTGAATTGCCCTTAAAATATGGAAAATGTTTTCTGAATGCTTTATATTCTTTCTGCTGTAAATTAAAAATGAAGAAAATTTCCCCATACTATCTGTGTTTTGCTTTAACTTGACCTGACAGTGAAATCTAAGCATTTCCTTCCAATCCAGATGCCCCGTTATGACACTGTTAACATTGTTTCAGATACACCCATGAAAACACCTTGCTTACAAAGAGCACTTGCTTTTCACCTCTTACCCGGCCCCTCTGAGCACATCAATCATTTGTCTGACAGTTCAGTTACTTGAAAGATAAAGACACCAATCTAAATTCGCCTTTTCAGTTAAAGTCCTCTGACGTTTTTAAAAGGCAGTTTCTAGCTCACTACTGTTAGCCTTCCCTTCTTCTGTCGTCCTTGTCCTACTACTCCCTTCACTGCAGAGCTGCTTCGTCCGGCTAGTAGTCCCTCTCCCATCCAATCCACCTCAAAAAACTTATTCCCAAATATGGCATCATAAATTTACCAAGTATGTCTTCAGTGACTTCTAGAGCCCACTGCGTGTAAATGGCATGTCTTGTTTACCTTCTCTACTAACTCAGCGTTTACCCGTGCCCAGCCAATACTCGACATCACGTCCACTGGTTTGTTACCACCTTTGTGCATCCATTGCCTGGAAGATGTTTTTAGCTGCTTAAGCGCCAGCTCTGGGGCACTCTTGTTTGTTCTAATACACGACAATGTTTCCCTTTTCAAATTCTGTTAAACCTCAGTACTTACTTTGCACATACCTCAGAGACTCACCTACTGGCCGATTAGTGTTTTAACTTAGGAGTCTGTTGGCAGGAGTATTTCAGTAACATACATTACAAAGTAACCCTTTAGACCACAGGACCTACTCGGTGCTGGGGCCTACACTAAATGGACTTCCTATTTCATTTTAACTTTCTGGGAAGAACGTGACGTCTCCCCAGGGTCGCTAGGTTATTCTGGGTAGTGAAGCAGGAGCATTTAATGGTACACGGGTCTAAAATGACACCCACCCTCACCCAAACAGTCCCTTTCCAGAGCCTAATGCGCCCCTGGCAGGACAAGTTAAGTGTCCTGCCAGTGTGGCGGCCGTGCACACAAGATGCTGACGCCATTCAGCCGCACTTCAGAGGCTGACCCTCCGCGGCTGGAACCCCGGCTTCGAATCCCTCGCGGAAGTCCCGCCCACTTCCGGCGCGCCCTCCACGGCCGAGCGCGCCCCCGCCCACTGTCTTCCGGCTTCTGGTGACGTCACCGCAGCGCCGCACCGCCCACCTTCCCGGCCTGCGGTGCCTACTGCGCAGTCCTGCAGACCCTCGCTAGCTGCCCCCGCAGCCGCCAAAATGTGAGTGACGCAATGCGACACGGGGCGGGCCCCAGAGATGCCAGCCCGTGCCTGGGACCCTCGATCGGCCCGGCGGCCGCCTTCCGCCTCTCGGACGCGGGTCGAGGCCGCTTGGACCTGCGTGGGGCGCCTAGGGCCTGGGATGGGCGGCGACCCCGGGGTGCCGGCCTCGGACGGGCCAGGACGTTCCGCGACGTTCCCGAACGGCCTCGGAGGGCCCCACGGCCGACCAGCGGACGCGGAAGGGCGAGGGCGGGGTTGCCGGGCTTCCCGGAGGAAGCGACTGCCCCACCCCCGCAGCCCTGGCACCTTCCTGGGGTCCTCAAGAGGGCGGTGACTCCTGCCCTCGGTCGGGAGTGCTTCCTTTCTGCCTAGTGTGGCCCTGGGCTCCGAAAGTGCTAGGGAAAGGACCCAGCCCGATGGAGAGGCCAATACGGTCAGAGTATAGAACAGCAGCTGTCCTGGGCTCAGGTGGCCATTGAAACTGGCGTTTCCATTGGAAACATTCAGAAAATGCTAACTGTTAAGAATTACGAGAACCCAGTGTCCCGCCAGTCTGCTGCTCAGTGAGGACACGGGTTGGGACAATGTACCTGATGAGGCTGCTGTGCCAATAAATGGTTCACAGTGGTTAATATCCACGTCTGAGGAATTAGACAGGACCTGGCTTCACTACAGCCTGCTGCGTTGACACCATAAACCTCACTTTACTCACCTACAAAACGGGGATAATAGTATTCGCTTCAAAGAGTCATGAGGATTCGGTGAGAAAATGCATGGAAGGGGCTTAGCCCCAGAGCGTGGTCCTTACCTATTATCTGCCAGACCCTAATCAGATCTGCTGTATTCCTGGGCCCTGGTTGTTAACACGGTGTAGATTTAAAACAACTATTGACTCAGTGAATCACTGCCAGTTGTGTAGCTGTCTTGCATACTGGAGAATTCTAAGACCCAGGAGCCAGTGCTTTATTAGGGAGGCAAGACCTTATACACAGTAAACCCTTGGTGTCTGCTCCTGTATGGTTGGAAGGAGAGTGCCATTGAGGGAAAAACGTGAATGCTCAGGACGCATGGAGTTCAGTGTTTGATGATCTCAGTTTCACCTATACAGTACATACAGTAGGTCTGAGCATCCATGACTTGAAACCACGTGGACTACACTACATTATTGTTACAGAAATTACTGTTGTACGCATTACTCCTGGTCATTAAAAGCTAGATCTTGTTTCATGCTCTATCTTGACTACTGTGGATACTTGGTTCATTTTTTTCCCCATAACATTGCCTAACTTCTGCTACACTTTGGACATATCTAAAACTTTCACTTTATCACTTAAATTTAGCACATACATGCCCTTTTTGGCTTAGGAAGACTGCCATAACTTTTGCCTTGCTTTGGGGGCAGTGTTAGCTATTTAGGAGGCAGATTTTCACAAAGTTAAGGGCAGGAAACACTCAGCAGGTCACTCAGTGATTTGAACACCACTGACAATAGTACAGGGCTGACTGAGTCTCTGAATCAGCTGAGTTGCAAAACGTGCACACAGGAGGTCAAAATTGGTGTTTTCGAATTACTGAATTTTTAAAATTGTTATTTTTTGACCATGTTTGGTCAGAACCACATGTAATCTGCTAACACTGGTTTATGGCACCATCACAGTGATAGCAACCAAGTAACAGAGGCAGTAGGGCTTCACAGGAAGAGTGATTATGAGAGCTGCATGGGGATAGAGCATTCGGTGAAGACTGTGAAAGATGGATAACTTTCTAAGAGGGTGCATTCCTTCAGCTCACCTTCCCATTCACAACCCTGTTGTTCCAAACCCTGTTCTGTAGATGAATCTTCTTCTCCATATTGGAAAAAGGCCATTCTGTAGTTGCTCACAACTATAAGACACTTGTTGCCACAATAAAAAGGCCAGGAAAATGCTCAGTACATTTAAACAGATATTTGCCTTAAAGCAAGTAGCACCATCCCCAGAGAGGAGGGGGTCAGGGAGGAGTCTATGGGAGTTGGTGCTGCCCTTTAAAAAAGAAGGAAAGGAGAGGGTTAGTGGGAAAAGGCAAAACAACCCTGGCCACTTTATCACGTGGGACAGTCTTGGAAATTATGACGGGATTATAAAAAATGTCTTTAGGACCTTTATTCATTATTGCAGGACTGTCTTTCGGTTTTGTTTGTTTGGTGGTTTATGCTTTAGTTCAGTGTAAGAAAATTGTTAAGACTGAGTCCTGGAATAACATCTTTATACGTGCAGAAATGTGTTTGGATTGTAGTTACTCACGCCTGTTTCTTTACACATTTCAGGTCTGCAGGTACAACTGCAGGTTCAAGTGCTGCCAGTGGCAGCAATAGAAGACTTCAGCAGACACAGCATCAAGTAGATGAGGTATTGCTTTGCAATTCTAAAATATGAAATTTAAGGAAACACAGGAATTTGCTGGAAATAATTCTGTTTAAAAAAGTATCATAAAGGTGTGAGTATAAATTTTGACTATCATAAATATAACAAAAGTATGTCCTCTGCTGTTCTTGAAGCCCTGTTGTAAAGAGGAAGTCAGTTTCCTGGTTTCATGCTTGTTTTCTTCTTTTTTGCCAAATCACATAACAAAAACATAAATTCCTTTCCCTGAAAACATTTTCCAAGAACCACTATATAAAATAGGACAATAAAATTCTAAGAATTGGGTCTATAGATTGCTCAAGCCAAGCCCTCAGCTCAGATAATTTTTTCCCAAATGCTGTTATAGAACCTGATACTAGTTACCTGGCCTTGGCAAGTCTCTGACGTGTTCTCACACACACACACACACACACACACCAGACACACACACACACACACACACCAGACACACACACACACACACACCACACACACACACACACACACCAGACACACACACACACACATACCACACACACACACACACACACACACACACACCCACAAACTCCAGACACACACACACACACACACACACCAGACACACACACACCAGACACACACACACACACACACCAGACACACACACACACACATACACACACACACACACACACACACACACACACACACACACACCCCCACACCCCCACAAACTCCAGCTGTTCTGCCCGGTCTGAGCAGAACCATGGGATTCAGACTGGCATTTTTCTATTCCTAAAAACTGTCACTGCTCAACAAAGATACTTTGGTCTTTGTGCATTTACCTGCCCTAAAAGGTAGAGTTAAAGCTATGTTAGATACTATCTTAATTCATACAGTAATGTTTTAAGCTGCTGGTTTATTTATGAACTTTATTCTGAAAATTTTAAATTTTCATAGTGAAACCCATTCTAATTCTGTCACTTACAAAATCAAATTGGATCATTTTTTTAAACCAACATACAATTAACCATTTTAGAATGCACAACTTAGTGTTTTATTATATTTAGTGTATTGACCGTGTTGGGCAGCTATTACCTCTTTCTGCTTTCAGAACTCTTTCTTCACTTCTGAGAAACAGCCTGTATTCATTTCATAATCACATCTCTTCCCCTTTTTCCCAGCGCCTGGCAACCTCTAGTCTGCTTTGTGTTTCTATAGATTTGCTATCATGGGTAGTGTATAAAAGGAATCATGCAATATGGGCCTTTTTGTGTCAGGCTTCTTTCACTTAGCATAATGTTTTCAGTGTTCATCCAAGTCATAGCGTGAATCAAGACTGTGTTCCTTTTTACGGCTGAGTGATAGTCCATGGAGTGCACATGCCACAGTTTGTGACCCGTTTATCAGCGGGTGGACATTTATGCTGTCGCCACCTCTCAGTTGCTATGAGCAACGCTGCTATAAACGTTCAAGAACAGGATTCTGTTTAGACATAAATCTTCATTTCTCTTGAGTGCATACCTGGGGTCACATCGATGGGCCAGATAGTAATTCTGTGGTAACTTTTCCACAGTGGCTGCACAATCTTATACTCCCACTAGCAGTGTCCAGGGGTTCCTGTTTTTCCACATTCTGCCCTGAATTTGTTTTCTGTCTTGGACGGTAGCCGTCCTGGTGGCTAGAATGGTGTCTCCCTGTGCCTTTGAGCTGCATGCGTAAGTGATTACTGATACCGAACACCTTTCCTGTGCTTATTGGCCATTTGTATGTCTTTGAAAAAATGGCTTTTCATGTCTTTTACCCATTTTTAATTGGGTTGTCATTTTGTTATTTCCTTGTAAGAGTTCTTTATGTATTCTGGGTATTAAACTTTTACCAGATATGTGATTTTCAGATAGCTTTTCCCATGTTGTGGATTGACTTTTACATTCTTTACAATATACTTTGGTATAAAAAAAGTTTAATCTTTATGAAGCCTAATTTATCTGTTTATTTATTAAGACTTGTTTATTTAGCAGTACTTGAGGGGATGAACTCAGGGCGTTGTGCTTGCTAGGCAGGTGCTCTGTGGATTGAGTCACACCTCCAGCTGTGTTGGCTATTTTTGAGCTTGAGATAGGGTCTCATTTGATGGCTTGGGCTGTGATCCTCCTCTTTATGCTTTCCTGAGTAGTTGGGGTCACGGGTGCCCAGCCACTGGTTGAGATGGGGTCTCTTGAAAACATTGCCTGGCTGGCCTTGAACCTCCATCCTCGCGATCTCTAATTCCCAAGTAGCCAGGATCACAGGCGTGAGCCACTGCACCCGGGTTTTTTGTTGTTGTTCTTTTGTTGCTCTTGCTTTTGGTATCAAATCTAAGAAGCTAGGGCCAAATCTAAAGTTGTATAAATTCACCCTTATTTTTTTGTTTTAGGAGTTTTATACTTTTAGCTCTTAAACTTAAGTCATTGATCCATTTTGAGTTAATTTTTGTATATAAAGCACGTGAGGAGTTCAACTTCATTTTTTTATATGTGGCTATCTAGTTGTCCCTGTTTGTTGTAAAGACTTTTCTTTCCTCTATTGGATGGTCTTGGCACTGTTGTCAAAAATCAGTTGACCATGTGGGCTGGGGGTGAGCTAGTGGTAGGGCGCTTGCCTAGCATGCCCAAAGCCTTGGGTTCCATCCCCAGCACTGCATGCAGGGGAAAAAAGAAAATCAGTTGGCCACAGACATTTGACTCTGGACTGTCAGTTCTGTTCCACTGGTCTGTCCTCAAGCCAGCACCACAGTTTCGGTTGCCATAACTGTGTAGGAAGTTTTGAGACTTGGAAGTATGAACCCTCCAACTTGTTTTTTTCTTTCCATATTGTTTTGCCTATTGGACCCTCCCTGCTGTTACATATGAAACAGCCACTAGAATGGGGTTGCCTTAGGATTTTTCAGAGGGAGAAAGAGCCATTGGGTTTGCATTGAATTTGTCCATCACTTGGGAGTGCTGGCATCCTCCTGATACTAAGTCTTCCAGGGGCAAACATGGGACATCTTCTTAGTTAATTCGCTCTTCTTTCATTTCTTAGTGCAATGTTTTTGTTGTTGTTTGCTTTTGGTTTTCAGACAGAATCTCATTATGTAGCTCAGGCTGGCCTTGAACTCACTATCCTTCTGTCTGCACTTCCCAAGTGAGTGCTGAGATTGCAGACATGCACCACTACAGACAGTTCACAGCAGGGCTTTTTAGTTTTTGTTCTGCAAGCATTTCACCTCCTTGGTTAAATATATTCCTAGATATCTTATTCTTTTGGATGCTTTTGTAAAGGCATTTCTTAATTTCCTTTTCAGATAGTTCATTGTGGCATACAGAAATGCAACTGATTTATGTCTTGATCTTAGGCCCTACAATTTTGCTGTATTAGCTCCAGTTGGTGTGTGTGTGTGTGTGTGTGTGTGTGTGTGTGTGAGCGCACATGTGTATCACTTGCAGATAGTTGTACTCTTCCTTTCCAACTTGAATGCCTTTCTTTTCTTGACTAATTGCTATAGCCAGGACCTCCCAGACAGTGTTGAATAACAGTTAAAGTGAGCATTGTTTTTTGTGTTGGGGGAGAGCTGTCTCTCACTATTATGATATCAGTTGTGGGTTTCCCCATAAATGCCTGTTATCATATTAAGGAAATTCTCTTCTATCCTAAGTGGGCTAATGAAATTTGGCTTAAAATAATAAAAGTGCTGACCTGAAAAAAAAAAATGTGCCGGTAGATTTCATTGGGAATTTTTGTTCTTCCATTCCTGTATGTGTGACTTAACTGTGGTCATGCCCGTCTAGGTGGTGGACATAATGAGAGTCAATGTGGATAAGGTGTTAGAGAGAGACCAGAAGCTCTCCGAATTAGATGACCGTGCAGACGCACTGCAGGCGGGAGCTTCTCAATTTGAAACAAGTGCTGCCAAGTTGAAGAGAAAGTACTGGTGGAAGAACTGCAAGGTGACTCCCTCTTCACTGACATTGACAGCAAGCCCCTTTCCTCAGGATCAGCAGAGGCTGCCTGAATCTGGGAGTTGAAGTTCAGCTTCCTCCATATGGACTGTGGGCTGGCTGTGGGTCTGAAGCACACACTGTGCCCCTCCCTCCCTCACACCTGATGTCCTGTGTCTCGTGACTCACGTTCAGTGTTGTATAGAACAGGGACACCCACACACCCTAGACCCCTGAACAGACCGATGGGAGGAGGCTGGAGCAATGCTGCTTGCAGGTGGCTCTAAGACTCGCTCCAAGGCTAGGGGAAGAAATGCTAGAAAGCAAGTGTACTCAGCAAACAAAGCAGCCATCTATACAGCATGGTCCAAAACATACTTTATGCAGTTAGCAAATACATGTTCTGTGATAAGGTCCCAAATACATCCTGCTCCTTGCCTTGTTTACAGGTGACACTTTGAGAAACATAGGACACACTTAGTAGCCCTTCTCATGTTGAAAATTTACATGCAAATGCCTTTCTAGGGGCCACAGATCATTGGGATGTAATTAGAAAGCAAGTAAGTAATGAAAACATTGCCTTTAGGCCCTAGAAATGATCAGTTATTGCAGGCTAGCATGCCTCAACTTGCCCTTCAGCAGCTAGAGTGATAGAGTGAGTGTGACGCTCCTCAGGAAGCGTGTCTGGGTCTGCAGTGTGAAATGTGCATCTCGTTGCAGATGTGGGCCATAGGCATTAGCGTTCTGGTGATCTTCATCATCATCATCATCGGTGAGTTACCCCCCTCCCCCATTCACGAAGCTGGCTAGATAAGAGCAAAGGATAACAGCTCCCTCAGACTGCCATCTTATCCCAAGGTTTTGAATTTGATTCTTTAGGCAGTTTTACAACCTTACGGGTTTTATTTGTTGAGGGGAGGGGAGTCGAGACACAGTCTTGCTATGTAGTCCAGGCTGGTCTCAACCTCTCAAGTGCTGGGATTACAGCTGTGCACCACGACACCAAGCTTAAATATTTGAGTTTTGTATGATTAAAGTCTGAGATTTTTTTTTTATATGAAATTTAATTCTTTGAGGTTAGGGAATCTCATATATAGTGACTGGTCAGTTTTTCTCTCTGAATACATTTTTATATGTATTTATATAAATTTTGTAGGGGGTAGTACTGGGGCTTGAACTCAGGGCTTTGTCCTTGCTAGGCAGGTGCTTTAACACTTGAGCTATGTCTCTAGCCCTTCTTGCTCTAGCCACTTGTTTGACATAGGGTCTCACTTTTGGCCCAGGCCAACCTGGACTGTAATCCTATTTTACAGTTTCCGTCATAATGTAGCTGAGATGACAGGCCCACAACTACCAACCCAGCTATTGGTTGGGGTTGAGATGGGGACTTAGAACTTTTTGCCTGGGCTGGCTTCAAACTATGGTGGTCCTGATCTCAGCCTCCCAAGTAACTAGGAATACAGGTGTGAACCACCGGCACCAGCTCCTAGCCCTTTCTTTAGTTATTTGGATTACAGGTGCACACCACCACACCTGGCTTATTTTCTGAGATGGGATCTAGCTAACTTTTTTCTGGAGCTGGCCTCAACCTTGATCCTTCTGATCGCCACCTCCTAAGAAGCTGGGGGTCATAGCTGTGAGGCACTGTGTCCAGCCCCTACATTTTCTTTTATGTATTATACTGATTAAAAGCATAGACCACCCATGACCCATCCTGGCTTTACCACCAGCCAGCTCTGTGGCCTTGGGTAAATTTATATATTTGGACCTCGGTTTCCTCATGGGAAATAATGGAAACATGGGAATAATATCTACCTTGTTTATTATTAGGATAAATCTGGATAATATATAAACAGTGCTTAGGGCAATGCCCAGCATATAAATAAGTAGAAAAATACACACACACACACATACACACAACACAGCTAATCACTATTACTGTCACTGCATGCAATATATCCTGTATACAGGAACCGCTTAGAGAAGTGTCTTCCTTTCACTGCCAGGTCAATGTTAGAGGTTTCCTTTGTCAAGAATGTATGGTTACTTGGAGCCTTTCTTTTGGCTCTGGTCTCCTTAAGCCTTCTCATATGAGAAGCCACTAGTAGGAAACGAGCCAAATGGAAGTCCTGGTCACATTTAGACTGCAGTTTGCTGTTGTTCTGAATTTGCATGGAAATACTGACTGCACCTAACATTTTTAAATCTCTCGCTTAGTGTGGTGTGTCACTTCATGAAGAGCCCGTGACAGAGCCTGCTACTCCGGAAACCTCTTTGACTTTTGACTTAGCACCTGCTACATCACCAAGCTTACCTACTGTTATTTCTAAAATGATTATTTTTGTTAGTTCATATACAGTTCAGTTTCTAAGAAATGTGCCTTTGTTTTTAATATGCACTCCAAACTCAAGGTGTGGCCAGCCCTGCCACATTTTGCACAGTGCCTTTACAGATTTACATATGGGCTGGGAGAGACTTCTTGAGCTCCAGAGTGCTGTCATCTAGACATGTCACTGATTACCTGCTGTTGATTCCAGTTAAGGGAATTTGGTCCAAATTTAGCTGTCCTGGTCTTTGATATATCTTCAGAACTACATTTTTAAACCTTTGGGTAATCAGATTTCCAACTTGTGCCTTCCAGAAAAAAACACTACTGCCTGACACAAATCTGTGACGATAACAGGCTATGCCTTATTTTGATACTTTCCTTTTTGTAAGCACTACTGACTCTCACTGTATTTAAACTGAGACACTGGTAAATAGATTTTGCTTTTACATTAGATATGAATGTTTATCTTATGTATCACTTGCTAAAATTTTGTTTTAATCAGAATAACTCCTATAAAGTTTTATAGAACTATGACTATGACCAAAGTTTCTGTTTTGCCACAAGTTAAATACAAAGGTCCTTAACTGTCCCTGACAGATAAATTCAGAAAAGTGCCGAATGGAATTCACAGTGCCCGTCAGAAAAATGCTAAAACCGTGTGCAAAACTTTTGCATCTTGATACACTTCCTTGCCTGTGAAATGGTATAGATGATGAGGCGCCTATCTGACTCGGCGTTTTTCACAGGGGTTAGAGGTTTGAGCTAGCCGCTCACCATCTCACACACCTGAAAACAGCTTACAGACCATCAGCTGGGGACACCAGTGCCTTTCTAGTGATTATGTGAGCAAGTTTTTTGGCCCTCAAGTAAAACCAACTGAGAACTTGATTACTTTCTGACCCAACCCCACAGACCAGAGCTTTCTGAAGTTTGTTTCCTATTTTTTATTCATAGTCCACGTCCTAAAATCAGCCTTCTAAATTATGCTTGTGATGAGGCATTGGCTGGGGCAGGTGACTCTTGCTGCTTTGGAAAACTGTTGTCATCTGAGAGACTTCTGTTGTGTACATGAGACTTTTTAGCATCAGTGTATGTGGCTTAAAGGTGGGAGCTCAGGTATGAATGAAAACAGACTAGAGGCACTGAGGAAGAAGCACACAAACTTTACTGCTCTGTAGACCAACATTACTAGAATGTTCTAAAATTCTTGTTCACCTGCAAACCAGCAATAGCCAAGGAGCCTAGGACATGGTTCCATTTCTTTAGCATCTGTTCCCTTGACATCACTGAAATGATTTAGTGTTGAAGGCATGCCTTGCAGCAGGCCTAGCTGAGAGGAGGCAGCTGTCTGGACATAGCTTACCCTCAGTACGGAGTCTCTAGCAGGGTCTGACTCTGAAACCTTGGTGCTCTCTCTCCTTGGCCGCCATACTCCCAAGTCCCTGTAACCCACTGGCTCCTGCATTAACCCAGGAATACCTCGCTTGTGTTTGTACATTCAGCTGGGAACTTGCCAGCTATAATGACCTGAATAAAGTGTTTATAAACGTGATTATGGCCCCTGTGTTCCTTTGGAGTGAGATAAATGCTTCTGGCCCACATCCTAAAAATTGCATCCCTTGCTGAACCTCTTCCTCTCCAATACACACATTTCTTTTCTCACCCATCCCCTCCCAGGATACTATCTTTCTACAACCTAACATTTCCACACCTTAGAGAGCAGCAGCAGACCACGCCCCTCGTGAAAAGTGCTGTTCAGCATGCAGGTGAGTGGGGAGCTGGCTTTCACAGTTACCAAAATGTTCAGGATTTTGCTCTGAGTTTCTTAAACATGGTTGTTTAGAAGTGATGTGCAGAGCTGGCCCTGTGTTGTGGTGGACTGTGTAGCCTGGATGGGTGAGGAACCTCTCCAAACACAAGCCTCTTGTTTTGACTCTGTATGTCTCTTCTTTCCCTTTTGTTAGGGTAAACAAAAGAAAAGCCTTGTTAGGACCAGGCCCCCACCCTTACAGGCAGTTTACTGGGAACACCCCACCACTTACTGGAAGGACCACGCCTATCCTCAAGGAAATGACAAACTCTCACCTCACCAGGGGTCAGAAGCTGGTCCAACCTACCTAATTACTACTTATCTGCTCTAGCTCTCCCTAGCAATGGTTAACCCCGCCCAACAAAACTTCCCCTCCAAGGCTGTATGGGCTGTGGGGTTCTGGCTTTGGCTGGAAACTCCCCTCTGCAGGGTATCTTCCCCAATAAACCCTGTGCCTCTTTTAGTTTAACAAACATTCCTTCTCTTATTCTGTGACCCCCCTAGAAAACAGTATGGCAGGGAGGTAAGGTTTTGCTCCTGTTTAGAATAGAAAAACCTAAGTTCTTTTCCCTTATTACAACCCCACCATAACTTTCTGACCTCATCTCGCAGCTGCCTCTGCTCTGCAGGCCAAGCACACCACCTTTCAGCTGCTCATTGACAAACTTGCTTCCCTTCACAGGGCCTGCACAGGTGCCAGGGCCCCTTCCCTGTCCCCAAGGGCTGCTCCTCTGTCCCAGATTTCGGTATCACCTTCTCAGAGGCCTTCCCTGATGGCAGGCTGATGTACCTCCGCCCCCTCTGTCCCACCTCTGCTCCATTCCATTAACTTGTTTTATTTTCTCTACAGCACCTTAGGCTTTCTGAACTTACTTTAGGGAATCATTCATTTTATTTCGTCTTTTTCAAAACGCAGACTCCCCTACGTGGCAGGGAGCTTTGTTCATCATTCTGTTTCCAGGGATTACAGTCGTCACTGCCCAGGTCTGCGCTCAGTATTTGCTGAATGAATGCAGTCTGACGAAACGGCTTGGGAGGAGAGCGCTCCACTGCGGAGTGTTATCACTTGGAAAAGTAGGCGGTTTGTCCAACACATAAGACCACCCACTTTCTTTTTTCCCCTCTCCCTTAATATACAACTCCTGCCATTCATTCATCAAGTACTTAGTATTTTTGATCTATCAGGCAGCAGAGGGGTGGGGCTCGGCCCTGAACTTTTCATTTCGGGAGATCAGAGACACCACCCAAACAGCTCTCATACTTTCCTTCAAGGGCGCTCTCAACACCTCCCTTTTCTGAAACCCATCGTCTTTTACGTACACTTGCCTTCCTCCAGTTGCCAAATGAATCTGCAGCTGTAGGAAGGCCAGAGAAGTGTTGCCTTCCCTTTCTGAAAACCGGGTTGGATTTTACCTGGGGTGCTCGGTGGCGCGGTTCCTCCAGGGACACCCCATTCACCTAGAGTTAACGAGAGGGAAAGGAGGGTTAGAAAAGATGGAAAATGGAACTCAACGAGACCCTAAAGCACTACGACTTCCCAGGGTCCTCCCCTAGACCCTCTCCAGCAGCCTCGAGCCGGCTGGGTGACCGCGATCACCTCCAGGAAAACCGAGTGGTCCGCGCTCGGCCTCTCGACCGCGCAGCCGCTCACGTGGAAGCCGCGCCGGCCCCGCCCACCCCTCCTCCCGGGCCCGTCTCCACGTGACTGGCAGCTCCTGTGCCCTATCACTGCCCCGCCGGTTGCACGACCCCTCCCTCCCAGGGGGACAAACCCCCGCTCTGGACTCGCGCGGCCCAGGTCCGAGTGTCCTCCGGGTTACTCCTGCCCACGCGCCGGCTTACCGGGATTGGCCCAGCGCTGCCCTCTGCCCGACCACCCCCCCCCCCGCCTCGTTATGTAACGCGTCCTGAAGCCTTCGCCCCCGCCCACTCGCCGGCGGTTATGTAACCCCGACTCCCTCCCCCCCACCCCACTCGGGCCCCGCCCCCAGGCCAATAGGAGTGCGCAGAGATGGCTGAAGCGGCCAATCACATTGCCCGAGGGCGGTGCCGGGTCCCGGGGCGCGCGGGGGGTGCGGACCCGCGGATGCCCCGCACGCGGCCGGCCTCGAGACTGAGCGGGGCGGTCAGCGGGCAGGCAAGGGCTGCACCGGGCTGCTGGCGGTAGCGAGCGCTCCGCGCTGTAGGAAGCCTTCGAGTCCGCGCAGCCCTGGCGCCTCGAGCCTTGCCTCCCTCCGGGAGACCCCGGAACGCTGCGCTCTTGAGTCGCCCCCTCCGCCGGGCCCCTTTCGTCGGTGCACGCCGACTTTCCAGAACTGACCGTGGGAAAGTTGGTTGGGGTGAGGACGCTCCCCGAGGGCAGCGCAGGGGACCGCGGCCAGCCGGCTTCCGGCATCGTGTTGAAGGTGTCACTTGTCACCTTTGTCTTCTCCCCCCAGGCTGGAGTGGAAGAATCCGAGGAGATTTTACGGGCAATGCTGAGGGGGAAAGTGCCCCTCAGATGTCGGCCGGCGACTGCGGATTGTCGTGACCGATCGTTCTGTAACCCCATGGCAGGGACCAAAATGTGAAGTCACTTTCCTTCGCTGGCTGCAAAGGGAGCGAGAAGCAGGCGGCGGACCGAGGGCTGCCCGGCAAGATGGACCCCCGCGGAGACCTGGGAGGGTCCCTCGGCGACTGTCCCGATCCCGGGGGACCGGGACTCGAAGGGGTGCGGGGCGAGGACCCTGAGCAGCGGTGGGGCCCGGAGAGCCAGCTGCAGGGGACATACGCGAACAGCAGCCACAGGTGATGGCGGGGCCTCTGTCCACACCCCATGCGTGGTCCTTGGCTGGAGCAGGAAAAGGGAAGGCAGGGTTTAAGGCTCTTTAGTCTTTTGTTACTTATTTCACACCCCGCGGGGTGGGGGGCAGTGCAGGGGAGATTCAGATCATTTGAGTGCCACGATCTGGGCACTGAAGAAGAGCAGTATAGGAAGAAGGTCAGAAGTGAGCTGAGGTTGAAGTGGAAGTGAAGAAGGGCCGGGGGAGGAAGGAGTCCTGAACCCGTGAACTGAACGAACGACCTGACGAGCTTGAACGCGCTAGAGAGTAGCATGCAGTTCCTGAATGTTGGGTGTTGTCATCGTTTCTCATTTTTTTTATCTTCCAGTGAACAACAGGACCGAAACAGGGTTTCCGAAGAACTTATAATGGTTGTCCAAGAGATGAAAAAATACTTCCCAACAGAGAGACACAGTAAACCAAGCACCCTAGACGCCCTAAACTATGCCCTTCGCTGTGTACACAGTGTGCAAGGTAAAGGAGGTGCAGAGAAAATAGGATGGCTGCGTTGCTCATACACTGTGGGGTTTTGGTCACAGGGATAGTTGGAGCTTTTGGTGTAAGACGAGCAAATCTATCACTGCTTTTATTAGTGCCTTAATTTTTCAAATTTGAAAGATCAGGAGAACATTATTTGTCTAATAGTTTTGTAACTGCAATATTTTGCTACTCTGTTGCAAGAATTAAGAGTTTAGCATAAGCATATTTTTAGAGAGGGAGGGGATTTACTAGGGATTGAACACAGGGCCTTGGGCATTGGTGGAGCACTTGAGCTGTAACCCTAACCCCCAGGCTTTTTTTTTTTTTGGTGGTATCTGGGGGGTTGAACTCAGGACCTCCTGCTTGCTAGGCAGGCACTCTACCATTTCGCCAAGCCCTCTGAAAACTAGCTTTTTAAAAGAGATGTAACTCAGTGGTAGAGCACTTGCCAAGCATGTGTGAGGCCCTGGGTTCATCCTCAATACCACAATAAAAGAAAGAAAGCATTGTCTTCTATGGAGGTTACAGAAGGAAAGTATATTTGACTAAATACCTTTCTCTGTAATGCACATACTTTGAAAATGCAGTTATGATATATCAAGAATTTAGGAACTGCTTATTTTTGTTCTGAAGGGATTTTATAAAGTCCTGTTTTCTTTAGCACAAACCTCTGCTTCATCTGCGACATATAATTTCTGAATGCTAGATTACACACCATAAAGTGTGTATGTATCTGAAACATTTGCTTTCATTAATTTGTTTTAGTACATGAAATATATCTTCTTGTGATCTACAAGATTCAAAATTCATAAAATTCACAATCTTAAATTTGTACAACTACCAATATTTTATGTGCAAGCAGAAAATGATCTGGTTTTGAGGAAAACACACAAAGTCCTCATCCTAAGAAAATAAGCCAGCTTGATAGTGCTAAGAAAGACTCCTGAAGATATTGTCACTGGACTACCTGTTTATTTCCCTGTGTTCCTTAGCAAACAGTGAATTTTTCCAGATTCTCAGTCCACGTGGAGCACCTCAGGCAGATGTGACCGTATACAGCCTGGAGGAGCTGGCTGCTGTTGCTTCTGAGCACACTTCTAAGAACACAGTAAGAATTCATGAATTTTGCAATTTCAGCTCAGGTGACTTTTCCTGAGGTCCTTCTCTAATTGCAATTTTTAAACATAAACACCAAAAGCTTCACTAACAGCAATTGGTGATAAAGAAAGGAGAAAACTGCAAAAACAGGTACTGTGTAGTTTCTCCCGCCCTTGCCAGAGAAAATGTCTTAAAAACCAGAAGCAGCACATTGTGTGCTATATGGTGTTTTATCTGCTTCGGTTGTCAGGTGCTTCTATCCCCTTAGCATCCCTGAGTTCTCTCAGATTAAAGAAACAAAACAAACACTGCAGAGAAATTTCCTACATTTTCTTCTCATCTCCAAATTGTTATTTTCTTAGTTATTCTTAGTTCCAATCCCTACCACTTCAAGTTGTAACAACTGGATTTTGTAGAACAGGTGAGTTGAGATGTTGCCATTTTATGTGAAAATTTATGTGAAACAGTATATCTGTTTTGAATTTCTTCTTCTTGACAGTAATTAAGCCTCACATTTTATTAATATGGTGGAGATTACTTAATTTGATGTTTAGACCTCGACATAATTGTAACAGTGACATTACAGTCTTGCAGCGTGAGCTGTGTAGTGTTAAAACAGCTTATTTATCTAACTGCTGTGTGCACAGTGCTGTCATAGGTGTTGTGGAGATTAAAAACGACTTACAAAAACATTTACCCTCTCATTTTTACAGTAAAGCTAGAAAGGAAAGCAAACACAAACAATGACTGATTACAAGAAATTCTATTTGTGTCTAATAGAACGAGTTGGAGCAGCAATTCTTATGTAACCAGGTCTGTCAAAGGCAGTGCCTTGAAGGAGTGAATCTTGAGCTTGGTCTTAACACATGATCTTAATACATTGCCAAAGAGAAGACCTTCCTTCCAGGTTAAAGCACACTTTGCAAAGGAGAGTGAATCAAGTTTATGTGCCACGTATGTGTCATCTGTGTAGAAAGAGCCAGTGGTCATTTTTAGCATAGGAATCAAACCTTCCAAGAAGGTACAATGCAGGTTTTATATTAAGCTGACAGAAGAAAGCTTCTTGGAGAGTTTTGTTGCCTTTGTAGGCTATGTCTTGTGTTTCAAGTTATTATGGTTGAAATCTAGAAAAAATTTACCACTCAGGGAATGCTGTTAATAAGTATCTTAATATCTGCATTTGTTTTGCATGTTTCTCTTAGGACACCTTTGTGGCCGTGTTTTCATTTCTTTCTGGAAGGTTAGTGCACATTTCTGAACAGGCTGCTTTGATCCTGAATTGTAAGAAAGACTTCCTGGAGTCTTCTCACTTCACTGACTTGCTTGCCCCTCAAGACGTGAGGGTGTTCTACGCACATACTGCCCGAGCTCAGCTTCCTTTCTGGAACTACTGGACCCAGAAAGGTAATGGGATCAATGTTTCTGTGTGTCTCTTGCCCCAAGATCAGCCTCATTCTTACAGAAATAGTGCAGAAATTAACACACTATTAGGGCATGAAAAACGTGCTCTATCTTTCTTTTTAAAAGTCAGGATATAATAGAACAGCATGTTCAGTGTTTCTAATAGCATAAAGATCCAATAAGTGTGTGCTCATTTAGTAAGGCTGACTTCATAGACTATATATAATAAATTGACTTTGATTACTAGCATACTGTAGAGCAGCTTAATTGCTACAAAGCCTGTTTCCTTTGAGTTAATGAAGTTAAATGTTTCTTCTCTTAATGATGACATGACTTCTTTGTATAATAGGTTCTTAGTTTAGAGATAAAATTCTGGTATGTAGTTCCCATTCCCTTTATTTTTCTTGTGAAATGCTTTGTTACCTGAACTGGGGATGCATCTCCACAGTTTTCTTTGTGACATTCAGTCCTGTATGTTTGTTGAATACTTCATTTTTTCTTTTTAAAGTCCCCCTTTGTTACTTACTTCATATTTTTTGTGGAATGTCACAGAGCTTAGTATATATCATGCACATTAGCCTTCTCTTTGATCTCAAGCCCTTTTATCTAATTTTTAAAAAGAAAAAGAACTTATTTTTTAAATTGTGGTTAAGTGAAACAAAAACCGCATGTAATAACTGGTTATGGTGGTACAGGCCTGTAGTCTCAGCACTCAGGAGGCTGAAGCAGGAGGCTCAAGAGTTGGAGGCCAGCCTGGACTACATAACAAGACCCTGTCTCAAACAAACAACAGCAAAAAACCCATTTAACATAAAATTTGCCACATCTTAAATCATTTTTAAGTGTTCAGATCAGTAGTCTGAAACGTGTTTACATTGTTGAAAAGCAGATTGCACAACTTTCTCATCTTTGCAAACTCAGTATATGTCTTTTCTGATTTTTCAATCCAGTGCTTGGCCCAGCAAAGTCAAACTTTTCCCAAAATGCTTCATGCCATCTTGTTTGAAAATTTTATATGAGCTGTAGAAAACATGCCTCACACCCTTGCCTCCTAGCCGCATCATCTCTCCCTTTCTCATCTTTCAGAAACACTCTCTTTCCTAAATACACATTTTCAACCTTTACTTGTCCACATTTGTTTCTCTGCTTTCATTAGTCACTTATTTCATAAACATTTACTCAACAGTCACTTTGGGCCAGGAACTATTCTTGATGCTGAATACAACTAGGAACAGGACAGGCACAATACATTGTTTGTGTTCTTCCATGTTTTTCCTTCTACGTTGCCTGTGCAATGTCTTTTCAGTCCTTTCATCTTTGGTCATTACTGATTGCTATGATATTACTCTTCCATGTAAAAGCTTAATATATCCTGAAGTTAGTATCTTTGGACCTGAAATTTTATACTGTGAAGATCAGACGTGCGTCTCTTTTACTCTTATGTTGTATTTCTGCCATATAAATCTCAAGGATTCCAGCTCTGACTGAGAGCAGGTGGTGAGCCCCACAGCCATTCTAGGCTGTGCCCATGTTACTGCCTTCATTTCCTTCCTTTGTGTTTCGAGAACATAAGAGAATGCAGGAAGCTACTGCTCAGTTGATGTAAGCCTTTGGTCCTGCATTAGAACATGTTTTCACATAATGTTGGTCGTATAACCCTCTCAGAAGGATCTGACTGCTGTTTCTTTTGAACACTTTCAGAAACAAGAATTGACACATTTACAGCCTGGGTATTGAATGCCTTGTGGGCTTATTTCCCCGAAGGTCACAATCTTGCTCGTGATGCTCCAGGGACCTGTGGTAAATGCAGTTGGAATTCAGGCGCCTCCTGTGAGCAAGTTTACGTGACAGTAGGGGCCATTTTCTGCAAAGACCTGGTCTTACTCTTTATTTCAGTTTCTAGGGTTCTCACTGTTTATGCAGTCTTCAGAATATGTCTTTAAAACTTCTCACAGCTTTTCATGGTTCCCGTAACAGGATTTTTGACGCAAATGCCCCAAAAGTAAATTCAGGGAGGTCTCTAGAAGAAATACAAATAATCAGCCAATTCTTAGACAGAGGTTCAGTTTAGTCTCTCTTGACTTGAAAACAGGCAAATTTGTTTCTCAGTTGCTCCCTCATAATGAGTGATGTCACTGCACCCTGTTGACATGAGGGGATAAAACATAATGGCACTGTAAACTGGTTCAGTCTTCTGGGGGCTAGCAATACATGATGGTTGCTCTGTTTACCCTAGATCACAGCTTTTAGGAATTTATCCAAAGAAAGAGTGTAAAGTGAAGGAGAGCAGTCAGATTGACACATCACAGAACTAAAGGCTGAAGGTTGTCTACATTTCCAATTGTTGAGGAATGTCCAGACTATTAAAACAGTGGAATAGACTATTACCAGCAAAATAACTGTTGTCAGAGGATTGTTGGTGGTGACATTGAAACTGGATGTGCTCAGTTACAGAGTAAGGAAAGGGGTATAGGCAGCCTTACAGGAAAGTGCGAGGCAGGTGCTTTCACTGTTTTGTCTGAGAGGTGCTGGGGCAATAGGAAAGGAAGAAAGTAACAAGTGCATTTTCCATCAAGAGCAGCTCAGCTCTCTTAAAAGAAACAGCTTGTTGTTGATTTGGTAGTGGAGCAAAATTGCTTCACTGAGAAAGAGCTACCTGGGAGGATGGAGAGTGACGGACTGTCTCTGTTTCAGCATCACAGTATGAATATGCTCCGGTGAAATCCTTTTTCTGCAGGATCCGGTAAGTGAGGGGCTACAGAGGCCAGAAATGTTCATTCATTATTCTGTGATTTTTATTCAGCACTTATGATTCAACTAGGTTCGTATTCAGCTAGGTTCTGTCATGGATAAAAAAAAAAAAGGACCTGATTCTTCTCACAGGAATTTTTCTGTGGATTGAGAAGAACAACATACTCATAAGAAAATCAGATAATGTAAGAAAAAAGATTGGAAGATAATTGCTAACCCCAGTGGCCTGTGAGGATCACTGCATGTAAAGTGATTTGGGGTCCTGTTTTGTTTACTTTTTTTCAGTCCTGCCTAAAATTAATTTTTGGAATTGTTTCCCCATTCAGCCACCCTTTTTCAATTTTTGAATTTTTAATAGCTTGAAAGAAAGCAAGAGATTTATATTTATTAGAAGGGTTTAAAAGAGACAGTGAACTAGAAGAAAATTGGCCAAAATTTTAATAATAGTTGATTTCGTCTTCTAAATTGATTATAACATAAATAGAGAAACTTTTTGAAATGGATAGCTAATGTTAATATTGAAGGTGTTAACTGCTGCAGGTTTTAGAGAAGAGAAAATGCTTATAATGGGTTATCAGACATCCATAGAATTGAGGGCACTTGAGCTGATAGTATTTGGATGCACAGGAAGGGATACCCTGAGGAAGGATGAGCAGGCGGGAGGGCCATGCTGGTCCAGTGGGTCATTCACAACTGAATTGCTTATGAAGGTCTTAGAATAAAACCTGACATGCGGTAAGCGCTGCCTGGTTTTATTATGTTAATAAATATTTTTGGGTCCTATCTGAGCCAGACACTTAATAGTGCTGGGATCAGAGCAAAGTTCTTGCCCTTTAATACTTAAATTCTACAGGGAGGGGACCAGTAATACATAAACGTGCCTGGGTCCCCTGGCAATACGTTGTAGGTAGACAGAGCAGAGAAAGAGATGTGAGGCAGTGGGGAGACTGCTGTGGGACTTAGGGACGTCCTAGTCTGTTTTATGTTGCTATAGCAGAATGCTCAAGACTGGGTAATTTATGAAGGAGAGAGGTTTGTGCTAGTGATGTCCTGGAATCCAAGGGCATGGGGCCAGCATCTGCTAGGTTCTCAAAAGGGCATCATGATAAATGGCAAATTGATGTGTGCCAAGAGAGGAGAGGACAAAGGGAGCCAGACACTTTAACAACCAGCTCTCACCATAAATTAACCCACTCTCACAGGAACTACATTAATCCCTTTGTGAGGGTGGTGTGTCCATAACATAAACATTACTTAAAAGCCCTCCTGCTTTTCAGTACTGTGTCAGTGGCAATTAAGCAAGAGTGGAACCCTTCTCTGAAGAAGCCTGGTTGCAGCCAGAGACCTGAAGAAGTGACGCCCAAAGAACTGGAAGTTAGGAAGGATCTGGGAAAGTGTGTTACAGGCAGAGGGAACACTGAGTACAAAGGCTTTGGGGTGGTGTAGGAGAAGAAATGAGAAGCTAGGATGGCAGGTGCAGAAGGGAAGAGAGAGGTTAGAAGATGAAGCAGGGGCCAGACTGTAGCAAGATTTGCCTTCTGGATGAAGTGTTTTGTTCATGTTACTTACCTGTTTTCAAAACTTTTTACTTTGGGAATTTTCTAACATAACACAAAAACAGAGAAAATAGTGTAATGAACGAGTATGTGCTAACCACCCAGCTCTAATAACTTCAACCCATGGCCAGTCTGTGCCACCTGTTCTACCGCCAGTTCCTCCCCTCCGTTCTCCAAGTTTATTTGAACCAAATCTCTGCTATCCTGTCATTTCCTCTGTAGGCATTTCAGAATGTGTTTCTTAAAGGTTAAGCTCCATTCATCTTTGTGGTGTTCAAATTGTCCCATCTTTGGACAGTAAAGATCCTTTAGGGTGGCTCCTGTGCCACTGTGAGAGTCCCGTGTGATCTTTGATGGCCTCCTTTGTTTTAGGTATATGAACCCCAGACTCAAGACAGTCATTTCTTACCACACTCAGAGTTAGTCATTTCTCTGGGCACCCTGTCCCTTCTGGAGAGAAGCGCCAGTCATATTCAGGGACCAGGTCCGTATAGTGGGGATGGTTTTTACTACAGGACCGTCCTGGGAATTCTCAGTAGGCAGAACTGGGATATTTCATATTTTAGAAGGGAAGCATCACTTACATTATGAAGGATTATGCTGGCTGCCCAACTGAATATACTAAGAGGGCAGGAGGAGCACTGGAAGGATGGCACAAGGCCCAGCCAGCATGGCAGGGCTGGAGGAGAAATATTTGGATATTCTAGATATTTTATTTTACCAGGATTTATTAATGGATTAGATTTGGCACATGAAGTAAAAGGAGTCAAGGATAATAGGGGTTTTTTTGGCTGGAGTTACCATTTATTGAGGTTGAGGAAGTTGTAGGAAAAGCAGCTTCCTGGAGAGAGGCAGGAAAAATGTGGCACTTACTTTTAAACAAGTTAAGCTTGAGATCTAAGTCGAGACTCTGTGAAAGTCTAGTTTTGGAAGACATCCAGGCCAGAGATAGATATTTAGGACATAGTGTGTGTGTGTGGTACTTAGAACCCTTTGACTGGACAAGCCTGGAAAAGTCCCTCATAGAAAGGAAGGAAGCAGACAGAATCAGCCTGGATGTTTGTAGAAGGGTCAGGAAAAGGCCATCTTCTGAATGAGTGAAGTAGGAAGTAAGGTCCTAGGAGTAGAGGTGGGAGGAGAGGAGACGGAGGGAAGGCAGTGAGTGGACAGATGCATCTCTGGCAGCACTGAAACTGCCTTGGCTTAGAGATCACAGATCCAAATGGTGACAGGAGAGTAGAGCACAATTGGTAGAAAACAAGAGCGTGAATCCACTCTTGGACAGTGGACTCTAAGAGATGGGGCATGTCAGAGTGGCTGTGTCCTCTGGGCAGCTGGAGTGAAAACTTTTGTGCTTGTCTCTCAAGCACTGGAGATCCTCTGTGAGAGTTGGAAAGAGATGCCCATTTCCAGGGCACCAGGGAGGTGCCAGGGGCCTAGGGGCCAGGCTGAGAGCTGGCTTTTAGCCCCTGTATTTTCTTTCCTTAGCCAGGCACCTTGAAGAACAGACTGCTTAACCTTAGGCCTGGTGCCTGCACCAGCCAAAGCAGTAGCTGAAGCTGTGAGACTAAATTCGCTCTTTGAAAGAGGGAGTGGAAAGGGATAACTGAGTTGACTTTGGGGGGAGGTGTGATTGCAGGGGACAGTTTTCTGTTTGGTGGCACTTGATGTAGATATGTGAGGAAAGATTGTTATGCCTGTCCCTCCTCACAGAAGTGGAGGAGTCAGACTAGGAATTTGGGGCATGGAGGTCCCTCATGGTGGTCTGAGCAGATCTTCATAAAACCTCTTATTTGGTGACACAAATGAGTATGATTGTCCTTGGGTGCTAAAATTTTAAGCTAACCTTCCCCTTCTGTGGAAAACAAATGTGTTTAAACATTTTAGATTTGGGTATGTGTGTCTCTGGAATTACCAATGACACGTTTCCCCAGCCTGTTTCACAGTGAACTAACTGAGTGCATCATGATCAGTCATCTTTGATCTCTTCAGTGGAGGCGGAGGCAAAGAACAAGAGAAGCACTACTCCCGTTCCGGATCCTCCCCTACTTGGTTCATGTGCATAGCTCTGCCACCAGAATCAGAGCCTTGCTGTCTAACGCTGGTTGAGAAGATTCACTCTGGCTACGAAGGTGAGTCAGGAGGACCTGCACATGGACAGAGACAGAAATGCCAGCACTCAGGAATGTGGGGAAACCTGACTGTGGGGGGCCTACAACAAAAAGGATTGCTTGAGTTTTCAGTTTGTTTCCTAAACTCTTAAGCATTTTTTACTGGTTTTTACTAATGCCTCTCCACAGACTTTGACCTGTCATGCAACTGTCTCCTTCACAGACAGCATGGCCTCGTGGTCTAAGCCTAAATTATATAGTCGTCTAGTCCTTTCTCTACTGGAGACCTGGCATGTGGCCTTTTGGTTCTGTCTTGTATGAAAAAAAGAGTACCGAAATTATTGCAGAGAAGCCATAAGAATGAATTTTAACTTTTGGAAATGTCTTGAAAGTTCTGAGAAAGACTGTAGTTTGTATCTTCTGTGAGCAGAACAAAATTTCTAAATTCATATATAAATATGTAGGCAGCTTCCTTGAACTACCTGAAATTACGGTCAGTTCTTATGTAACATGACGTCCTGTCCTACAAATTACCATCCTATACGAAAATCATACAATAAAAATAGGGCTATTGGGGGGAAATGGGTCCAGCAGCACAGCATTCAGAAACTGTGACACATGAAAAAGACAGAAATCTAATAAAGACAAAAACACAGTTTTATACGTGATAAATGACTAAGAAATACACCAAAACTACAGTAAGTGTGGCTCATAGCACGGTAGGAGCTGAGGTAGCAAATATTGGTGTGTGTGTTTTTTTATATTTCTTAGTGGCTCTGATTAAGTGGATGCCTTTTATGCATTCACTTAAGGTTTCTTTTGAATGAAATCACGTATAAACAAATGTTACATTAGCAGTATGCTCAACTTGTCACCTGCATTTTTCATTTTTTAGCACAAACTGTACATTGTAATACCTAACATGTATGCATATAATGAATCCTGATCAAATTCAACCCTCATCACTCTTTACCGCTTCCTGCTCCCCACTTTCAGTAGTCTCTAGTGGCTTTCATTATGTTCTTTACATACACAGTGTACTTTGATCATGTCCACCCCTGCAGCCATCTCTTCCCCCTCCCTGCTCCCACCGGCTCCGCCCCTCACTCCAGTCAGAACTTTTGTAGATCTAGATTCAGCATATGAGCAAAAATATGCAACTGTTTGTCTTTCTGAATTTGGCTTATCTTGCATATAATAATCTCCAGTTCCATCCACTTTCCTGAAAATGACATAATTTCATTCTTTATTGCTGAATAATACCCCATTGTGTTTGTGTACCACATTTCCTTTATCCATTCATTTGTTGTTTGGTATCTAGGCCAGTTCCATAGCATGGCTATTGTAAATAGTGCTACAGTAAACATGGGTGTGCAGGTGTCTTGATTGTATGTGGATTTGCACTCCTTGAGCTATATGACCAGGAGTGGCTTAACAGGATCAGCTGACAATTCTATTTTCAGTTTCTTGAGGAACTGCCATACTGATTTCCATAATGGCTGCACTATTTTACATTGTACTTACATCCTCACCAGCATTTGTTATTTATTGTTTGTTTACGTTTCTCGTTTTGTTTTTTTTTTTTTTAGTGAGTCTCAGGTTTGAAGTTTGCACTTGGAAAGCAAACTCTTAACACTTGAGGCACACCTCCAGTTCACTTTACTCTGGTCATTTTGGAGATGATACCTCACAAACTATTTGCCCCTGTTGGCCTCAAACCACAGTCCTCCTGATCTTAGCCTCCCAAGTAGCTAGGATTGCAGGCCTGAGCCATTGGTACTTGGCCATTGTTTGTTTTCTTGATGTTAACCATTCTGACTGGGGTGAGATGGAATTTCAATGTAGGGTTTTTGTTGGTTTTATTGGCAGCACTGGGGTTTGAACTCAGGGCCTCATGCTTATTGGTTAGGTGCTCTTATTGCTTGAGCCACTTTGCCAGCCCTGTTTTGTGTTGGGTTTTTTCATGATAGGGTCTCAAAAACTATTTGCCTGGGATTGGCTTTGAACTGAGATCTTTCTCATCTCTGCCTCCTGCTAGGATTACAGGTGTGAGGCACCGGCTCCCGGCTCAGTTTCCTTTGTGGCTGAGGATTTGGGCATTTTTTCATGCATTTATTTGGTATCTCTATTTCTTACATAGTGAACTATCTGTTCATTTGACCATTTACTTGGTCTTTTGGTGTTTAATTTTTTGAGCTCTCTATGTATTCTGGATGTTAATCCTTTGATGACTAGCTGGCAAAGATTTTCTCTCATTCAGTGGGTTGTCTCTTGGTTTTGGTAATTGTTTCCTTTGATATGCAGCAGCTTTATACTTTGATGCAACTTTCATTCTTATTTCCTGAGCTGTTGGAGTCCTCATCAGAAAGTGGTCGTCTATACCTAGATCTTCAGAGTTTCCCTATATCTTCCTGTAGTAGTTTCAAAGTTTCAGCTTTTACACTAAGATCTTCAACCCATTTGAACTGATTTTTGTACAGGTGAGAGATAGGGTTCTAGTTTCAGTCTTCTGCATGTGAATAACCAGTTTTCCAATAGCATTGTTTGAAGAGACTGTCTTTTTCTCCAAAATGTATTTTTAGCCCCTTTTGTCAAAAGTAGATGGCTGTAGTTGTGTGGGTTTATCTCTGGGTCTTCTAATTTTATCCCATTGGTCTCACAGACCAATGTCATGCCATGCTGTGCCAGTGCCATGCTGTTTTTGTTGCTATGGTTCTGTAGTATAGTTTTAAAATCAGGTATTCTGATGCCTCCAGCATTAGCTCCTCTCAGTCACGCTTGCTTTGGCTATGCATGCTTCCATATGAACTTTAGGATCGATTTTTCTATTTTTGTGAAGAATGACATTGGGATTTTGATGGGGATTGCGTTGAGTCTGTAGGTTACTTTTAGTAATATAGGCATTTTTCACAATAATCAATTCTGCCAATTCATAAATATGTCCCGAGTTTTTCAAAGCACCTGTTAGAACAGAACTGACCTGACTGTACAGATTTTATAACAAAGAAAGTCTCCATAGTGCCAATCAGCATTTCAGGTCGTTTTGCTTAGTTATGTACAACTGCTAGCTAGCACTAGAGTTTTCTTACTCTTGCTTTAACTATTAGATTTTTTTGTCATGAGAAAGTTAGCCACTCAGTGTGTGCACACTCCTCTCTCTGTTCAAAGTTAACTTTAGTAGGCATCACTACTAAACCTGATTGAAGTGTGGCTGATAACCCAAGTTGTCATTCAGTGTAGCTTTGGCACCTTGAAGGCCCTTAGGTGAGATTTCTGCCATTTCATACAGAGATTTTGTCTCCCTTTTAGCATGTTAAACTAATGATTAGATGTTTGCCTTTAAGTGAATCTTTCTGTTTTTTTCTTAGCTCCTCGAATCCCGGTGGGTAAAAGAATTTTTACCACAACACACACTCCGGGATGTGTGTTTCTTGAAGTAGATGAAAGGTAGGTACTTCTTTTTTAACCCTAAAAGAAATTTGTTTCTATCTGATATTTGTCAGTTGCACTGAAATTTGTGTTGTCTAAATTGTAATATAGTTGTCTTGCATGTTATATTCAGAAAGAGGTACACAAGGTATGGTGTTAGATCTCACAGCACTGTGCGTTAGGTAGGTAAGGTGACATAGCTCGGTTGTACAGAAGAGGACAGTGAACCAGAGCTTGGTCTGCTCCAGGAACATCTCTAGAATACCTGGCTGTACTTATTTGGGACCACAACTCTGTCACCTGTCATCCATCACAGTTATTTCCACTTGATAGTTGCTCCTCAAATCAGTTTATGATAAAGCTTAGCTAGTCTGAAGTGGGAGGAAAAAAATAAAGAACAGATTTTTTTGGCGGGGGGAGGTAGACACCTAAATTTATTTAAAGGATTTTTTTCTTCATTTTGAACTTATGTCACTCTTCTTTGGGGGGTGGGTGTTAAGATGGTTTGGTATTTAAAAGACAGTGATGGCAGATCGTAGTCACTGCTTATTGCTGTTTTTTGATATCTTTATTTGGAAAAAGTAAATATTGGCATCACATCAGTGATGTATTTATATTTATTTTAAAATTTTAGCTATTCATGAGATTTAAAAGCCTGGGAATGTACCACATATAAATGTGTCACGCAAAAAAATCTCAGAAACCTGGGCACAATTATGATAATTAATTTTGATTTTAAAAAATCTTAATGTATGAAAATGGGTTTACTTAATAATAATTATCCTGAAACCAAATGGCAGTTGGTGAGATATTTTGTATAAAATAATCTGTTTAAAGTAACAAAATTTAGTTAAGGAAAATTCTGAAAATAACTTATTTCATTAGAAAATATTTTTGGATTTCTAGCCGGGTGGTGATGGCTCACATCTGTAATCCTAGTTACTTGGGAGGCTGAGATTGGGAGGATCACGGTTCAAGGCCAGCCAGGGAAAATAGTCCCTGAGACCCATCTCCAAGATAACCAGAGCAAAACGTACTGGAGGTGTGGCTCAAGCAGTAGAGTGCCTGCTTTACATGTGCGAAGCCCTTTCAAACCCTGGTACTACCAAAAAGGAAGGAAGGAAGGAAGGAGGGAAGAAGGAAGAAAGGGAAGGCAGGGTTGGAGGAAAATACGGATTTCTAGACAGTAAATGTTTATGGAGGCAGCTTTGTCTAAGTTATCCTTACCCTTACCATTACAAGTTTCCTGTGAACCTTTATCCCAAAAATGTTTGTATACTAGTTTCTGTTTGATATTACATTGTTTTTAAGTATTTTTAATCATGCTGTGTTAGCTTTCTGTTACTGTAACAAAATACTCAAGATAGTCATCTTATGAAAAGAAAGGTTTATTGGCGCTCTGGGTTTCAGGCATGATCTGGTGCCTGTTTCTTTGGGCCTGTGCTGAGTCTGAATATCATGGCAGGAGTGTGTGGTAAAGCACAGCTGCTCACTCATGGAGCTGGGAAAAAAGAAGAGAAAAAAAGGCCAGGTCCCAGCATCTCTTTGGGGCACACCCCAGTGACTTGACTTCTTTCCCCTAGGCTCTGCTTATTAAAGGGTTCACCACCTAGTAGCACTATGGGCTGGGGACCAGGCTTGCAACATAGGGACCTTTGGAGACAGTCAGGATCCAACATATAAAAATACTGTACACATAGCCTGCTTTATTCATTTACCACCACATCCTTCTGTTACGTGGTCTTCGGAGAGAGGGCAGCACTGGGGTTTGAACTCAGGCCTACTTGAACCACACCCTGGCCCTTTTTTTCTTTAGCTAGTTTTTAGATAGGGTCTCACACTTTTTGCCCTGGGCCAACCTTGAACTGCTCTTCTCCTGCCTATGCCTCCCATATAGCTAGAAGTACAGGCATGAGCTACCTTCCCAGCTTGTTTATTGAGATGCTATGTCACAAACTTTTGCCCAGGCTGGCCTCAAACCATGATCCTCTGACCACTGCCTCCTAAGTAGCTGGGATTATAGGCATGCTCCACCATGCCTGGCCCATGATGAGATCTTTTTAAATAGCTGCATAATAGAGAGCATTAGACTCCTCTGAACACCATGCTGAAAATACAGGTCTTACCTGCAGAGGTTCTGATGAAGTAACTCACAGTGACTTCAGATCTGTTCGTAGTGTATTGCCTGGGTGATTTTGATCCAAATGTGAAATGACTGCCATCATTTCCTAGAGCACCCAGCCATCTCCCACAGTGCATACACTTAGGTCTCTTCCTTTTCTAAAGCTTTAATGAACATCTTTTGCTTCATTTTCCCTACTAGAATTAAGTAAATCTACTTTTTTCCTTCTTGTTTGGATCTGGGAATGGAACTCAACACTCTACCACTGAGTTACATCACCAGCCTATGAGCATTTTTCAAGTATATAAAGTCTAAAATTCACTTGCTATTTGTTGTGTGCCTGTATCCCAGAGCAGTGCCTTTGCTGGGTTACCTACCTCAGGATCTGGTCGGCTCATCGATCTTGACATACTTGCATCCAGAAGACCGTCCTCTGATGGTTGCCATACACCAGAAAGGTAGGGCCTGCACCTTTACAGGAGGAGTCTTCTTTACCATGGATTTGTTCTGATTCTTCATTTTCCATTAGAGTTCAACTTTAACCAGATAATCAATGCATTGAAACTGCTAAAAACAATGGTTTCTTATATTTTAATATAGCAAAAAAATCACAAATAAATGACAGGACACGTGTAATCAATGTCTGTGTAAAGTCTACTTTTGTCTTTTTGTTTTATATAGTCTTGAAGTATGTAGGCCATCCTCCCTTTGAACATTCACCCATTAGATTTTGTACTCAAAATGGAGATTATGTCATATTGGATTCCAGTTGGTCCAGCTTTGTGAATCCCTGGAGCCGGAAGGTTTCTTTCATCATTGGTCGACATAAAGTTCAAACGTAAGTTAATCCATTTGAATACTTTGTAAAAATTCTGTTTTGCCTGATGTACACCTTAGCTCATTGAATGCGCCTTGAAGCAGCTACACACAAAGTAAACAGAGCACAGATTTTCTTTCATTGCTTATGACAAGTCTGTCAATAACCTAGCAAGAGCCTTACTTAAACTATAGTCAGACTTAAAGTAGCTTCAATGTTCATCTTTAAGTAAACTGTGGAGTATTTGTTTGATACTTTGTTATAATGGTCAATAAGAATTTTTGTAGAAAATTGCCTAACACAATACCTCAAATGATTTGCATGCTAGATACAAAAAGCAGCATAGTCATTTATTTATACCTATTTGTATGTTTAATGCATTCACATTAAACATTTGTATGTTTAATGCAGACACAGATTATGGTCATGTGTAGAGAGGGGACTGTGGACAAAAAGCTCTTTCCTGTTTGCCTTTTCTGTATTTTAAAAAGATCTTTTAGTGAGCGTGGAAAACATCACCCTCTGTCGTCAAATTCCACTTGTATCTGTTTCATTAAAATTTATTTTTGAAAATCCAGTTCTTCACTGTTTCTTGTTCTACCAGCATGGCTGACTGCAACTTGTTTGATTGCTGTTCCTGTCCATGTCACATGTCATGTGAAATGCAGCCAGGACAGCCCGGCCTGCTACTTTGCAGCTGAGACACTCCTACTTACTCCTTGAATTTTTGCTCCAGTTTTAGTTGACCTGTAGAGTTTTTGACCAGGTCATAGTTTTTCTTTGATGTCTTTTTCTTTCTTTTTACTTCCTTTCTTTCCTTTTTCCTTTTGCTTGCTTAAGCATGGAAATTATACTATGTCTTCACTGTTTACGATGAGATTGAGGAATTATGTTTTGGGTTTTTTTTTGTTTGTTTTTGTTCTAAGACAAGGTCTCACTATATAGCACAGGTTAGCTTTAAACTCAAGAGTCTCCTGCCTCAGCCTCCTCTAGAGTGCTGGGATTACAGCTGTGCACCGCCAGACTGGCTGCTGGTTTTTGTATTTTGTTATACAACTATATATACATAAGCATAAAACTAGAATAGTAGATCTTACCAATAAAACATATTGTCCCATCTTCATATTACAGTGGAACTGGTACACATTCAGGGTGAGTAGAGGTCTCAAGGTGTTCTCACAAATTTGTACGCCAGCATCTGGCCTTTGCAGAGCAGGTCTAAAACATTAAGGGAAGAAATGGACTCCTCAACACCCTAACTCATGGGACTGAGTCATGGTAGAAAGCTAACTTAATAACTAAAATAAGAACTAAGTCTGCCGGTTAAGTGCTGTTTATATTGGGCAAAAAAGACATTTTCCCCCGGTCGGAAGCCTACTTGCAAATGCAAATAATCAGATGGTTACTTAATGTGAGTAAAGGGCACCTCAGAGCAAATCTTCTCAGGAGTCATCCATCTGGAGGGTTGGTGGGTCTGTGTCCCCTGCCCCAGGCAGTTACATAGATAAATATTAAATTTCCCAAGTTACCCTTTCAGTTCTTTGATTAAGTGTATTACAAATTACCGGACATATAATGAATATTCAAAATCTTGTCACGTTTTAAAGATTGCATCACTATTTATATCTCAACATCTAAGATTATATAAGGGAACTAACTTAGAATGTACGAGGTTTTTAATCTTACATAAAGTAATGGCTGTCTTTTATATTTATCAATTATTTTTAGTGCATTTATTCTTTCAAATATTTGTGGATTGCCTACCCTGGTGAGGTGTTGTGCTAGACCCTGAGAGAGAAAAGGCAAATGTTCTCTTACTTTCTCAGAACCCACATTGTAACGGGAGAGGCAGTGAGTGAAGATGGTCTTGTCAACCAGAAAGTGGCACGTATTCAACTAGAGTTCTGACGTATTCGACTAGAGTTCTGACGTATTCGACTAGAGTTCTGACGTATTCGACTAGAGTTCTGACGTATTGGACTAGAGTTCTGACATATTCGACTAGAGTTCTGACGTATTGGACTAGAGTTCTGACGTATTCGACTAGAGTTCTGACGTATTCGACTAGAGTGTGACAGTTGAGATGGGAAGGGAGCAGTGAGAGTGCTGAGCACAGAGCCCTGGCCATGTCTTCTTGGATCCCAGCTTATGGTGCCATTATCTACCATGTCACCGTCAGATCCACACAAGGTGAAAAGGAGCAGCCTTCCCAGGGATCACTTGGGAGTGGAAGTTCCCTCTACGTGTGCAGCAGCCTCATACTTGAGGGCATCGGTGCTACCGTTTGATGAAGGCTGTCTCTCTCTTGCCTTACCAACTAATAAGTTTGGTTAAAGATAGTTTAGGTTTGTAGAAATTTTCACAACTAGGAATATCTAAACATCATCGTATAAAACAATCTCACTGTTTCCATTTCAACATTTCACTCAAAAAACAAACTCAAGTGTGTGTGAGAGGTGTTTAAGCTCATAGAGGATAGGAAGTGCTTAGGTACTCATTCTTTAACAAATACTTGGTGTGTGCCTGCTTGGATGAGGCGCTGTTCCTGGTACTGGCAATGCAGGAGGAAGCAAAGCAGGCAGAAACCTGAAGCCATGGAGCCTGAATGGTCATGAGGAACAGGCAGGGGCAGATGACCAGCACTTAGTTCTGTAGAGTGCACCTGTGTCAGGTTGTGAGACAAGGTGTTTACACAGAATACCTGTGCTACGCTGTGCTGAGAAGTATTGATTGCACCTATGGGACGTAAAGGTGAGCAGGGCAGCTGCTATGCTGTCATGGGGACACACATGATGAGTGCATGGTCTGCTTTATGACTGCCAGTATGCTAGGATTTTCTGATAGTTTTCTGCCTTTGGGATAGTCTTTCAGTTTTTAGGTAATTGAACTGCATGTGTAAGTTGTAAGAAGCAGCAGATTGGTGTAATTGGAAAAAGGAAAGCACTGGCTCTGGGCTCAATGTGTATTCAAATCTGGCTCTGATGCTCACCTCTTGGTTAGGTGAACTTGAGCAAGTTCCTCAAATGCCCCAGTCCTCTCTGTTTGATACTACAGTACTCAGGATTGAACCCAAGGCTTCACACATGGTAGGCAACCACTCTGCCAATGAGCCGCATTTCAAGCCCTTCTCTCACTCTTAATGCCAGGGGTAACTCCTACTTCATAGGACTCAGCAAGATGATGTATCTGACTCAGTACACCTCACTGGCACTTGCTCTGCTGAGGTCCTGAGAGGCAGTTAGTTTCATGGTGATAAAGGCGTAGACTGGGTTGTGGTCCCTTCATACATCCCTGCTTTCCTGTTAAAAGCTATGGGACCTAGCTATGCATATGTGTGTGTATGTATGTATTTTTACATGTGGGTGTATATGTCCTTATATATGTCATACAGGTGAATATGTGTGTGTGTATATATAAAATCAGTGACAGACAGATAACCTTAGTGCCTAAAATACCTTCAACAGGTTTTAAACTTTGATACACACACACAACACACTTTTTTTTTTTTAAGTGTAACAGTTACATAAAGGTTAGTATTGCAGAGAATCTTAGTCCCACACCTATAATCCCAGCACTTGGCAGGCAGAGGTAGGAGGATCACAAGTTCAAAGCCAGCCTGGGCTACATAGTGAGACCCCCACCTCAAGTAGCCAAGGGCTTGGGGATGTAGCTCAGTGGTAGAGCACTAGCCTAGCGTATATAAGGCCTGGGTTTGACTCCCAGCACTGCAAAAGAAAAAAAGCCTGTTAATGTTTCATTTGTTTCTCTGTATTTTCTATACCTCCATGAAGAGAAATTTAGTTTTATGTTTTCTGAATTTAAGATCAAACAGTTGCTTTGTAAGAGCATGGATGTATTATTTGAATAGTCTATTAAGATCACTTTGGACTTCATTTTAAATGAATCTTAAATTGCTTGGTGTTTTGTAGGACTCCACTAAATGAGGATGTTTTTGCCACCAGAATAAAAAATGCAAACAGTAGTGACAAAGACATTACAGAATTACAAGAACAAATTCACAAACTTCTCTTGCAGGTAAAGTGAGAGCTTTTAAAAAACAAACACAGACTTCCCATGCTCGTGTTTTATGTGAACATTCAGTCTTAGAAAGTACATCACAGAAGTAAACTATGAAAGGGCTCTTTACCCTCTACCTTCCAGGAATGGTTGTCTTTATCTTTTTGCCTATGAATGAAATTGTTCAGTGTATTCTATGTGAAATACACAACATTTTTAGAACCAAGTAGACAGCAAACTGGAGGAACAAGACAGAAAAGCTTTCTGCATGAGAAAAAAATTCTTCTTGTATTCTGAACACCACCAGAGTACTCACCCTCTGAGTTTTTTGCTTCAGTATTGTTTAGAAATAATCCCAGTTTTAAAGGCAAAGGAGAGGGATGGTAGGGCTCTATACCTTTAGTTACTATAAGGTAAAAGCAAGAAGCCTTAACTGCTGAAAAGCAGTATCAAAAGTGGATTCTACTAATGTAACTGTTAGCCCAGTGGTTTCCAACATGTCTTTTATAAAATCTCTAGGTTCAGGAAATATGCATGGAGTTCTTGAGAAAATATGACATATATTTCATTTATTCTCTCTATTCTAAACTCAGAATAAGGAACTAGTTTATTTTCAGGATTTTAAAAATGAATTATACTGAGTCTCTAACTCCCCATTTCCTGCCTGGGGAGCATGAAATGTTTCTCCGTTTTTTCCCATGTCTCCCCACTTCTATCCTGTTTATATTTAACTATACTATTACTTTTCACTAAAAAAATCAATTACTATGGCATTTCAAAAACTGGCAGTTCCAGCTGGGCTCTGGTGGTTTGTGCCTGTAACCGTACTTGGGGAGCTGATACCAGGGGAATAGTTTGCAGATCAGGAAAAAGTTTGTGAGACTCATCTCAACCAATAGCTGGGCACAGTGGCAGGTGCCTGCCGTCTCAAGCTGTGCTGGAGGCTGAGATTGAGAGGATCGTGCTTTCATGCCAGCCCAGGCCAGAAATGTTTGTGGATCTCTTCTCAAGGGAAAACTACGGCATGGTGTATATACCTGTCATCCCAGCAACAGTGGGAAGCTTAAAATAGAAAGATCAAGGTCCAGGCTAGCCTGAGCAAAAAGTAAGAGGCTGTCTCCAAAATCACCAAAGCTGAAAGGGCTGGCAGAGTAGTTCAAGTGATAGACTGCCTGCCTAGCAAGCACAAAGCCCTGAGTTCAAGCCTCAGCATCACCAAAACAAACCAAAACTTAATGTTCCAGAAATGCTACCTAGACTAGAAAGTCTTACTTTCTAGTAAGACTGCCCTTGAGAATTAGGAAATGACCAAGGAGTGTCTTTTACATCAGCATCTGGGCTAAATGCATCAACCTACACCTGATTTAGGATTTGAGAAGTTTTCATTTCTGGTGGTTCTAGAGAAGCTCTGAGCTGGGTAATTCTGTGGTTTAGACAGCAGTGTCTGATTGGCCCTTCTCTCTCCTCCCTCAGCCAGTTCACATGAGTGCCTCCAGTGGCTATGGGAGCATGGGGAGCAGTGGCTCCCAGGAGCATCATGTCAGCATTGCCTCTTGCAGTGAGTCCAGCGGGCCCTGCGTGGAGGAAGCACAGAAGCAGCCGGTAGGTGCCGATGTGCTCTTGTGTGGATGCTACATCATCCCTTTAGTTCTCTGTGATGTGTCACTGCTGGTCCTGCACCTGCTGACATCTGCAGATTTGTTCTGGACTTGAAATCCTTATCTGATAATAGACATTTCAGTCTGTTTTGATTTAGAAAAGGAAACATCACATTTGGATTAATTGTATGTTCTAAAAATTGGTATGCTGTGAAGAGATTAAAGTTTTGTTGGTACCAGTGTACCTTGGCACAGTAGGAAGCTAAACTAAAGTGAGAACTAAGGCCAGGCATGGTAGTGCTTGCCTGGAATCCCAGCTGTTTGGGAGGCAGAGACAGGAGGATGGAGGTTCCAGGCCAGCCCGGGTGAAATTAATGTGAGACCCCTTTGAAAAACAAACTAGAATCTGACCATGGCAGCTCATGTCCGTCATTCCAGCTGCTTGGGAGGTGGAGGTAGGAGATGGCAGTCCAAGGCTGGCCGTGGGCAAGACCTTGAGACCCACCTGAAAAACAAAGTAAAGTAGGACGTGCTGGCAGTGTGACCAAGCAAAGTAACAACTGTGCTTTTAAACCTTCCGTCTTTAGGCAACCAGAGTTAAGTGTATGCTGTGAATCTTTTAGTGTACATTTCCATAATTTTTAAAACCTGTCTTATGATTCTTTCCCTAAGATGACCTTGCAGCAGGTCTATGCCAGTGTAAACAAAATTAAGAATCTGGGTCAGCAGCTCTACATTGAGTCAATGAGCAAATCGTCAGCCAGGCCAGCAGTGAGACCGCACCTGGAGCTGCGGGGCAGGGGTGAGTGAGCGGCACCAGGTCCCTCCCCAGCTGTCCTTCTGCAGGAGCCACGCCAAGCCCTGGGCCCGGCTGGTGCAGCTGCTTTTCATCTTTCTTCATTTGCCCAATAAGAGTAGTAATATTAATAGTGGCAGATGCTACCTTGAAGGCTAAATGGGATTAGAATGGAGTTCTACTTTGCTTTTATTGAAGAAGTAGCTTTGATGATAATAGCAGCAAATTCATAGATTTTCTCCTCTAAGCTGTCTGTAAACCAAAAGAGTTTATTTTAGAATACATTTCAGATTGTAAAGTATACTGAAAGAATAATACCTTTCTGTCACTTCAAACAAGTGGAGAATATTAATGATCTAAACTGAATGAAAAGCATTGGCCTTTTTCCTTTTCTTAAACCTGAAGTAAGGCCCATTCTAAAACAGTGTGATTGTTGTATTAAGCACCATTAGTTAACCTAGGTACATAGCAGAAGAATGAGATCAGACTAGAATGACCTTTTTTGTTGGATGGATGGATGGACAAACAGATGGGTGGACAGGTTTAGTATACAGATGTATTCATCAGTTCTGACCATTGAGAGGACCCACAGGCAAAGCAAGCAGATCTTTGTTTCTAAATACATTGTTCCAACAAAAGGAACCAGGGCCAGAAAGTAACGAAGTGCCAAAATAGAGACGGGCATGCCACAGGGGCTCAGGAAACAACCTGAAAGAGCTGCCAGCAGCCCAAACTAGAGCAATGTCAGCAACAAAATACATGATAGCATTGAATATACATACCCCAACAAACAAAATAAATATCTGTGGCTCCATTCCGATAGCGAATGAATGAAGACTAAAGACATGTGATAACCAAATTTAATGTGAGATACTGGACTGGATCCTGGAACAGAAAAATTGGTGTTGAATTGGCAAAAATCTGAAGAAAGTCTTTAGTAGCATTATACCACTGTTGTTAATTTCTTAGTTTGGTCATTTTATTGTGTACATTAGCAGAAGCTGGGTGAGAAGTAGTGGGACTTCTCGATATTATTTTTACAGGTCTTCTTTAAGTCCACATTTATTTCAGAGTTAAAGTGAATGAGTTAGCAGAAGCAGGCTTTTCTCCATGATGCCCTCTGAAGCTACACAGGCCTCTCCAAGCCAGCTCAGAATGGCCTTTCTTAGTAACAGCTGCAGATCGCACTCATTGCAGAGCCTGTCCTCAGTACTGACAGCTCAGTCACTCCTTCCTGAAGGCCTTTCCAGGCTTGGTCTTCACAGCACCATTCTTCCTAGCTGCCTGCTTTTTGGTTCCTTTACTTTCTCATTATTCTCTAATTCAAGGAGGTTCAAGTTCTTTCTACACCTATGCTGTCTGATTTGTGGATGTTTACTCTTGATTTCATTCTAGCCACACTTGACAATTTAATTCAAATTAAATACAAGTAAATAAAAGGTATAATGTGTAAATACAATGAAAAATTTATATTCCTTGGTTGCTCTCGCCACATGTCAGTGCTTAGTAGCCACATGTGTTATTGGCTACTCTATACTCTATAAGATAGCTCAAAGAAAGAGCAATTCTGTCAGGTTCTGTTGGACACAGTTTGACCCAGGTAATGCTATGTGCCCTACATGGCAACACCTGAGAGGTGCGCAGTGTCTAAGCATCCCACTCCCGTGATGCTGACAGCTCAGGCGTGAAGGTGGTGGGTGGTGTGCACTGATGGTTTAGCATACAGTGTCTAGGTATGCTGATTACATGTGCGGGTAGTGTCAACTTGACATTGGAAAGTACCCCACAACTTCCACCTCACATAATCTTTACCTGAACACTTGTTTCACTCTTGTTCTTAAATAACATTGTAACCATTCTATGTAATGTGCTCTGTACCTTGTTTTATTAAATACAACATTATTATACATTGTGGATATCTGTACTCATTTTTAATAGCTGCATAATATTCGGTTGACGTGTATATCATAAAGTGCCATGATTTGATTCGCTAGATGTTTTCTTAACTGCGTGCTAAATGTAATTGCACACCCTTTCTCTTTCAGATGAACAGAAGGCCTTTTCTTCCTCCCAGACCTTGAAAAAGAAAGGCATGTTCTCTGAGCCTTGTGAGGACTTGAGGAAAGGCCAGCATAGCCCATCCTATCAACAAATAAACTGTATTGATAGTGTCATCAGGTACAAGACACAAAAGCAGACTTAGTCACTGTTGGGACTTCATAGAATTTTAATAGATGTTTGGTTTTGACTTTGAGGTTTATGGAGTGCCAACTACATACAGTTCACAATTTATTGAAGGGTATAAAAAATTAGAAGATGGATCTTTTCTCTGGAGGAGTTATGGGATAGTTGAGAAGGCAAGACCTAAGCTTGTCAAAGTTACATGGTGAATGATGTGAAGATGAACTCAAGACTATAGTAAAAGATTGCAACCCAGTGATCCAGCCAGATGAGCTGAGCGGGAAAGAAAGTACAAAGTCTCCCAAACACAGGGACATGGCATGGGAAGGCTAGGCAGGAAAATAAGGCCTAATTCTGTTGTCGCAGATACCTGAAGAGCTACAACATCCCAGCTTTGAAAAGAAAGTGCATATCCTGTACAAATACAACTTCTTCATCCTCAGAAGAAGACAGGCAGCACCACAAGGCGGACGACGGCCATGCACTGCAAGGTAAAACACTGTCTGCAGAGCTGGATTAGGAGTCACCACATGCCCATCATGCTCTCTGTTTCTCTCTGATTTCTTTTCTCTTTCAAGACAGGGTCTTGCTGTCTCACTGTGTAGCCCAGGCTGGCCCAGAACCTGTGATCTTCCTTCCTCAGCCTCCCGCATGCTGGGGTTATACACATGCACCACCAGGCCCAGATGTCTCCAGTTTCTTGTCTTTAGTTACGTCATTGTAATCACAGAAGCCTAGTTTTATATCACCGCTTTATGGCCAGTAGACTTTAATTTGTCAGTCAACAACTTAGGAAAACTATTTGCATCTTTAAACTTCCTGTTGGGAGTTTTCTTCTCACAGTCAGTTTCTTATATATCACCAGCTGTTGCCCAGATCCCAGCCATACCTAAGCCGGAAATACCAGCACATGGACGGTCCACAGATGCTGAAGGAGGAGGCCCTGCACGGACCCTGTCCACCGCCGCACTGAGCTTGGGGTCAGGCATAAGCCAGCGCAGTTACAGCAGCACCATTGTCTATGCCCCCCCAGAGTCAGGTACCACCTTTACCTTTCACTGAGAACACGAACCATTAAGACTGCTTGCATAGTTCTAACTTCTGAATTATAAAAATGTTTTCCTCTCTTTAACTCACTTTCATTGGTTACATATTTAGACCGTTTCTTAGTTGTTTGGTGTGTATACGGAACTGAGAATGTTACCTCGGCAGGAGTGGGGATGCCCTCAGTAGCTTTAGTCATTATTGGTGCAGTTCTTGATGGGGCTGCATGAGGTCATTTTGTTGTTGACCTTTAAAGAAGGTGTGCTTGTGTCTGGATCTCTCACACATATATTCACGTTTTTGTATTGATCTGATAACAGTGATTCAATGATCTGATATAAAGAGAGAGTATACAACTCTCTTCCAAAGGGGAGACATGGCTCAAGTGGTAGAACACCTGCTTAGCAAGTGTGAGGCCCTGAGTTCAAACCCCAGTACTGCCAAAACAAAAGCCTAAACAAAGAAACAACCAAAACCCAACTCTTTCTTTACTTGTAGTAGTCTCGTCTTACTTTCCTTTTTATTTTTTCCTACGTAGCAGTGCAGTGGATGAAATGGTGACACATCTGTTAAACGGGGTTTTCGGATCCCTCTTCAGTGGTAAATTGGCCATGTGCATTGAGGAATTACTATGGCCCCTCTGTCCTTAGTTCCTGATAGTCTTTATTAACTCATTCCATCCTCCCAGCATCCTTATGAAGTGGAGTGTTGACTGGAGGATTGTGGATTGGTAGGGAAAGACCAGAGACAGCCACTTGGAGATTAGATTATGTTTCTGATTAGCCAAACATAATTTTATTGGGGGTGAGCCAGGACCAGGACAGGAGCATGTACACCTTGTGTGTTTTGAGAGAGTCTCACTATGTAGCCCAGACTGTCCTCGAAACTTTGATCCTCCTGGCTCTGCCTCCCAATTGCTACAGTTACAGATGAGTACCGCCATGTGTGGCTCCGATGCCCATTTTTAATATGTGTTTTGACAGTGTTCTGAGCTCCTATAAGGCACGTAGCTGCCTAGAAAGCAGCCATGCAAGGGAGAAAGAGGGTTTCAGCCATTAAGGAAAGCCATGCCATATGTTTTCATACTCTGCTCTTATATTATCACTTTGAAAGAATCTGCACTAGAAACTAATGCTTTAACTTAAGGAAGTACCTAACTGATAATAGTTTCTCCTGACCTTAAACCAGTTTCAGCATCTGCAAATCCACACTTTATTCACAGTGCAAATGTTCTTAAACTGTGTGCTACCCTGTGTCTTGCTTTTAGAAAGCTCATATTCCTGACACTAACAATGAAATTGAGTCTGAAGGCCATTGTCACAAATGCGTTTCCTTGCAGACTATCATTTTCATTATATATGTGGAATAACTAAGACACAACAGGTGAAGTGACTTAATTTGCCCAGAATCAACAGCCATGAGTGGCTGAGTAGGGAATCAAAATAATTTCTACGAACCATTGACTGTCTGTAGCAGGGACTGATTAAGATGGAAAATGAGATACAAAGATTAACTTAAAAGCCAATCCATACACTTAGGTGAATTTTTTTTAAATTACCCCAGTTCTGAGCTGGGACATGGCTCGAGGGGTAGAGCACCTGCCTAGCAAGCACAGGGCTCTGAGTTCAAACTCCAGTGCAAAAAAAGAACCCAGTCCCAAAAACAGGCAGGAAAGGAGGAATAGAGCAACCAAAAAAAAACAAAAGGAACAAACCAAACACATAATAAAATAATAGCTCTAAGTCCAACTATATTGACAATGCCCTAAAATGAACTAAATACTGCCAATAAGGCAAGGAGTGTTGGAACAGATACCTCCCTTGTGGTGTCTGCGGCATATAATTTAATACAGATTCATGAATGGATTGAGAATGGATGGGAAAAGATGCGCAGCTTAAACAGTCAGCATTAGAAGGCGGGGTGCTTCTATTAATATGGGTAAAGAAGAGCTCAAGACAGTCTGGCCAGAGACATTTCATAATGTTAAATGGTCAAAGCTGGAGGTGTGGCTCTAGTGGCTGAGTACCTGCCTAGCTTAATGTTAAAGCCATCAAGTGAACCCACCAGAAAGACCTAACAGTCATGAGTGTGTATTCACTATTAGTAGAGCTTGTAAAGGTAGGAAGCAAAAATGGAAAGAGTCCAAGAGAGAAATAGGAACTGGGAATGCAGCTCAGAAGTAGAGTGTTTGGTTAAGCACTCCTGAGGCCCTGGATTCAATCCCCAGCACAGAGGTAGAGGGGCAGACAGGTGAAGACAAAGAAGGAAAGAGACTTTCCATAGTCTTGGTTGGGAAATTGAATACACTTTCTCTGTTGATAAAACATCTGAACAAAAAAAGTCAGTGAAGAAATGATGGGCTGAACCACACTGTCAGCCACTTTAATCTAACTGATCTCCAGAGAGCATGATACTCAGCAACACAGAATGATCACTGGCGCAAAATTTGTTGGCTGTAATATAAGCCTCAAATTTAAAGGAAATGATGATAGATAAAATGTGCTTTCTGGCTAAGTGAATTAAATTTAAAAATCAGTAATAAGGCATTTAAAAACCAAACATTTAGGAAGTAAACACATTTCTAAATAATCCATGGTTCAAAGATATCACAAGGGAAATTTTTTAAAATATTTCTAAGTCCATAATAATAAAACTACAGCACACTAAAATTTGTGTGATACAGCTAAAACAGGGCTTATAAGGAAATTAATAGCCTTAAATGCTAATATTAGAGAAGAAATATCTGAAATCAGTGATGTAAAGTTCCAGTTTAAGAAGCAAAAGTAAAACCAAGATGGAAAGAAGGAAATAATAAAGATAAAGGCAGAAGTCAACAAAATAGAAAACAGGTAATAAAGAAGATTAAAACTAAAAGTTGGTTCTTTAAAAAGAACAAAATTAAAACCTGTATGCCATAGGACATCTATGATCTTACATAGAGTAAGTCTCAAAGTCAGTGTAAGTCCTCCAGCTTGGTATTTTTCAAGATTATTTTGAATATGCTAGTCTTTTGTCCATACAAATTGTAGACTCAGTTTCTCTTTTTTGTTCTTATGGTTGTATTTTCCTGTTTATGTGCCTGGTGATTTTGATTGGACATCAAATATTGTGAGTGAGTGCCAATTTGTATTCCTGTGAATATCCTGGGCTGCATTTGCGACCCTGTTAAGTTACTTGGAAACAGACTGAACCTTTCAGGGTTCGTTTTCAATTCAGAATTTACTGGGCAGGACCAGAGCAGTGTATGGTCAAGGCCTGAGTTTTTCCTGCTACTTTGTTCACTGCCACATGAATGACGAAGCTTTTTCCCCTGGCTGATGGGAGCAGGTACCACTCTGGGAGCTAGAGTTATCATTCCCTCTCTTTTTAAGGGGTTCTTTCCACACGTGGCTATACTGGCGAGTCTCTCCTGAATGCCCTGAGGGCTGTCCATGGCTCTTAAGAGTCCTTTCTCTGCTGCTGTCTCCTGTCTGCCACCCCCTGGAAATTGGCCACCAAGGTCTCAGCAGCTTCTCTGCTCTGTCGTCAATTCATGGAGTTCATCAGACTCCACCTGCCCCATTCCCACCCTGGAATCCCTCAGGCAGTAAGCTGGAGCAGACCGGGGGCGTACCTCATTTTCCATCTTCAGGGCTCACTCTCCTTTGTCACCCGAAGCTCAGGGCTTTGAAACCTACTATTTCCATATAGTTTTCCCTGTGTCAGACAGGAAGGTCAGTCTGGTCCCTGCTGTTCTGTCTTGGCTAGAGCAGAAGTCCTCTGTCTGCCAGGGTAATTCAGACCAGCCAGAGCCCACTTGTGGAAGTGGCATGGGGTCAAACCCACCCAAGCTATCGGGATATTGCACAGCCCAGAAAGGTGGGTTGGGGACTGGAGGAACCCACCACAGTGAAATCTTTAGAAGAAGTAAGTTTTTAGAAGCAAAAAGTCCATGTACAGACACTTGCAACTGTGGATTATCTATAAAATGGGTCCTATGCAGTGTGTGAATAGTATGAGAAAACTATGTAGGTAAAGTTCTCCTAGGGATACTGTTAAAAGGGAAAAAAGTGAGTTGCAGACTAGAGTACAAGTGTGCCTTCTCGGTGAAAACAGGATCACCTAGAGGGAGGTGAGTCTTTCTTCACATCGTTTACACATGCATGAAGACTTGAGAGATGTATCAGAGGAATGGCTCCTATGGGTGTGAGTAATGCTGGGCAGATGGTGGGCAGGGATTGTGAGAATTTATTAAATGCCTTTTAATACTTGTTCATTTTTGAACCACATGAATATATTAACTATTTAAAAATAAATTCATTTGGATGCCAGTGGCCATGCCTGTAATCCAGCTACTCAGGAGGCATTGATCAGGAGGATTGCAGTTCAAAGCCAGTCCGGACAGTTTCCAGACCCAACACAGAAACAGAGCTGGAGGAGCGGCTCAACCGGTAGAGCACCTGCCTAGCAAGCCTGAGGGCCTGAGTTCAAACCCCAGTCCTGACAATAAATTAACTAATTAATTCAAAGACAAAATTTTTTTTAACTCATGGTCATAGAAAATCATTACAATAAAAGCAAGATTTAAGTAAGTGTGTAATTATTTACAGCTGTAAAGTGCATATCTATGTTTGATATTTGCACAAAAATATCAAGAAAAATAAGGAGGATTTTTGTATAAGACTGATGGAGTTTTTCTTCCATAAGTTATAATGCTGTTTATAAAAGTTTATGGAAAGCAGTTTAAAAAGTAAAGTCAAATACAAGTGATTAATGGGAATTTCAATTAAATCTCTTTCACCTCAGCAGAGGATGCCGTCACAGCATGTGAGCCCTGCACCCTAAAAACTCAACGAGCTCCTCTGACCACAGAAGAATTTAAACACGTAGGACTCACAGCGGCTGTTTTGTCAGCACACACGCAGAAAGAAGAACAGAATTACGTTGACAGGTTCCGGGAAAAGATCCTGGCATCACCCTACAGCTGCTATCTTCAGCAGGAACGCAAAAGCAAAGCAAAATACTCCTATATTCAAGGTAGGCACATTTATGAAAATATATTCTGTTTATCTAGGTAGCTGTGAAAAGTCATAAACAGGTTCATTCGTCCTTCCACACACTAGTACAAAAATCCACGGGTGCTCGTGTTTCTCATAGAAAAGGCATAGCATCTGTACGTAACCTGTGCACACCTTCCCTTGTACTTTCACGAAGCTCTTCATTATTTATGATAGCTAATACAGTGTAAGTGTTTGTTATACTGTATTGTTCAGGAAATGACAAGGGGGAAGTCTATACACATTCAGTACTGACGCACATTCTTTTCCTGAATATCTTCAGTTGTGATTAGTTGACTCCTCAGCTGCAGAACCTGAGGATATGGAAGGCTGACTGTATCAGGAGAGAAGGAAGGAATAATAGGAGTTGTACTTGCAGGAAACTGACAGATGCTGAAATAAATTCCCATTAGTGATTTATCTAGGATCTTCACTAGTTCCTGGATCTGAGAAACTGTCTTTGTGAGAAACTGATTGACATGCTGAAATTAGTTCATTTTATAGTGCTGACTTTGATCTAGAATTTTGTTCATCACTTTAGAACTACTTTTTGCCATCTTTGTAATAGACGTAGTTAATATTGGCAAAGGTTTATTCCTTTGTAATCTACTTACTATTACCTATAAATAACACTCTCTTCTTTTTGGGTGTTTAATTTTCATACAATATGTCTCCATTTTTATCCTTTCAGGAAATTCTACTTCTAAGCAAACCAGATCAACTGGTTGCAAAAAAGGAAAACACAAACATAAGAAGCTGCCAGTGCCACTAGACACCCGCAGCTCTAGTGGTGATGTCTGTGCCCATGTCAGGGGACTCCTTCAGGATGTACAGCCGTGGGGCGCTTCTGCAGTCTCCTCCCCCCACGCCTTGGGCCTGGCCTTCCCATCTGCAGTGATGGCTCCCAGCCAGGTGCCTTACCTCCTCCAAGCTTTTCCCCTGCCAGCCATGACCCCTCTGGAAGGAGGAGACTCTGCAGCCTGGGGAGCTACACCTCAGCATCTGCCTTCATCCAGTATCCTGCAGACACTTCCAGCGCTTCCTTCTCCTCACATGGATACTTTCATGACCATTTTCCTGCCCAACCCCCCTATTTATCCTCTGTGGCCACCATCATTCTTTCCATATCCATTCTTGGGGGCCACAAACTCTTCTGAAATGCCACCCTCAGTACCAGCCCCAAATCTGGAACCACCTTCTTCATCCAGTAACCAAAGGAGAGTGGAGGAAAAATGGGAGGCACAAAGTGAAGAGCACCCATTTATTAATTCCAGGAGCAGCTCACCATTACAGTTGAACTTACTCCAGGAAGACACACCCCAATCATGTGACTCTCCAGAGCCAGTGAGAAGGGAGGTTTGCCCACACACTGAGTGCGTAAGTGATGCTGACTGTCAGCACATGTGGGAAGTAAAGGCATCCTCTCTTGGTAAAGCTCAGGGTCATGCATGTGGGCTTGCCACTGACAGCCCAGGTGGGCTGAGATTGGGACTAACAAGCCTTGCTCCGAGAAACAGTCTGTTTCCCCGGCTCCATGAAGGAACTTTCTATGTCCTGCTTCCTAGAGAAGTCCTTCCCAAAGTGCCATCTTTTAGATTTTCTATGTGAACTAGGTTTTCTCTGCCTTTCCAAATTTGATATCCAGATATTAAACTTAATATGTTCATTGCCTGTAAAGCATATTTTCTTACAACTGAGGTTTTATGGTCTGGTAAGAGGAGAACAAGCCATATGACAGGGTAGAAATTTAGCACTCAATTTTTTGGACATATTTGTAGGACAACAGGTGTGTGTAGAAGAGGTAGGAGCCACTTTTTGTTATTACAGAAAGTAGGCAATTTGTTATTTCATGCTTATATGTGTCATTTTTTAAAAAAATTGCCAGGTGCCAATGACTCATGCCTATAATCCTAGCTACTTGGGAGGCTGAGATCATGAGGATTGTGGTTCAAGGCCAGCCCACATAAACAGTTCTCGGGACCCCCAACTCCAAAATGACCAAAGCATCATGAACTGGAGACATGGCTCAGGCAGTAGAGCACCTGCTTTACATGTACGAAGCCCTGAGTTAAACCCAGTCTAACAAAAAAAGACCCTTTTTTGGGTCAATTTCTTTTGTCAAACTCTACCTAAAAAGGTATTCTCAGATTTATTTATGAGATTAAACTTTGGAGTCTGGTACTCTTAAGTGTAGAAATGAAGATGAGTGTGAATATTTACACAAGTTTTTCTTCCATCATCACTCAGTCTTCTGTATTAGATGTTCAAAAGAGTGATGATCCGAGTCCACAAACACATTGCTTTTGCAAGCCTGGCATCAGTGTACTTGCTCAGTTTAGGGCAAGGCCTTGCATCACAGTGAACAAAGGCTGGGTTAGGGAGTAAGCCACTGGTTCAAATCTCAGCTCTGTCACTAGTTAGATGGGTTGGCTTAGAAGAGTATTTAACTTTTCTTTGCTTTTGTTTCCTACTAGAAAAGTGGAAAGCTGCATACCTCCGTAGCTTATCTGAGGATTAACTGTTGCGATGTTTATACAGAACCTCCCTAAAACTCTCAGAGAACTGGGACTTTGATCTGTCCACTGTTGTACTTCTGGAGTTTTGTACATGATGATTGGAACATGTAAAATTCAATATTTATTTGCCAAGTGACAAAAATAAAGCACAGACTTGCGTGATGCCTGGCATGTAGTAGATACTCAGAAAACAGTGGCACCTTTTCTAGCACACACAAAGAAACTGACCACATTCTTGGAGACAGGCTGAAAGTCTCTGCTTCTAAGTTATGTATGTGAATTTTATGCTGTTCAGCATGTGAACTTGAAGCTGCCCTTTATCTGATGTGTGGAGTGATAAAGTGCCTTTTCTTGTGATCTTCCTGTGCAGCGCTGTGTTGTAGACCACAGTGGCAATAGGAACAGTCTCTGTGCTACCGGAAAACTGCTCACTGCACCGCCGCACCACGAGCCTCCATGTGGGACTGCAGCCCCAGGTAGTGAACCAGGAAAACCAACTCCTCAGACTATTGCCAGGAGGTCACTGTGTCCAGATCATCTGGTTTGGGCACTGGTATAGAAATAAAGTGGTTTTTTTTTTTCCTTTATTCTTTTTGTAGGCTTTCTTGGGGGTAAATTTACATACGATAAAATTCACAATTTCAGGTGTTCAAAACAAGAATTCTGACACATAAGTATATTAGTGTAGCCATCACAGTCACCATGTAGAACGTTTCTATCACTCTAGAAAGTTCTTTGCTCCCTCTTTACAGTTAATTCCTGGCCCTGGTCCTCTGGGCTCCTGGCAACCCATTGATTTACTCTCTGCTACTTAGCTCTGCCTTTTCTGTAATCTCACATAAATTGAATGGCAGTATGCAGTCTTTTGTAGGATCCTCTCAGATACAGAGATGCTGTTGAGACTCACCCATCTGATCAGTAGTTTAGAATTACATTGGATGTTGGTTCCTGGATTGTTTCTGGTCTGAGCCTATGATCAGTAATGTTGCTATGAATATTTGAATATGGGTCTTTTTGTGGGTATATGTTTTCATTTTCCTTGGCTAAATAGCCAGGAATGAAGTTTTTAGGTCATGTGGTTAACTTTGTTAGAAACAGCTGAACTATTTGGGATAGCTGCTGGGCTGGTGGGGAGGAACACTGCCAGCTAGTTATCAGAGCCATTGGGCAATCAGGGTCCATGTGGTGCATCAGGTTTTAAAGGTGCTTTCTAATCTGCTGTTGCTGTTTTTAAAGGAAGCCGTGGTGGCAGCATATGTTTCAATAGTGAATATTCTTCAGAAATCTCCGAGAGTGGGCAGCAGTCTCAGGATGTACAGAAAAGAGAAGCTTTTCCCAGTTTAGCTGAAGAGTCCATCTGGAAAATGATAGAACAAACACCAGAGTGTGTTCTGATGACATACCAGCTACCTGAGAGGTAGGAAAGCACTTAAAAACCCGTTTTTTTACATTTTATGGTTTAGGGACTTAATACAAAATGATTTTTAAGTGTTTTAAACATACTTGTAGAACCATTTTTTTTCAAATTCGCTTATTGAAGTCAAGCAGCAAATGGTTTCTTTTTAAAGCAAGGATTACAGCGATGGATCCAGACAAAATGACCATGTTACTCATCACAAGATGAGTAAACAAAGGCAGGCTGCACAATGCGTGATGGCAAAGCTGAGGGAACTCTGTTTCTTCTGTATGCTTCATTAAAATGTTACACATTTGTTCTCCACCAAGAAAAAAAATGTCTGCTGTACGACCTTGACAAGGAAATGATTGATTGTTCTGTTTTCAGTGTGAAGGTCATATATTACCAGGCGATGTAAAGGATATTACCATCCAAAAAGAAATGCTATTCTTACATGACTTAAGAGAACCCTGCACCTTATTCAGGACTGTTATGGTTTTGTATGCTTGTTTTCAGGGCAAAAGAAATTGTACTAAAAGAAGACCTAGAAAAGTTGGAAAGCATGAGGCAACACCAGCCCCAGTTCTCTCACGGGCAAAAGAAGGAGCTCGCTGAGGTGCATTCTTGGATTCAGAGCCACACTATCCCTCAAGAAATACACATCCAAGTAAGCACAGAAATAATAACCATCACACTGACATATTTTGTGCCAGTGTTCTTAAAAATAGGTAATACTTTTGCTTGATTCCACTGAAAATTTTAGTCCTCATAATTACCTCTTATGGTAGGTTATCCCTACTTTTCTGACAAACAACAAAGTAAAGCAGGCAGATGTTAAATAATTTGTATGAGGTTATGTAGTTCAGTGGATTTTTAACACAGGTCTTTTTGAATACCACCTTTTCTTCCACCAGTTGGTATGTTTTGTGTCAAAGAATAAAGGTGCCTACTTTGATGATTGACTGGAAAAGAGAGGTATGCAAGAGAATCATTTCAAATGCACATGTTTGAAAAGACTTAAAATTCAAAATTCACAACAGAGGGAGTATTCATACCTGGCAACACTTTAGTGGGGCCCGGACAGTCCCTTGTAGTAACAAAGTCTTCTCAGTGAGGTCACCTGTGAGCATCTTGAGCAACGAGGCTTTTGTTTACCAGTGTTCCAGCTGGTAGTGGTGGCTGTAGTAATGGTGGCTATGAGTACACTACCAATGAGATCTTCATCTAAGTGTGAAGCTGTGGAAGGGTGAAGAGGTAAGTTAAAAATTATAAGAAACCTCCAACTTTTCAAGTGTAAAACTTGTGAAAGAAAATTACAAGAGAATCAAGTTGGGTATTCAAAAAAGTATAAGGCTTATGAAGTAAGCAGGTGAAAATCTTCCTTACCACTTTAAAAATTTAATACACTTTTCTTAATTGTGGTATAATACAAAAGTTAACCTTCTTAACTATTTTAAGTATGCAGTTACAGTGCTGCTAATTGTACATTCGTATCATTGTGTAGCTGTCCGTCTCCTGAGCACTTTTTATCTTGGAAAAGGAAAACCTATACCCATTGCACAATAACTCCCCATTTCTCTTTTCCCCACTCGTTGCAACTGTCAGAGTATATCCTCCCTGTGAATTTGATTGCTCTAGGTACTCATATAAGTGGAACTATACACTGTTTGTCTTTTTTATAATTCACTCATATATCGAGACCCCTGCTCTTTTGGTTATTATTTATGTGATACAACCTTTTCATTCCTTTCACTTTCAGCCTATTTTTCTCTAGATCTAATGTGAGTCTTTGTAGACAGCAGATAATTAGATTGTGTTTTTTGTATTCTCTTTTTCAGTCTCTTTTGATTGAAAAGTTTATCCCATTTATACTTAATTACTCCTACGAAGGAATTGCCTTGTGCCATTTTGCTGTCTGTTGTCAATATGCCTTTAATGCTTTACTGTCCCTCATTTTTCTGAATTACTGTCTTTTGTGTTTAGTTGATTTTCTGCAGTGAAACGTTTTAATTTCCTGTTACATACGTCCCGTAGTTATTTTCTTTGTGGTAACAATGACAGTTATTTTTTATATCCTGATGTATCGCTCCAGTTTGAATTTTGAATTTTGAAGCTTAACTTCAAAAGCATAAGAAAACTCTGCTTCTACAGAGCTCCATTCCCATCTCCTTTTAGTTACTGATGTTACAAAGACCAAAAACAAATTAATAATTGTTTTTATGCATTAATCTCTTAAATTATGTAGAAAACAAAAAAATGGAATTATATGTCATTTTCAGAATAATGATAGCTTTCATAACTGCCCCTGACTTGCCTTTGCTGAGATCTTTATTTCTTCATATGGCTTCAAGTTACTGTCTGCTGTCCTTTCATTGCATACTGCAGGATCCTTCAGCACTTCTTACAGAGCAGGTCTGGTGGTATCCACTTCCTCAGTGTTCATTTATCTAGGAATATCTAATTTCTCCCTCACTTTTGAAGGAATTTTGCCAGATAAAGGATTCTTGGTTGAGAGGTGTTTTGTTTTGTTTCTTTAAGCACTTTGAGCAGAGCCCATTGCCCTCTGGCCTCCTGTTTCTGATGAGACAAATGCTATAATCTTGCATGTGATATGTCTCTTGCTGCTTTTGACTGTTCGTTATCATGTGGGCCTCTGAGTTCATCCTACTTGGACTTCCTTGAGCTTCTTAAACGTTTATTTTCACTAAATTTGTAGAATTTTCAGCTATTATTTCTTTGAAGACTCTCTTCCTTTCTGTCTATCTCCCCTCTTCTTGTTTGGCTCCCAGAATGCTTATGCTGGTCTTGAGGTGTTCAACATGCACATTAGCTCTGTTCACTTCCTCAGTCTTTCTCCTTTCTGCTCCTTAGACTTGACAGTTTCAGTTGTACTAGGCTCAAGTTCACTAGCCTTTCTTCTGCCTGCTCAAATCTGCCTTTGAATCCACTAGTAAATTTTTCATCTCAGCTTTGTCCTTTCCAGGTACAGAGCTTCTTTTGGTTTCTTTTTACATTTCCTGTTGCTTTACTTAGGGTTCCATTTTGCTCATACCTGTTTTCTTGGTTTTTCCGTATCTTCCTTTAGTTCTCTGAGCATCTTTAAGGTGAAGGAAGCTTGCTTAAAAGTCTTTGTCCAGCAAGTTTGCCATCTGGTCTTTCTCACACACCATTTGCTGGGGGTTTTTTTCCTGCTGAATGAGTTGTAATCTTTTGTTTCTTTGTGTGCCTTGTAATTTTTAGTTGAAGATTATATTTTAATCCAGTCACGTAGTGACTCTGGAAATCAGACTCTTCCCTTCTCAGGGTTTGCTGACTTTTGATTTGCCTTTTTTTTTTCTGTTTTGAGTTCTTTGTTGTTATAGACTGTGTCTTTGCTGAAAGTCAGCAGGAGGTATAAACTTAAGGATTTCTCAAGGCTTTTTAAAGTCTGCACCTTTCCCTGAACATGTGTGGCAGTTTTCCAAATTCCCCATATATGTGGTTGCTTTTGAATATCCTTTACTTTAAATGTCTGCCTCCCAAAAGTAGGTGAGAGAAAAATGAAGGTGGGTGTGAAGGTGGTTTAAATGCTAAACGTTTAAATCCCCTGGAAGTTATTCCAGCCTGACCTGAGGGAAAGGAGCTTGCAGCAGTGGGGTGAGGGGCACAACAATGGCTGTTGGCTTTTGTATCAGTCTGCACCTCCACAACCAGAAGCAACCTGCAGTCAGAACCTAGATCCACAATTTTGGGAGGACTGAGTCTTTATTGCCCAGTCCGCCTCTCATGAGCTGTTTGCAAGCTGCTTCAGGAACATACATATGTATGGCTGCTGCCCCCCACCCCTGCCTAAGTCCCCCAAATTAATCACTGTTAACTTTCTAAGCCCTCCCCTGAAGGTTGCAGACCTTTAAGTACACTCTAGAGTTCCAAAATAATTACATCAGACTGATTCTGTCAGCTCTAGGTGGGAGACAGATTCCCGACCTTCCTGCTGTATTGTAGCAAATCCTCTCCCTACCCCATTTTCAAAGAAAAGAATGAGTGTCTGCCATTTAAGAATGGTTAGATAAGGTCTTGCCAAAAAACAGATGCTTTAAGTGTCAATGTTTTTAAATACCATTTTTCTGGTTTTTTTAATAGAAGGAGATCTGAAGAACAGTAAGTTGGGGACTTAGAAATACGTTTCTTGGTCAGCCTTTGACTGATTTTCAGACTCTTCAGGTGACATTAACATCAAATAATTCACCTGCTTGTGTTCTCTTTTGGAGAGCTGTGTTGCCTGTGAAGACAGAAGTTTGGTTGATGACACTGCAGAGTCCCATGGGCAGCAGCCAGCAGAAGACATCAGTTGAACAACCCTGAAGATGTCCCTTCACACCGCTTCCAGGACATGGGGAACACAGACTTCTCTGTGTATCTCACTAAACCCCAGCTCTTAAAGACCATGAAGTCATCATCAGCATTAAGACTTTCCCTCCTTGCTTTAATAGACATTGTATATGGAATCTCCTTGTTTCTGATATATTGAAATTGTCAGTTAGACTCCTTTTCTAGTTTAGCAGTCTGCTAAAGAAATTTGATTGCCTCTAAAGAGGTTTGTGAATGACAAAACTATTTCAGATATTACCCCAAATAAATCATTACTAGAAGTATAGCTGCGGTGAGCCCCAAACCTTAGCCTCATTTATTGTGTCTTATTGTTACGTAAACCATTTTCCCCGTTAGAGTCCTTGAGGAAATCCTGCCTAGGGGTCATGTACTTCTCGTAATGGTTCCATAAGTTTCATACATTTGTCTCGGCTTTGTACAGCTTGGTGCTTCTGCCTCACAGTACATTGAAGTACGTTATCCATTAGTGGATCTGGAGATGCCTAGTTTTCAGGGTTGAATTTTGGCCTTCATTCTTCATTATACATTGCACATGTAATGTTAAACAAAAGAGCTTCTTGCTCAACCAACTTTTTCATGTTTTTGGTTTTAAAGTAATGATTGTAAAAACTTTCAAAAATTACACAAGGTAATATTGTTTTTATATGCTTATGTGTTTAAATGTTGTTTTACCAAAACTAACACTTAACTCTTTCTTTTTATTAAATTTACACAAAAAGGTGTCTCCAGGCAGATCAGAGGTCTGATTCTGATTGGCACTGCCTTTTGTTTTCCTTTGCACAGGGTAAGTGTTTGGAGCTGCACAGGGAGAACAGTGGTGGAGGGAAGCCCACTGACGCTAGCCTTTGGGACTGCAGATTCCCCATGTGTCTGTGCGTTAGGCCACGCGCAGTTTGTGTCTTTCAAGAAGTGAGTGTGGTTGTTTACTTGACAAGTCCACTCACCCTCTGGTGCTCTTTTGAGAAGTCTACAATTCCTTCTTAAAGTGGGAATGATCTGTGATGTTCACACCCATCAGATCAGAAAACAGAAACAGAAGAAAGTGATGGTTACAGTAACCTTTCATTTTTTTATATAACTCATTTTTCTTCTCATTTGTTTTGTTTTAGGAAAACACTTCTTTCTCTTTTGAATTGAAGTTTTATAGCTTTTTATAAATGCATCCTCACAATTAGGAGAATTGGCCTTTTTATCCACGGTGACTGCTAGACCTGATTCTCCAACTCTGTAGCTCAGATTTTGTTTCTGAAGTAGTAATTTTATGGTCAGTAATTCTATCTTAAGGTGTCAAAAACATTTTCAAATGCTGCCTTGACATTTCTTGGAATTTTCTAGTATTAAGCAGTTCCACTCAGATCTTCCTGATTTATGCATAGAGATCTCTCATATTCTACTCCATCTTGATAGTTAAGTGATTTCTGAGGCCTTTCTTTATTGGTCAAGTTGTGTGGTATTTTTCTATACACAAAAAATTAATCAGCTTGTGTATTATACACCGTGAGCTTCTTAGTGACAAGGTCTTTAGTTTGTGTGAGTCAGAAAGCCTTACTCAACGCTCTCGGGACTGTACTAATTCATGCATGCATATTTTAAGCCTGTGCTCTCTACTAATAAGCTCTTCTTTCCCACTGCTCTGGACGATTGCTATTTCTTTGCCTTAGTACACATTTTATGAAGTGTGTATTGTGCTAGGCTTGATTCGGAACTGGTGCTTATAGACAGGTCTGTAAAACCATTTTTCAGGTCTTCCTCCTTTGGTAGGAAGATGAGCCAGTGCAGTTAGAGATTGTTCTGCTGCTGGGCAAGGGGCTTCAGCAGTAACCGCCGCCCCCCCAGGGGGGCCTTACCCAACAAAAACTCACACCCACCTTTTTATTAATGACCATCAAAACTGGTAATAAAAGTGTATATGATGATAGGCCTCATTGTTTACATCAGTATTATCTAAAAAGCTTTATTTTCTTGGGGCAGAGGTCAAGATTTATGAAAAGTGATGCTGTATGAGTAGAATTAAGTAAAACTTCATTATAATTCACAAGGTAAATTTAATCCAAATTGGAAATTCAGCTGAATTTATAACTAACTGAATTTACTTATTTTTAATGTTTAATATTCTAATTGGGTATCTTTTTAAAGTAACTACAATAAACAGTGTACATATAAGACCTGAGAGTTTTCTTGCATTTTATCAGTAAGCCTTTGTCTTCAGTGTGATTCCAACCAGTTACAGCTGTCAGGCTCCACTGAGGTCCTCATGTCAGGTCAGTATGCCCCTTCATGATGCTGTGCTTACGTCCACGTGGTCATCTGAGTGTCAGATCCTGTGGTGTGGGAGATTCAGGCCTTTGCCAGTTTGTCATGATGTTTAAACCTCACTTCAGCACTAAAGAATTCATTCGGTCCTGAATGTGAATGCGTGCAGAGTGCATGAGTGTGTGTGTGTGTAGTTAATACTTGACTAATTTTAATGCCAATTTAGTGAATTCAGGTATCAGGATTACTCTTAGAGATTCTGTAGGGTCAGCCCGTATTTTACAAAACCTGACTGTAACTTGGCAACAATAAAATCTAGAAATTAAAACATGGAACAAGATCCTGAAGCCAACAGGGCTTTTAAATTTTACACCTTTGAAATTGTGTGCATCTTTCTGTAACAAGTATCACAATAGCAAGAAGAAAACTGGCTCAGCATTTGTGTGGGGTGCTTGGCGGGCCTGGTCTAAGAGCCTCACATACACGGTCTCACTTTGTCCTCACAACTGCCCATGAAACCAGCCTTTTACCCTCACTTGAAAGAGGACACAGAGGCAGGTGCCACGTAACTTGTTGACTACAGCTGGTCTGTGGCAGTAGCGGGATTCCCGTGTAGCGATCTGGCTACAGGGATATGAGGTAATTGCCCAGTATCACTAAAACAGGAGGAAATTTGGAGTTTTATACACTGGAAGCTCACTTGTAACCTTTTTCTGTGACATCAGAGAACTAATGTTAGTTTGATTTTGGTAATGGGAGAGACCACAGGCTTCTCGTAGCTGCATTTGATGTCACCATGTTTCTGCTCTTAATTTTAAAATGTCTTTCCCAACAGATTTGTCCCTGATGTCTTAAATCAAGAAAGCTTTCTGAAACCTGTACTCTGTAAGGGACTGGTGGTGTTTGCTGCCAAGCCCAGGACCAGTTGTGTGGTGCTTCAGGGTTGATGCAGACCTGGCACTGTGTGAGGTGGAATGACAGAGCCCAAACAGGAAAGCTCCTCCTGAAACTTCACTGCCCCACAGGTAGCTCTGTGCTCACTGTCAGGGGTCTGTACACCTATAGATGCACTGTGAACAAAAGTTAGCATTTATACCCATTTAGTTTTTACAGACAAGTAACCGGGCCGTTTCCTCCAGTTTTAAACCCTGCCTCAGCCCCTCTAGAACCATTAAGGTATTTTATTCTGGAGTAGGTGAGTTTTGATACGTGAGTTCACAGGAACTTCAGCAAACAAGTCCCCGTGTTAGAAGTGGGACTTCCAAGTGTTCTGCACCGTGGCGGCTGTGAGAATCAAAGTCAGGTCTTTTCTATCAAAGGAGTTAATGTATAGGTACTGGCTAACCTCCCCGAATTACTGCCTATGTGCTTTGTGAAAGGTTGCTTGACCCTGCAAGGTTCTTGTGAACAGACAAAAGAGCTGTTTAGTGCTAGATGTCCTAATCTCAAACTGCTTGATGAGTAAATGTCAGCCCCCATCCCCGATCATCAGGGAACCTTGAGAGATCACTTTGTCACTGAGCTGTAAAAATGTCACCGCATTGGAAAACCTTGCCCGTCCCCCAAACAATAGCTAGCCAATCGGGAAGATTGTGAACCCAAACCTGTCCATCAGGGTGAGGGGCAGAGAGAGAAAAACAGCTGACTCCCAGCTCAGTGTGTTCTGCCTGTCAGACTGAGGCTGAGACGGCACCTTCTGCAGAAGTAAGCCTTTTCTTTTTGCCTTGCTGAGTGACTCATGAGTGTTTCCTTGATCACAGCGGCCAAGGGAGAATCTGAGCACATGAGCAGCCTGTCAGAAACAGGAGAATTGAGTTCAGACCGTCCCCAAGCCTTCATCTCCAGGTGCCTTCACTGTCAAGATTGGCCCAAACTGAAGATCCTGCTTTTGTAAAAAAGTTGTCATTTTTGTTCTCATTATCAGGTGGAGAGGACGTCAGCTGTGATGAATCATTTATTTGAATGGTTTTGACTAAATCTTGTTTTTATGACTTTTTCTTCTTACTGTTTGTTTACTTCTGCTCACTTATTAGCTTTACTTTTTCCTTTTAAATTTTCTTTTTTTTTTTTAAATGCCAGGGATGGAACCCAAGTTTTCACATACGCTAGGCAAGTGCTCTACCACTGAGCTACATCCGCAGCCCAACAACCACATTTTCAAGAAATTCTCTAAGAATAAACTGAAAGAGAAATGTCAGGTTTGCAGGATGTGCTTGTAAGTGAAATAGCCACTCATGGTGCTGTGAAACATAGAGGATTTATTGCCCACTAATTACGAAGAGTATGGTTCTGGTTTTTACTTCACACTGTTGTCAAGCCAAGTGTTCCTGTTTGTGGTTTTCTAAGACGGGTGTTTCTGAGGTGCCTAGCGGATGCTCTTGTCATTTCAGACACAGTATTTCCAGAAGCATTCTGAGGGGGTCCCGTGCTGCTTGTGTTTCCTGGCTCTGGCCAAAAGGTGACTCAGCACAATGTTAGGATCCTGTCCAGAGAAAGTCTGAAACCAGAACAGTACAAAACACCAGATCAGTTATTGTCGAATTCAGAGTCCTGCCAGAAAGAGGAACCTCTGGGGACTTGGGCCTCTGGAGGGCCAAGCGCTTGCTTGTTCTCTGGGCTACAGATACGCAAGCGTGTTCTCGCTCAACCTGGGCTCTGTCCCAACTCTCAGGAGACCCCATCCGGTCTGCTTCGCCCTCTGGTTGCCTTGCCTTTTCCTAAACCCTCTGTGACCCATTTCTATGGAACACATCTGCCGATAATATGGTCTGCACACTTGTTATCTTCCATGGATCTTTTGTCTTGAAATGGGCTTCTTGCAAGGCTAGCCCTTAGTCCTCTTTTGATTCTAGAATTTAATGAGCACATCCTAAAGCTACTGTATGATTTCAGGCTTTAGTGGTGATCCTTCTATTGAGAAGAAAAACATAGTTTTTGACTAACCACAGGCAGAGGCCACCAGCTAGCTCCGGGGGCTTCAGGTGGTGAACCCTGTCCCGGGATTTACTGTCAGAGTTTTTTTGTTGTTGTCGGAATGCTTATGGGTGTTACAGAAAAAAGGGTGCCTGTGGTCAAAGTGTTTGGGAAAGGCTTAGTCAAAGTCCTGCAAGTCTCTTGATTTTGTGATTTCCTGGGAGGCCCTTGCATGCTTGGGTACATGAGTAGACTGGCTTGCAGGTTGGCCAAGCCAGGACACTCTACAGGAAACACGAATGGAGAATTTCTGCAGGTTGAGAAGAATAAACACAGACCACCACTAGCTGTCCTCTCTCTCGAACCATTCTATTGCGTGATTCACCAGTGCCTATGCCAGCCTGTCCATCATGCCCAGAGGACTTTCTAGCGTTTGCCTCCCACCCAGTCTGAGCGGGTCATTCTTACGTGTTGTTCCAGTGGGCGCTGCAGTGCTTTTCCCACTAAGGTTGGCATGCATCCGACCTGGCTTTTGGTGAGCCGAGCTCCTGCATTCCTCACAAGCTTCCACGGTTCCAGTGCTGATGGGCTGTACCACTTGTTGGTACAAGTGACCCCACACAAATGGATGGCAACCGTGGGAGCAGGGCCCTGCCCTAAATTTTTATAATTTTACCACTTGGTATAATTTACCCAGAACAGGTACTTGATAAATTCTTGCTGCATTGATATTTCATATGAATCAAAATGTGGGAAAATGAATGCCTCTAACCAGAATTGACCAATTATTTTAGGCTGTGGCTTCCACCAAGAGCTCTCTTCCAGCTTCTGAACCTGAGATTCTATAAAGTCAGGGAGAGAAGGTTCATCTTTTCTCCCGAACTCATGAACACTTACCTTTCTCAAGTCTCCGCTGGGGTTAGGAACTTCAGTAGTAGGTTCTAGAAAACAATTTTGAAACCACTTCACATCTGTTATTTCTGTTTTGTACGTATTTTGAACATGCAAAATAGATTATCATTAAGTTCTGCCAGTTTCCAGTCCTCACTCTGTGTCGATAGTTACTTGAATACAGACAAGAATTCTGAGACTTTTGGCATTGCTGTTTACTGATTAGGAGACTGAGGTACAGAAAGATTAAGATTTTTTAGTGGAAAGCCAAGATTTAAATTTGCACTCCTTGCAAACTGGGATAATCACCACTGCTCCACCCCCAAATAAATAGTAGCAGTCCATACCAAGAGTGACAGAGTCACTGAGAGCCTGGTACTTGCAAGGAGTTGGGGGTTGATCAGGGGATCGGAGGTGGCAGAGGGAGACGGGACCAGGCAGGGAGGAGTGTTGGGAACTAGTTACTTACAGTTTATCTTTATACCCCAGAATAGGGCTTTGTCTCGTCCCGTAGCTGACACTATCAGTGACTGAAGTCAAACAGCCCGTAAGCCCAGAAATCCCTTACCTGCTTCCTTGGCCCCATGGTGCCTCTCTGCACCCAGCACCTCCAGCAGCGCCTGGAGGAGGGAGGCAGCGCGTCCCAGCAATTCTGCAAGTACCTGACCCTCTTCCTGGGGCGCTGCAAAATGGAGACAGACAGCAGCCTCGTCAACCACAGGGAGCCTTCCTCTGTCCCCTACTGTCTTTGGAGCAACCCAGGGACTTGGAGACAAACGCTAGAAAAATGCAAAGTTCACGGTGTGTCCTTAGTGGTAGTTGAACAGAGAGGTGAATTTGCAAGCCAGCAGAAGTCCAGAGGTGGGCTGGCACCACCAGTGGCCCTCCACTGCTCCTGTGGCTCAGAAAGGCTGACTGTCACTCATACTCATCTGACTCTGTTCTCACCTGTCTGGGGGTTCGACTGGGTGGAGGCCGAGGGAAAGGCTCCTTCCTGTAGCCGAGAGGGCGGAGGCACCCTTTGCTCTCCCTGCCCTTCACAGTGGAGAGACGCTTGGTGCTGTACCTGAAGAGCAGCGCCAAAGCCTTCTGTAAGGAGTGCCATTGTGGCTTTCCCACGGTGTGTGGTGAGTGCGCCTGGCGTGTGTGTGAGGCGGGTACAGACAGTGGCACTGGCAGGAAACAGGCCTTCTGGGCAGGTGCCAACATCACCCATTGGACTGGAGCCCTGGAATGGGCTGGCGGCACCCCCCACTGCAGGCTGTCAGACGCTCAGCTGTGACCTTGATCTGGAGACAACGAAGGAAGCCTGAAAGCCCTCCAGGCACATTGTCAGTATTTCTGAAGAACACTGATGACACCTGTCAGACCTGATCTCGTGTAAATGTTATGTCACGAGGGCCACTTTCAGAGAAACAAATGGGAGACCAAAGCCCTAAATTAGCTTCCACCATTTCGAGATGCCACCCTCTTTCATCTGGTGTCTGTTTTTATTATAGTGATTATATGTAAATTTTAAAGTGACAATATCTGAATATTCATTCTTCTTGCATGTGTACCATCCCTTTTCATTTGTTTTCATGGCATAGTACACTCTTCTCATAAAATGAAATAGAATATTACCTAAAAGAAATGACCTTTTAGATGATATTTTTGTATTTTTCCCACTATTATTAGGACATGCTCGTTGTACAGAGGGCTTCATTGTGACAATTCCAAATAGCCTTACACTGTGCATTGCTTAGATGGCCCCCACCATCCCCTTTTAATAGCAGAGATTCAGTTAGTGCCTGGTCTTCACCAACAAGATGACCACCAGTTGTGAACTCTGATTGTAGCAGCTGCTGACTGACTACAAGAATAATGACCCTTGGAAGTTGTCAGAAAGTGGGGCTGGAGGTGTGGAGCAGCTGCCTAGCAAGCATGAGGTCCTGAGTTCAAACCCCAGTTCCCCAGGAAAACTGCTTAGGAGAAACATTTAATAGAAATTATAAAATCACTGGCTCAGAAAAGTTTTTACTTAAGAAAACATCTAAAAGTACTCAAAATTAAAGACAAGATTAAGGACTGGGGATGTGGCTCAAGTGGTAGAGTCCCTGCCTAACCAACATGAGGCCCTGAGTTCAAACCCCAAATACCACAAAAAAAAAAAAAAAGACAAGATTAAATCCAGTCAAGTTGTTTTATGGGACCCAATACCCAAACTGATACCATTTCTAAAACTAAATTAAGAGGTAGTTGCAAAATAAATTTCTATTTAACTGATACATTTTTAAAAATTCAATTTGTACTTGAACAAAAACAAATGAAAGGAAGAGATAAATATGCCTGAAGCCTATGGGGTCCCCTCTAGGTTATCACCTCTCTGTTTTATATGTGTCATATAACATACGACAGACAACTTTTAAGCTTAGAATGACATAAAATAAATGCATTACTAATTTATATTTGAAACAACCAATTCAAAACTCAACTTTATTTTAAATTTAAAATAATTTTAAATGTGCAATTTTTATAAATGGACAAAGCAATTGACTCCCACAAAAGTTTGAATTATAGGTGACATAAAACAAGCAATGCCACTCTTCCACACTTACTAATCTAAACTGTACAGCCAGGGTCCTCCAATACGCTTTCCAAAGCAGGGACCATTGATCCAACAAGGCTCCCTCCAGCAAGAATCCCATCCTTACCTCTCAAGGGCATCGAAGACTAACAGCAGGGGTAAATCATCTCACCTGGGAGCTGAAGAGACTCATCCCTGGAGTCAGTGACAGGAAGAGACTGGAGAGGGCTTAAGGATCCTATCAAAAGCAAGCAGCAGAAGGCCAGCTTATCCATGATTAGAGAGAGAGAGAGAGGTCTTCCTTCTCTTGTGGAGAGAGAACCTGCTCCTCATTCTGTGATCCCCATTATATATATATATATATCATCCTATGACGTCATATCATCCCCGCCAAAAAAATGAGTTTATTGGCCAGGGAGCCTAAAAGGCAATCACTTTGCATTGATGTAATTTGTCGAAGTAACAATTCATAGGCAATAAATTTTCTGTCTGGTTGCCTTGTGTATAAAATAGGTATTGTACAAAGAACAGTTGAGTTTATAAATTTGGCAAAAGACATAAGCCAGCCGTAAATCAGGAGTTAGGGAAGGGTCAGCCATGACTTGACACGGATTTATGAGTCCTTGCAGAAGCCACGCGGTGTGACAGGAAATAAATGTTGGTTTCTTTTCCATTCAATGTTTTGTGAGTGGACAGGTGATTTGTTGTGTTGTTTGCAGGGATGCCAAAGGCTGGCAATCTGTGGATCGAAGCTTAAAACCAATTATTTAAACTCATGCGGGTCAGTTAAATAAATACACAGCAAACGCAGCTCCGGGCTCAGGTTTGTTGTGCACGCTTGGCCTCGTGTGAAACCACAGCGCTTGAGCCTCCAGGGAAAGCAAAGAGCTTTCCTGCCCGCGGTTCTGCTCATCAAGGAGGGACAAAGAACATCTGAAAACCTTGCTGATGACCATCTCAGAAGCCACCTGGCCCCCCACCTCCCCTCCGCCCCCAGCCGGGCCTGGCCTTGTGTCCTGTTTCCTGGGGAGCAGCCCAGCCCTGCTTTCTGGCCACCAGGCTCAGTGCAGCACAGCGAAGCCAGCCACGTGTGCTCCTCGTTCAAGACCGTCTTCTGACTGAAGCGTGAAAGTTCAAGCCACAGTGTTACGAGAAAACACGGACATCTTCACAGCCGTGGCTTAGGCAAACATGTCTTAGGACACCAACGACCTAAGAAAAAATTCAAGCCGGGAGGCCAAGCAGGGGACGGCGATCACAGTGACTCATGCGTCTCCCGCCGGAAAACCAAGTCTCCTCACGCATGTGGGGCATCGGCGAGGCGACGCCCAGGTGAACCGGCTTGGCTTAGCCATCCCACTCCATGGTCACGTGTCAAAGTGTCACGCGGTACGCCATGCATGTGCACGGTTCTAAATCTGCCAATAAAGGAAGCAAGTTGGGAAGACCCCATCAAAATTCAAGGCATGGCCCCTTGAAAGACACAGTTAAGGAAATGAAGAAGCCAGACATGACTGCGAGGAAACAGTCACGAAACACGCGTGACACGCGTGACAAGACACTGCTTTCAAACAGCCCCACTCGGGAAAGGCAAGGGAAGGACAGACGCGCGCAAGCGACCATTAGGCAGGTGAGCAGCACCTGGCCTCATCCAAATCAGGGAAGCAAGTTAAGGTCCCCTGAGGTCCCCGCAGCCTTGGCGGGAAGGGAGGACGTGCGGCCCACCCGGAAAGCAGCCAGAACTTCCTCGAAGAGCCAGACACGCTGTCCTAGGAGAGGCCCACGAGAGCCACAGCGGCCACGGGCACACGTGGATGCAAACGTTCACAGCTTTGTTCATCCTACCGGAAAACCAGAGCGACTGATGTCCTCCCGCAAGCAATGGGCGAACGGCTGTGGCCCTCTGCGGGGTGCTGCCGGGCCACCCGGGGACGCTGCTTGTAAGCACAGCAGGAATGGCTCAAACACTGTCACCAAGCAAACTAAGCCAGACCCGGGGAGCACGAATTACCCGATTTGTTCAAATGAAATTCCAGAACAGGCAAACTTGATGGAGTCACAAAACTGCCTGGGATGGGAGGAGGAGGGATTGACTGGGGGGAAATGGGACCTCAGGGGTGATAAAAATGTTCTGTGTTGGGAAGGCCATGGCCACATGGCCACACACATTGGCCAGGTCACCATGGCTACATTTCATTGAATATACACTCATGAATAATACTTGAATGAAGTTGGTTTTCAGACATCTTCACTGCTCCTGATTTTTTTTTTTTTTTTGGGTGGTACTGGGGTTTGAACTCAGGGCTTCATACTTGCTAGGCAGGTGCTCTTACTGCTTGAGCCACTCCACCAGCCTGACTTCACTTTCAATTCTTCTAACGCTATTCTCCTTCTTGCACACTCTGCTGCAGCCATTCTGAGCGCCTTGCTGCTTCCTAAACACATTTCTACCTCAGGGCCTTTGCACCAGCTCATCTCTCTGCCCGGAAGGCCCTTCCCTCGTCTCTTTCAGGGTGGGTTAAGATGTGACCTTCTAATGAGGCCTTGACCACCTACCCAGCACTGACCCATGCCTTGCTCCTTCCTTCCCATGTCCTGACACCCATGAGACATTGAGAATATTTTTTACACAAAGTGGGCTCTCAGTGCGTAGCTGCAGAGTCCGTGAGGGGGCGCAGCCTATGTCCATCCCTCTTTAGGAGAAAGTAAAGGAGGACAGTTTTGACTCTCAACGCCCTTCTGACTGGGGGGACCGTGATGACTTGGATCTCTGTGAAGAAAAGTGAAGTAGGAAGAAGCCAGGCGGCGGGGCAGGCAGCCAGGGACACACGGTCTCGGGACGGAGGCCTCTGGGAGGGGACACTCAGGCAGAAGCCCATGTGAAGGGACGGCCATGCATCTAGAGGGTAGTGACCGTGAAGCAGCCGGGAGGGAGGCCGGGCAGGTGACCTGCGACTCGAGGGCCCGTGGAGGAAGTGAAGAGGCAGCGGGCTGTAGCTGCTGGACTATAGGGTCAGGAAAACATTCCCAGAGACCCCTGGGGTAGGTGGCATGGGGACCAGGGGCCACCTTGATAAGGGACTTCCAGGGCTTATGCCCTCCTTGTGGGATGGCAGGTGGCCAAATTGCTTAACTCTCCTCAGCTCGCTCACACGCAGTTCTCAGAGGCTCCTCAGGGCCCCTGTGGCCTGGTGCTGTGGACGAGGAGGCCGGGATCTGGTCCTTGGGACTCAATGGCCCCCGGGGCCCAGCCAGACCGCTGCCGTCCTGCTTAGCCCGTAAGGGATGGGAAAGACACAAGCTGCATCCTGAGGGCAAGGGAACAGGGACAGCCAGAGCTGGGACCCCACTGGCCTCTGACCTCTGACCCCTGATCTCACCCTTAGAGACTAGGCTCCCCACTTTTCCCGAACCCCTGCAGTTTCTTGCCTGGGCATCTCTCTGTCCATATGTATCTCGTTCTTTTTTTTCCTTTGGCAATTTTTTTTCTCTTCCGCCAATTTTGGCCAAATTCACCTCTCCCACAGTCAAAATTGACCTTTCTTCAGCAAACGCAATCAGCTCAGGCCCATTTCATCTTTAAATCCAAGAGACGGTCTCTGCAGGAGGGCAGACGGGTGGCTGTTTGCAAAAGAGAGGGTTGTGGCCCCGAAGGTCATCCCAAAAAGAGCGCCATGTGCAGAACCCAAAGGCGCTTCTGCCCGGTGAGCCTGAGCAAGAGAGCACCAGAAAATTACCCGACGGCATCGCCTGATCCGTGGTGGCGGAGACCTCAAGTCAAAGGTCACACAGTCAAGTGCACAGACAGGTGAGGTTGCAAATGAGCAAGGAGGCCTGGTGGCAGTGAGGGGGCAGCGGTGACTGCGGCGACCACGGCGAAGCTAACGTGCCAGAACACGGCACTCAGTCGCACCCGTGGTTTCCCCAGACAGCAGGGTGCTGGGCACTACTGGGCACCGTGGGAGAGGCGCAGAACATAATTCAGCCTCCGGGCACCTAACTTGAAGCCTAACTGCTCAAACTAAACCTGTAATTTAGTAGGGGGCAGAGCACGTCAACAAAATAGTAACTAAAAGCCAGGCATGGTAATGCACGCCTGTAAGTCCAGCACTTGGGAGGCTGAGGCAGGAGAATCTCCAGTTCCAGGTCAGCCTGGGCAACTTAGGGAGACCCTGTCTCCAAAACAAAAAGTAAAAGACATTAAAGAATTGAAATACGGGTGGTTGCTCCCCTAGGTGCAAAGCCAAAGCTAGCTGTGTCAGGATAAAAGGATTTTTTTCTTTTCCTCTGACCCTATTGCTGCGTGCACATGTATGTATGTGTGTGCGTGTCTTTGCATGTACACGGTGTGTGCACAGATGTACATGCAGTGAATCATGAAAGTCTTGCTGGGAGGCAGGAAGGACAGGACCCAGGCTGAGGCATCTGGGGGTCTTTGGTGACCCTGAGGACAGTTGCAGTGACTGTCAAACTCCTCTCTTCCCTGGGGCAGCTGCTTGCCAAGCTTTGTCATCCTCTGGTGACTCAGGAGTCCTGACAGTTATTAGTGATGGTTTTACAGTGTGGCCTAATTAAGTTAGTAGCAAATGCTTAAGTCTCAGAGAAAATTAGCTTCCTTCCTTCAACAGGCCATCAATGGCAGTGTCACCTTGGCCCAGAAATGCACTGAGCACGTCATCCAACCCCCATGGTCCCTGTGTGAAGCACGGTGGCTCCCAGCTCTGTCAGGACTGTGAGGTGAGGGGCGCCACTAACTCGTTGGCAGGGTCTTTCTTAAAGCAGACAGTGTTTTTCTGTGAATCGTGAAGAAGCAAGCCACAGATGTGACATGTCCTGGGTGGCTTTTGCCCGTGTGGCCCTGTGTGCAGTGGAGAAGCATAGATGTCACAGGCCACTTTCAGACTTTGTGGGGTTTTTGGTTTTTGCTTTTGTTGTTTTGGTGGTACTGGGGTTTGAACTCAGGACCTCACCTTGCCAGGCAGTTGCTCTACCAATTGAGCCACTCCGCCAGGGCTTTTACATTGGTTTTTAAAATAGGGTCTTGCTTTATACCCGGGCCAGCCTAGACCGCACTCCTGTTTACACTTTCCCACAGGTGTGGGATGACAGGTGTGCAAAACCACGCCCAGCTATTGGTCGAGATGTGACCTCACTAACTTTTTGCCCAGGCTGGCCTTGAACTATGATCCTCTCAATCTGTGCCTTCTTGGTAGGTAGGATTATAGGTGAGAGCCACCACACCCGGCTCAGTCTTCGTTTTGAGGCAGACCCAAGTGCGCCCTCTCTGCTGCTGCCACCTTCACCTCTTCTGGTATTCTGGACAGGCACAGCGGTGATGTGACTGTCCCCAGCTTGGTCACATGGCCCGAGGTGTTGCCATTTAATCGCTGCAGGAGACAATGAGGGGTTTTATACAGGGGAGTTGTGTCACTCAGCAAACGCTTATGGAAGCACCTGCTGTGTGCCAGATAACCGACAAGGTTTGTGCATGATGAGCCAAAAACCGTGTGGAGTTTGCATCCAATGTCAGGAGGTGATGAACGCCACCAAGAACCAAGAAGCTGAGGAGAGTGACAGGCTGAAAGGGCTACAAGGTCAGCCAAAGCTGAAAGAGATGAGCAGAAAGCTACGTAGCCATTGGAGAGGGAGAGGAAACTGTGAGTGCAAAGGCCCTGGGGTAGAATTGTGCTGTGCTTGTTTCAGGAACACCTGGAAGGCCAGTGTGGCTCAGTTAGAGTGATCAAGGAGGAGGACAGAGGGAGTCGAGGACAGAAAGACAGTAGACCATACGGTCTCTTGAGGGTCACCCTGAGGACTCCCTGTTTCAAAATGAGTGGGGCAGAAAACCTATTTGGAAACCATATGGCAGTATCTCAATTATGTTTTAAAAGGTAACCCGGGCCACGAGTGAGGAAGGACCCTGCGGGCAGGGCCAGGCCGGGAGCCCACCCGCTGCAGCTGCTGCACACGGTGCCGGTGCGGGGGCGGTGAGGGGAGAAGGGCTTGTTGACCCTGACAAACAGGTGTCCGTCAGGATGACGCCATGTTTGGGTTCTGAGAACCAGGAAGGGGTGGAGTGACCCGCCACCCAAGTGATGGAGCAGTGTCAGGGGCCTGGCAAGGGCTCGGTTTAGACATGTTGGTTTTGGGGTGTTTGTTAAACACACCTGGGGGAGACCAAGAAGGCGGCTGAGTGCACGTGGGGTCTAGGGGAGAACTGGGGGTCACCAGATGGTATTTAATGCCGTGAGGTGGCATGAATCACCAAGGGACCAGGGTGGAGAGACAAGAGGAGGGCCAGGCCTGGGGGACCCACAGGGAGCCTGGAGGGGCAAAGGGCCAACCAGGAGGGGCCAGGAGGGAGGGGCCGGAGCTTCTAGAAGGAAGGCGAATGGACCAGGACAAAGGCTGCAGACCACGCTCACTCGTGCGCCTAAGGTGGCCACCTGGTCACAAACCACTCAGACCAGAGCCACGTTGGTGGCAGGGAAGGCTAAGAGGCAACAGATCAGGCTCAAGGAAGAAAGGGGAACTGAGGCAGTGACCAGGAGTGGCCTCCCTCTTAAGGAGCCTCACTGCAAAGCAGGTGGACCGAGCAGTGGAGTGGCTCTGGAGGAGCAAGATGGGAGAGAGAAGGGGAAGGAGGGTGACATCGTCGCCAGGTAGTAGATGCGGCCAGATCTGCCCAGGTTGGCATCGACAATGAGTATGAGGAACTGACAACTGCCAATTCTGGTCACTTTTCTTTTTGGTGTTTTGAAGCTTGGAATTCCCCCTCTCCCCTATGTGGCGCCAATTGACAGAATATTGAATTAGAGTCAAAGACGTCTTCTGTCTGAGTAAAGTCCTTCCAAATTGCCTGTTAGTCCATCCTCATCTCTGAGTCCCTGATTAGATTACACCTCCACGCTCACTTTTTTTCTACCCCAGGGCCTTTGCACTGGCTGCTCCCTCTGTCTGGAATGCTCTCCCTCAGATAGCTACACAGTCAACTCCTTAGTCACCTGTAAGTCTCTGCTCCAATTCTACACAATACAGGTCCTGCTCTGATAATCTTTATTTAGATTGCAGCCTGCCACCTCCTGCCCCTGTTTTTCCTGTCTTCTTATTGGTCTATTTTAAATATTTCCTATATCAGGTATCAAATTTTATTTACTGGTTGGGTCCCTAGGACCTGCCACAGCCTGGGGGCAGTACAGCACTGACTGTGTCACAGCCCACATGACTGTCTCCCCCTCCCAGGCAGAAGCTCATGGAGAGTGTTGGTCACCAGTGCCGTGTCTGTGTGTCAAGTCCTCCTCCCCCAGGGCTGACCACGGCACCTGGCACAGAACTGAGCTCTCTTAGCAATGAGCTACATGGGTTTGAAGCACGCCATTGACTCAACTTGCAAACAAAAGGAGAGTCCCAAACTGGGAGCAACTCCATGCAAGGAGGTGTTGGGGGCTGAATTGTGTCCCCCAAAATTCAGAGGGTGAAGTCTAGCTGCTAATACCTCAGGCGATCACCAGATTTGGGGTGAGTCTAGAAAAGGGACGTTAAGTGGGAATGAGGTCATTAGAGTGGCTCTGAGCCAGTGCGACTGCTGTCAAAATCGACGCAGGAGGATTGTGAGTTTGAGGTCAGCGTGGTCTACATGTCAAAACTCTATCTCAAAAAAATTAGAGAAACATCAGGGATGCACACCCAGAGGACATGGGGAAAAGAAAGCTGTCTACAAGCCAAGGCCAAGGCCTCTGGAGAAGCCCACCCTGCCAACCTTGACCTTGGACTACAATAAATGCCCATGTGTCAGCCGCTCAGTCTGCAGTACTTTTTATGGCACCAAACTCATGCAGCTGCTCACAGGAACCACGTATGGAATCAGACCCGAGGGACAGGATGGGGACATTCGGAAGAGGGGTGGCACAAAATCACCCATCTGTACAAAACTGGGCCTCTTTCTCTACAAGATGAAAATGAATTCTTAGCTCAGCCAGGACATCTCCAAATGAACTTTCTTCCGCAGTTCTGGACTTTAGCAGTCTTATTGATGAGGGTCACTTCGGGGGTGGCTTTGTCCTGAAGTCTGCAGTGCGATGCTCTCTCCCAGCTTATTGCAGATGGGAGGTGGCTGCCCTGTGGCCCCATGTTTCATGAAGCCATGGAGAACCTTAGTCAGCAGTGAGGCGAGTCTGGAGTTCCAGTTTCCACTTGGGACTCAGAGGGACTCCCACAGCATCTGCCGAGGTGGCATACCCAAGGACATCCACAAGGGGACAGCCTGTCTTCTCCACTGTAAGTCGGAAAGCCCGTGTCCCCACCTCCCTGTGTGACAGTAAGCAGCCCACCTAGCAGTGTTGGAGTTTTCTCTATGCAAAGAGCAGTGGTGGAGTCTGCACAGCCTGTGTTTGTGTCCCCCCACCATCACCAAATTCCTATTCTGAAGCCCTGATCTTCAATGAGATGCTGGCAGGAAGTAGGGCCAGGGGAGGTGATCAGAGTTCAGTCAGGTCATGAGGGTGGGGCCCTCAGAATGGGATTAGTGCCCTTATGAGAAAAGGAAGAGACACACAGACTCTCCACCATATGAAAGCAAAACAAGATCACTGTCTACAAATCAGGAGGTGAGCCCTCACCAGACACTGAGTCCACTGGAACCTTGAACTTGGACTTCCAACTCCCCACGCTGCAAGAGAATGTCTGTTGTGTAAGTCCTCACGCTGTGTACACTGTCCCGGCAGCTAAAACAGAATAAGTCTGCACATGCCCATTGTCCCTAGGAAGGAGGTGTGGAGCTGTGGTGACAGCCCTGCTTCTTAGATGACCGAGGCTGGCCCTGCCTGAGGTTCTGCAATGGGAACTGAGGGCAGGCAGGTAGGATGGTTAGATCTTTGCTGTATTTGACGTCCCTCCATAACCTTGGCCATGTTGGTTGAAGGTGTATGACGGAACCCTGTCAAAGGTAGCCAGACCTGGGCCCAGGGTTCACTCCCTTGTGAGGAGCACCTTGTGACATTGGACCATGTGGCTCTGCCCATCCTCTCCTTGAAAGAGGGTGAGCACATATGAAGGTGACATTCCAAGGGCTCTGAGTGCTGATCCTAAACTTTTGCAAAGCAAAAAGTCTCATTGCTGTGGTGTCGTGGGAGTCACGTACGTGGGCTGGTGTGTGGCTTCCGGGCATCATTTTATAGCAGAGGTGTCCGCGGCTGCCACTTCACAAAGGATTAGCTGCCAGAGGAACGATATTCCAGCAGCGATGCGTCACACACCAGGAGTGACGGCCAGTGCGAGGGGAAGGTGATGTACAACACACATCCGCTCCATTTATTGATTTGATTCATCCCATTACCTTGGAGCTCATTCAGCAAAAGGTTTGGGGAATGACTCAAGTGTCACCTGAGTGATGCCGCATGGCTTCAGCCAGCATTTTGTCACATCACTGATATTAAAGGGGACTTTTAGTCATAGAGGATATTAATTGCTATGGACAGCTGCCTGTGAAGGTAAACAGAAATGAACAAACCACAGCACACACAGCTGTGCCACAAATGATGACTGTGGGGAGCTGAATCTGGCTGATCTTATTTAATGACATCTGTCTCCCATCTTGAACTCATATACAATGGGAGGGATGGGATGAAATGTGTCCCCTCATCCCCAGCCAAAGAGAACCTCAGAATGTGACTGTGTTTGGAAAGGGAGTCTTTAAAAGTCATTAAGTTAAACTGAGGTCGTCAAGATGGGCCCTAAATTAGTATGACTGGTGTCCTTATGAGAAGAAGAGATGAGGACACAGACACACAGGAGGACACAGGAGAAGGTGCCATCCTCAGAAGGAACCCGCCCTGCACCACCTTGACCTTGACTGCCAGCCTCCAGAACTGGTAGAAAACAAGGTTGTTAAAAGACGCCCAGTCTGTGGTACTTCCTTCCCGCAGCCTGAACAGACTAACGTATCCTTGCTAATTTTGTTTCATTTCAAACCTCATCATCCAAAATTATAAATAAATAAATAATAAATCCCCTCCTTCCCCTCCCCTCCCCTCCCCTCCCCTCTCCTCCTTCCTTCCTTCCTTCCTTTCTTTGGAATAAGTCTTCATTTACCTAATTTAAAGTTTGCCTATGATAAAATGTCTACTTTTCCCTAAACATTGCTAGTGTTCACAGATCCATACTCACATAACAGCCACCTTGTAAAAGAGTTCCACCCAACCCCCAAGTCCCCTCCTCTGACCCTTGTCATCAGCTCCCCACCCCCCACACAGCCCCTTCTCTGTTCTTCTGTGTGAACATCCTATAAATGGAGACATTGCCTAGTCTTCAACCTTTCCAGCCAGGCTTCTTTCATTTAACATAATGCATTTGAGATTCTTCTGAGCCAGTATTTGCAGGGTCTTTTTATTCCTTCATAATATTGCATGTAATGTACCACAATTGGTTTATCCACTCACCATTGATGGGTGTTTTCTAGCAATTAGTAAAATTGCTACAAACAGCACCATGGGTCTGCATGGATCTGAATCAACTAGGAGCACAGAATGGCTGGAGGCAGAGCTAGTGTGTGTTTATTCCATGGTTTGGACAACTGTCCTCAGAAAGCTCGTGTGGTAAAGGCTTGGTCCGCAGCCTAGGGTGGTATGAGGAGATGGTAGAACCTGCAGAAGATGCACACTTGTAGAAGGAAATTAGAAACTGGGGATGTGCCCAAAGGGGATATTGGGACCCTGGCCCCCTCCTTTTTCTCCATTTTTGTGTCCCTGCAGCCTGTCCTGATATGTTGCCTCACCACGGACCCAAAGCTATGAGGCCAAAAAAATAAACAAATGAAAAGCAAATGTGTCCTATCTAAGAACTTTCCCAATATCACCTATTTATGTGATTATATTTAAAGTGGGACTCTTTAAATAGAGCACATATTTCCGTCTTGTGTTCTTAATCCAATCTGAAGGTCTTAGTCTTTTAATTAACACATGTAGATCATTTATATTTAATGTAGTTATTGATATGGTTGAATTTTGGCCTTCTAT